GGCCACCACCACGGCCGCCGCCACGACCGCCGAATCCTCCCCGACCACCACCGCGGCCACCGCCAGGGCCGTCACGAGGGGGGCGGGCACCAGCAAAGTCGAGGCGAAGGTTTCTAGACGAGCGCCCCTCGCCGATGTAGGCTCCGTTCTTCTCCTCGTAGGCAGCCTTGGCGTCCTCGATAGAAGCAAATGAGACATATCCGAAACCCTTGAGGTTACCAGAGTCACTGGAATGGATTAGCAAGCCGTAGATTCATTTCGAGTTGCAAAGAGGAAAAGACTTACGGGTCAGTAGGGAGGCGAACGCTGACGACCTCACGAACCTCACTGAAGAACTGGTGGACAGTGTCCTGGTCAATGTCGAAAGGCAGGTTACCGACGAAGAGGGTATCACTCTCGGGGCTGACGTTGTCACCGTGGCGCTTGGCACGGTCGGCAGCACGGGCCTGGGGAGTGGCCTCGGCGGGACGAGCGTTGGCATAGTCCAGGTTGAGGGCACGGCCCTGAAGGTCCTGGCCCTGCATGGCCTCGTAAGCCTTGGTGCAAGACTCGGCATCAGCGAAGTCGACATAGCCGAAGCCCTTGCTGCGGCCGGTATGCTTGTCCCAGACAACACGAGCGCCGACGAGACCCTCGAAGTCCTTGAAGGCCTCGTGGAGGGCGTCGTCATCGATGCCCCAGCTCAAGCTGCCAGCGAACAGGGTAGTAGGTGCGTCAGTCTTTGTCTTCTTGGCGCTGGCGTCGTTCTCATCATCCTCAGCCTTTCGCTTCTTGGATGCCTCAGGGGCAGCCTTCTTCTCAGACTCCTCGGAGTCATCGCTGCTGTCATCAGAATCGTCCTCGGAGTCGTCAGAGTCCTCGTCGGAGGAAGCTTCCTATTAGATATTATTAGAGACAATTGAACCCGGTAATGACCAGTTGCATGTTTGCTCACCTTCTTTTCAGCCTTCTTAGCAGCAGGCTTCTCGTCCTCGCTCTCATCCTCACTGGAGTCGGAGCCGGAGTCAGACTCGGAGTCAGACTCTTCCTTCTTGGCAGGGGCGGCCTTGGCCTTGGCCTTGCCGTTGACGGCAGGCTTCTTGGTCTCCTCCTCAGACTCAGAGCTGTCGGAATCAGAGTCCTCCTCCTCTTCCTCAGAGGACTCGGAGTCAGAAGACTCCTCCTTCTTGGCAGGGGCGGCCTTGGCCTTCTTGCCGTTGGTGACGGGCTTCTTCTTGGTCTCAGCCTCAGACTCGGAAGAGTCAGAGCTGTCAGAGGAGTCGTCGGCCTCGGACTCAGAAGACTCTGACTCCTCAGACTCCTCCTCAGAGGAAGACTCAGGCTCGACGACCTTCTTCTTGGGCTTCTTGTCCTCCTTCACGAGCTTCTTGGCGGCAGACTTGGCCAGCTCCTTGGACTTGGACTTGGAGCTCTGGGATGCCTTCTTGATGCCGGCATCCTTGACAGCAGGAGGGGCGACCTTGCTGGCCTTGGTCTCCTTGGTCTTCGTCTTGCCCATTGTGAATGATTGAAAGGGAAATGTGTATTAAACCTAGAAAGTGGGGGTAATAATCTTTCTGAAATCCCAAGGGCAAAATTTTATACGGGAAGAGGTGAGATGGGAGAGAGGTTGGGGGTGGGAGAAAAATTCGCTTCCTTCGCGCTGGTTTTATGGCGGCTGGCGTTGATCAGTTTTTTTTTTTTTTTTTTGACCTGCCAAAAGGTGGGGCAGGCGAAAGCGGTGAGAATAGCCGCTCCACCAGGGGTCGCATGAGTGCGACAAGAGGTACTTCGGTACTTCCAACCACCGAGTTTCCGCCTGAGCAATCAGGTCGCAACGATTGGCTCCAAGCAACCGGCCGAAGCTCGAAGGGTAACCGCACAATCAGGTGTCGTCAGTGGTCGGAACCAACGCAATCAACCTCGACAATTGAATCGCATCGCGAACGGATACTGGATTATCTCACAGCCGTCGAAGACAAACTATACTGCCAGAATGCCGACCCCCGAGTCCGAGAGCTTCAAGAGCATGAAGCCCAAGGTCCCTCCCACCTTCAATGGAGTCGACTACGATGACACCAAGGCCTTCAAGGCTGCCGAGGATGCCATCATTCGCGAGCAATGGGTTGGCGCCATGATGATCCGTCTGGTTGGCGAGGAACTGGGCAAGTGCTACAACCGTGAGGGCGTCAACCACCTGGAGAACTGCGGTAAATTGAGAGGTTAGTTGGATTGGCTGTTTGCGGACTCAATCACGGCGGCATAGCTGACAATTCTATTCAGAGAGATATCTTCAACTTTTGGAGACCAACAAGATTCCGGGCACCAAGGGTCTCCAACTAAACTACATCACCAAGCGAGATGAGGAGATTGATCTCGAGGCCAAGGTCCACCCCATCAACAAGATCGCCAAGCTAAGGGAGGACCCCAAGAACGCCAGGCCATAAGTGTATCAAGAGATGGACTAAGTTGAATGAATTCTGAAAGGGACGGGTTCTTTCCCTCGAACGGCGCTGCCATTGGGAGCCCAAGTGATTTGGCAAAAGAGGATGGATAGCAGGATATCTCACCCGGGCCAGCGCTTCGGGCTGATGACCTGTATGACTGTAATACCAAGACGCACTATTGAAACCAACTCTGTGTACACAACCAATTGGCAGATCTATGTAAACCCATGCATGTCCAGCACTTTCCTAACGTCCCGTATCCTCTTCCCAAAACCTGGTTGAGCGGCTACATACCCACGAGGCTGACAATCGAGCGCAAGACCCGCTTTGATTGGCCAGTAGAGCACCACCACTACCAAAATTTCTCCCGGGCCGCTTTGCGCCTCGCCTCCAGTCAGAACGTCCCTCCATCACCGGCACGCGACAACGACAAATCACACCACCATGTTCTGCACCAGATGTCTGCGAAGCCCGGTGCTCCGGCGGCAGATCCCAGCCGTGCGCCAGTTCTCGGTTTCCACCCCCTTCCGTTCCGTCGAGCAACCACCCCTCTCGACTCCCACCACCGCCCCCGGCGAGCAACCGAAGGCGGCGGCGATACCCAAGTCCAGCTGCCCGGAAGGCACCGTCCTCACAGGCCTCAACTTTCTCAAGAGCGGCCAGGATCCAGTAGCACTGAAGGACGAAGACTACCCCGCATGGCTGTGGGATTGCCTGGACGTGATGAAGAAGAGCTCGGACGGAGCAGCCGATGACGCAGGAGACGAATTCTGTACGGACCAATTCCATTCCATTTGCCAAACCCCTCCGCCTATACCGGCGTAGTGTCTAGGGATCTACTTGTCCTACCATGCTAATACAGGTCGAAAACAGCCAAGTCGAAGAAGCAACGAAAACTGGCCGCCAAGCGAAAGCTAGCCCTCGAGGCCGAGCTCCTCGCCCAGGGGAACCTCGAGGCCCTGGCTCCCAAGATCCCCCTGCCACAGCAGTCCATCAACCTGCCGGGCGAGGAGAACAGCTCCGTGCAACAAAACATTGAGGCCGCGGAGAAGCGGAACGAGCTGAGAAAGGCCATGCGGAAGGAGAGGAAGGCCAAGATCAAGGAGTCCAACTACCTGAAGTCGATGTAAAGGGTAGCTGTATATGAGTGGTTCCTCGATTGCATGAAAGATTATGCTGGGGGGCATATGTACATTATATTGCCAGCGGCTTGTACTAGAAAATGATTCATAATGAAGCGCATTGGTCTTGCTTCTGGGTTACGTGATATCAAGGCCCATCCCATCGAAGCCAATGTTTTGATATAGAGATTCAAGGTTGATTCTCTCTCCTTCACAAAGCAAAATGTCGTCATTCAGAAGTCAGGAGAATGAGAGTAAATCGTCGGTATTTTTTTAATCTGTAGCTGTGTCTCCTGGAAGCCCATGTATCTATATTGGAATTGATCGCTCTGTACAAGCCAAGAAATACGTGACACTCCCTCCTGAGAAACCAATTCTAAACTACAATCATACAATCCCATCAACGACCAACAACCAATTCCAGTTAGAGGGCACTTAAATCCAATGGCACGCTGCTGCCCCGGCCGGCTCTGTAATTTCTAGGGCGCTTGATGAAGTCCCTAGGTTTGGGAAGCAGGCTTTCGTCTTTGAATATCCACCTATTATCAGTGACAACAATTCTCCCATACCCACCTCCAACAGCACTGCCACTTGGGCTATGACTGTGCTGGGGGGTAGGGCTTGGAGATTTGGAGCCGTTGGCACTGAGTGTGAATGCACTAGGATCAAGCATTGTCTGCCGGAGGGATGATCCCCGAGCTCGGCCTGACACCGAGGGCGGCGGTGGAGAGTTTGGTGCAGGCGGCGCTGGGGCAGCTGGGGGACCTGGTGCCGCTGATGGCGGCGGCGGTGGAGGAGGTGCCGGAGGTGCTGAGTTTGGGGATGCTGTCTGGCTTGCAGCTCGAATGGCAGCCTGTGTAGCGAGAGAGGCAGGAGGAGGAGCAGCAGCAGGCGGGGGTGGTGGTGGCGGGGGCTGCGCTCGTGGTACTGGGGAAGGGATTGGCCTGGGAGGCACCGCTGAGGGCGGAGGAGGAGGAGGTGCTGCTGGAGCTGAAGATGGGGGGGGCGGAGGAGGAGCAAGAGGTGAGGCGGTGGGTGGAGGCGGAGGTGCCATTGAGGGTGTAGGCGAGGCCAAGGAAGACGGTTTGCGGGATGTTGGGAGTGGCGGTGGTTTCTTCCCTATCGGCGGAGGAGGTTTCTTTGTTGCTGGTGGTTTCGGTCTCCCAGGTACAGCTGGCGCAGAGCTGGTCGGAGGCTTTGGCGCAGAACCAATGGGCGGCCGTGGGACAGACGAATTCGATTCCCCAGGATCAGAGAGGTACGACGAGTCTCGATTTGCCCCTGTATCAATTCCTCCTCCCCTCTTCTTCAGCTTGGGCATGCCTCCGGCGAAAAGACCTCCCAGTTGTGGTGCCGCATCAACACTCGGTGCGGCCGGAGCGGAACCATGATCACTGTTGCTTCTCGCTCGATTGCCCGGCACTGGAGGGGCCAAACCACCCGGTGGCTTCGGTGCTCCGCCAAGGACAGGAATCGGGGGCGCACCTCCCACTGGGGGACCTGATGAGGAGGATGTGCTACTTGCCACCTGGGGGGCTGATCTGTCGTTCGTTACGGCCTTCCTTAGCGCCTTTCCTTTGGTAATATCTGAAAGTAGAGCGCCCTGTCGGAGGTTAGACTCTTGACTCAAGCTGAGGTTGACGGGGCAGCGCAACGTACCCTGCCTGCTGCGCCGGCTGGCGGTCGGGAAGGCAAACCGCCGGGAGGAGGGGGAGGAGGAGGAGGAGGGCCTCCAGCACCTGGGGGCGGAGGTGGTGGGGGAGGAGGGGGAGGAGGCATCGTAGAGTCGCAACTCCAGGCGATATCTAGATCCCCTGCTTGGCTTCCGTGTGGACTTTGTTTCCGCTATATTGAGTCGTAGAGAAACCTCGAAGACATTGGCTGAGACAACGAGGCTATGGATTGGGCGCTGAAGGACAAGACGATGAGTGATAATACCCAGTTCTTGTTTTGTCCAAGGGTCTGGCCTACGTAGGGCCAGTATTTCTAAGCCAGGGCACAACCACAAGACGAAGAAAAGATCTGGTGTGAGAGATGTGAGAACAAGAGGGCGGTTTGATGTAGATCTCAGGTTTCGTCATCCCATTCAGTCTGCAGGCACCGACTTGCCTGCTTACCCTGCAACAATACGGTGTGTTAGGTACCAACAGGGACCCGCAGGACTCCATTGCGCGTGCCTCCAAGCCACAGCGCTGAAGGACCTGCGTTTTAGTGGGAAAGCGACCGAAAGCCCCACCATTTAACACCAGCACCCTAATTGGTCCCCGTTTTTATTGATGCCCCACCCTGCGATCCAAAAGTTGAGCAGTTCAAGATTCCACCTTCGCGGCTTGTCAACCACAGTCAGGATCTGGATGCAAGTAGGCCTGGCATCCTTTTGCCCCGACCGTCACAATGCGACACCTACAGCCTCGGAGAATTGGCACTGTCTGCCAGTTTTGCTCTCCCACGCTCCCCCGAGCAGCCCGCGAACCTTCACTTGTACGCTCCCTCAACACCAAAGCAACCACCTCCCGCTCTCCTACGACTCGTCGACTTGCGCCGTCGTCCTTAATCGGGGCAAGGGCTTTCGCTACCACTCCCTCTCAATCCGAACCGCCTCAATATTCGAACGCTACAACTCCTACAAAAGCACTCCGGAAATCCTCTACCCCTACGGAGTTGGCCAACTCGATAGACGGAAGCCGCGAGCAGTTCTTGGCTGGAGTTGAGAATATCCATGGAAATCAATTGGCCTCCCACGCCCTCCAGTCTTGTCTTCAAGCAGCATCGGCGCTCCATCCCCAATTAAGGCGGGCTCAAAGTCAGGCACAGGCGTCGGCGTCCCGCCTTGCCCTCCTCGGCGCCGAGAGGACGGGAGCCAAGTTCGCCATCGATGCCGACCTCATGGCGGCTAGCGACAAGATTTCGCAGACAGCCTACCAATTAGTCTCTCATAAGAATGTGGAGATGACCTCGGATATTCTTGAGCTCTATGTCAATGTGCAAGCACAGCTGGGCCGTCCCGAAACACTCCCCGCGGTCTTTGAACTCTATGCCAGCAAGCCCAAGCCTCAGGTACGCAACGGCGAGCTGCAGTACATCCCCCAGAACCCCAACGGGGCCGAGAAGGCAATCGAAAAACCTGTTGCGGACCTGGCCCTGGCCACAGCAATCGACGCCAGAAATCTTGATGCCGCCCTAGGCATCACCGAGGCTGCATTCTGCGTTAAAGCATTCAAGCGCCAGAAGCTGCTGAAGAACGCCACGGCCCCTGCTATCGGTCTTGCCTCGCTTCCCTTCGGAATCTATGGCCTGGCCACTGCCTATGCCACGTACTGGCAAAACACCATGGATGTCACTACAGCCACAGGTGTTGGTATAGCAGGTATCTCCGGATATTTCTTCGTCACGGGAGGTCTAGGAATAATTGCCAAGCTCAGTGCCAAGGAACAGATGCGCCGCGTGACATGGTTGCCCGGAACACCGCTTCGCTTTCGGTGGATGAGGGAGGAAGAGAGAGAAGCCTTGGACAAGATTGCATGCGCGTGGGGATTCAAGGAGTCATGGAGGCACGGAGAGGAATCGGGTCCGGATTGGGAAGGCTTGAGAGAGTATATGGGATACAGGCAGATGATCCTAGATCGGGTAGAGTTCATGGAGGGTATGAACTAAGACTGGGCAGGGGCAATATTATGTTGATGTTTCCATTTGTCTGATTATGTACCATCAGAAACTGTAAATATCCAAGAGAAGTAGAAGGTATCAACTCCCAAAGACATGTTAGACATTTGCGAGTTAGGAATGAAAAAAAGCTCGACCCAAACAGCTGTGAGGAACCATTTCAGGGCCACAGTCGACATAGCCACCCACCTTGACACAGGCATGTTAGGCAGTACAACATGAATAACCTCTTTTCAACCTGACGGGGCCATATATTTGGCATCAACATATCGGCTGTTGGTGCTTGCAAACTTGTCCATGGCTGTGTTGCTATGCAGTCTCCGGTACTTCGGTTGGGAAGATGTACCTGGCCTAACTTCAATGAAGACTGGACAAAATCTAGAACTGATGTGATCTTGATATTTCTGGTGAGTAATCATGGGCTTTACTTCTTAATCGCCGAGGGTATTCCTAGTGTTTCTTTGTCATTCGCCTCGTTACGCTAAGGCTCTGTTGTTCCAATCATAAGCGTCCATAAACGTACAAACACGATCCTATGAGTAAACTGTGAAGAGAACTTTCAAAACTAAGAGATGAGAAAGGATCCAATTCTGAATTTCCAATTCCAGCACAAGTATCAGCCTATCTAACTTGGCCAACCTCTAAAGTATCGGAACACATTCTGGGGAATTGTTGAGTCCTCGAAAACCAACCCGAGAGACGACAATAGTCTTCTTCCGACTCCATTTAAAATCCTCGGCACAGGTACAGCTGCTTTGATACTATGTAAAAAGCGTCTAGAAGCTCTCTTGCTCCAACCGAGAGCCTAGGATGATAAGATGATCATTTCTGGCTGGCTATCCTCAATAGAATTCGATGGTTTCGCAGCCCTTCCTAAGGCTTTTGGCAACCCTCTATACGCTTTGTTTATCAAACAACCTGTCTCTTCTATAAGTGGCAGCGTACGGCGCCCGGTCCTGACATCTACAGGCACCATACACGCGCAAGGCCGGGAGAATACAATGACAGCACTATAAATCCCTGAATTATCCCTTCCATCAACTTTTTATGTCTCTCCCATCAGTGCCAACAGAAGCATTACAATGGGCTTCGAATCATCCATTTGATTCGGAAACTCATTACCGCCGGGTCAACTCAGCTTCAACACCCAGCACACGTTGATGGCTCGCCCGCATTATAAAGCTCAGGTCGTGAGAAGGGCGGGGTGTGGGATAGGCTTAGTTGCTTAAATTGAACTTTTCGATGTTGACAAACTGCCTACTCGAGGTTGCCCGTCTTGTTGATATCAACCAGACTATGCGGGACTTACTTACAGCAAGCCTATATATGTAGTCAAAGCGCAGTGATCCAGACCACGATTGGAGAATACCTCTCTCTACGCAATTCCGAATTACATTACCGAGGACCAAGACCAACTTGACAGTCGATCACACCGGCGTCTTTTGCTCCCTGGCTGGCTGGCTCACATGGGGTTTGGGCCTCGTCCGCAACTTCAAATACATCGGATCGAAGTCGAACACCTTCATCCAGGGATACGGCTCATCGACATGTTCCAATAACCTTCCTCAAGCCACGGTCAGCATCTATAAAGAGGGTAGCTCCCCCAGTGTTAAGCTCCGAGTTTCGAACGGATGCGACATGGATTAGTACAATGAAGAGCCGTAAAGTTCGGTAGGTCGTTTACCATGGTATAAAGCGGTGATAGAATTGTCCAATTCACATGCCAGATACCTTTCACTCAGTTTTGAGCTGGACAGCTTCACCCCTTGCGAGGCTTATTGGATGCCTTGTGGCAGGATACTCAAAATGGACTCGGACCCAACTATCCCCTCTCGAGGGAGTGGCTCGATTCTGTCCAAGTTTCACTTATACAAGAATCAGAGGCTAAAATGCTCATGCTCAATTTCCGTACCACTGCCTCCAGGGACCCAGGCGGTGAGGTGAGGTCACTCTGACGTTATTCGACATCACCAAAATTAGGCGTGTCGGTAAAAGATATGAAGAAGATGGATTATTGACTGTGACCGACCACATCATTCAGCTTGGGAGCCGAGAAAGGACTCGCATAAACAGAAGATAAAAGAGATCACATGCCAAGCCTAGGCTCTCGAGTGTCCGTAGAAAATTGGCCAACATGTACAGTAAACCCGAATTGACGCTATTGCGAATACTACTTCCTGGGGTGGATTTTGTGAGGAATGAAATGGCATGCTGTAAAAAGAAGGATCTGTTTCTACCTAATGATTTTAATTTGGAACAATTTGGTACGTTAGGTAGGTAGTTGGTGCCATACAGACTGGAAGTACACACATAAAAGAAAAATGATCGCCGGCGGGTTTTCCTCATCAGTCTCACCGTCGGGCCAATTGGATCTCATGCCTCAAGCTCGAACACTACCAATGAGGCAAGTACTTCAGCCGCAATATGCATGAATCAGTATGTAGGTAATTAATCACATTTCAGAATCATGGCGGCATGATTATACTTTCGCGTGCAGGACATATTGCGATATAGGGTAGACCAGATGTGGCCAAGCGGCAGTTGAGGCGATAAGCTTAGGTTCGGTCCATAAAGAAAATTAAGCCCAACCGTTGCAAGCGCCTCCACTACAGCGACTGCTCAACAGTCGAAGTTCTTCCGTAGTATAGTGGTCAGTATGCAAGCTTGTCACGCTTGAGACCCGGGTTCAATTCCCGGCGGGAGAGTCCGTCAGACAGCCTCAGCTGTTGAATACTTTTTTTTTGTAAACTTTCTTTTTGTTCTCGAGAACCACCAACTATATACATGGTATTTTTAATGCTGCTGGCATTATGCTCTTTCCACTGAGAATTAACAGTCTTGCTAATATTTTTCAAACCTGTAGAAGATCGTGAACAAGCCTGGGTGGCTGAGTGAGGGAAGTGCAATCGTATCTCTACACAGTGACACAAGTATTGCACAGTGAATACCCGCCTCGGTGTGTTTGTGAACTCATTTCTTGGTACAAACACAGTTTGCTAATGAACCATGTACTCGGTGCCTTTGAAAGGAGCTATTCCTACACACAGACACACTCACCGGGGCAAACAACCCACTTCCCCGTCCTTTGTCCTACACGACAAACATCACCCAAAACATGAAAAACCTTGAATTTGAACAGAGCGCGCCTCCAGATAGATCTCCAAACATTCCCTCCTTCACTATAACAGGCGCCCTCCCCTCAATGATGTATATTTAAAACGACTTCCCTACCAGAGCAACGCAGAGCGGCCTCTACATCAACCCAAACTTGCTCTGGTAGCAGCACATCGCAGTGATACACCCTCAAGTCTTGACATTCCAACTCAAAACGACACAGTCAGGCGCCTGAAACTCTACTTCATCTTCTTGAATCCGTTCTATTGGAAACTCTCCCATACTACGCTCCTGTCAAAAGCCATTTCACTATGTCAAAACTCTCAATCTGCACCAACTTCTCTTCCACCCTCAGCTTCCCCGACACCGACACGAGGAGGCCCGCCAGCCCCCAACTAAGTGCCGGCCCCATCTTCGCCGGCTCTGCCATCCATCATGACCTATCTCTACCGACCTACGATCCAGAGACGGGCCTCGACCTCTTCCCACGCCTACCAGAGGACGATGATGATGTAGACAGCCACCACAGCACCACTCCATCCAACGACGGGGACATCACCGGCGACGAGATCACCATCAACACCAGAAACAACGACGGGAGCGGGACCAGCCTCCGCAGGAACCTGTCCGCCCGCCTCGCCCACTTCCTCCCCAAGGCATGGTCGGCCCCTTCGTCCCCCGTCGACTCCGAGCCCGACCAGCCAGCGCAGGCAGAGCAGCTTCGGAACCACAGCCCCACGTACTGCAAGCACACCTGGAATCGGGATTGCAAGTGCCCCGTCATCTTGAGCTCCAGCGAGGGCGGCTACTGTTGGTCTTGCCGAGGGCAAAGATGTGCTGCTGGCAGCGCTTCCCTACGCGCGGCTCAACTCTTGGAGATCACAACCCAGTAGTAGGTACTGGCTTGTCCGTGTTAGAAACCTGGTCGCAAGGCATGTATTCGTGTTTGTTTAGTAGTAAAGTGTATCATATCAGTGATTCAATGGAAATGCGGCTCTGTTCATGATCACCGCCAAGAGTGCGCTGGTAGATGTGAATATAAGAAACGTGTACCGCCGGCGGTCTAGTCAAATGAATGAAAAGAATCTTGGAAAATATCAATGTCCATACATTATTCGCTTCTAAATGCTCAAAATACACTCATTCTTTTCGGCACCATTAGCCAATATCATTACACATGTTAAGAAAAAACAGTAATAACCACAGCACGCCAGGTCTTGCGCCTCGCATTTAAAATCCGTTCCCATGCTGCTCATCGTCATACAATCTACCCTGGGTGGTATAGTCTATCCAGAGCAGTGTAGATTTTTAGAAAAAGCAAAAGTAAGAAAACTCCCAAAATAAAAAGAAGGAAAACAACGTGTGTAGTTTGTCGATTCTTCCATTGGTATTGTTCTTAACCTGTGACCCGTCTCACCCAGAGTGTTCCGGTGTTGTGTTCCAACTCTCGATCTTGTCGTCTATAGGCACGATGTAATTTCAAGCCAAGCACGTATTCTTGTTGTTGAATGTCTGAGAGTTCTTGCTGCATCGCTTCGACCTTTCTCTTCTCCTCCTCGCGCTTTCGCTGTACTTCGGCACTGACAATCAACATATCCTTGGGCATTAACTCGGTCAATTGTTTAATGCTTTTAGTCAGGTTAGCTCGTCGAATTGCAAGGCTCTCCAGTTGAGAGCTGAGGAAGGCAATGCGATCCTCAGGTTCAAGTGGTTCAGGAGGCACTGGTGGCAGCTCCTTCTCCGCCTCTGCCTGCGCCTCCTTTTCGGCCTCCTTTTCGGCGATTGTTGCCGTCTTGAGAGAGATGACAATGGCATTGTCCATCATTGCAGCAGGACTGTTACGTCCGGGAATCGGTCTTTTGCGTTCCATGACTGACACGATGGGCATGCTCTTGATGGGTATTTCGACCTCTTCTTCATCAGAGTTGGATGGAACAGTCTCCGGGGACCATTCATCTCTTGGTGGGGGAGGTGGTGGCGGAGGTGGCTGTCGTCCAAATGGATCCCCACTAGCCAGCCGTCTCCAAGTGGCCTCATCATCATCATCATTTGCCGGATTGTCGGAATAAATAGAGCTTGAGGTAGAGAGTTGGGGAGCATGTGCAGGAGTTCTGGGATGCCCAATCGATTTTCTTGGAATATTGAACTGCCCAGGCACACCAAGATTTGAGGGCGCTGAGGGAGCCAATGGTGTGGACATTGACGAGTCTCGGGGCGGCCACTGCTGAGGTGATGCTGCAATTTGCGTAGGTCTCGCATTTGCATACGCCTGGGGTGTGATGGGAACACCGGACTTGGGAGTTTCAAATGCAGGACTGTTACCCCTCGATCTGTCTGCAGCTGGAGCCGTCTTTATTGGCATCAGCCTTCGAACTGCAGCAGTGGCTGCAGCAGAAGCACCTTCATTGATATCCGTGACTGGTAAGTTCACAGGGGTTCTGACACGCTCATTCCGTTTGGCACTCTTAGGCGGAATTTTTAGAGGAGCAGCATTTAGGTCATCTCGGACAGGTGAGACTTGTGTTTCTCGGCCGCTGGCCCCGTTCCACGCTGGCCGGTTCTGGATAGGCTCTGCTTTCCCTCTACCAAATTGGTGACGCATCCGCTGTCCGAAGGAAGCGGTATTGGGGTTACTGGCCTGGCGTCGATCCTGAGATCCCGACATCACGGTTGTCGTGGTCCCAAATTTTGGGGCACGCTCTGGTGGTCCTGCCTGTGCCACAGATTTGGGATTCGTCGGATCGTCCCAGCCCATGGGCTGAGAGGGCTTTGGTAATGGCTCCTCGCCGGGTCGCGGGCTGTGTCGGTGGTCTTTGTTCGCTTGGGCGTGAGCAGCATCTCGCTGTTTTCGTCTTTCGCGGCGCATCGTGGGAATGCTCGTTTTGCCAATGCCGGACCTTGGGCCTGAAATTACTTGGGTAGGTTGTTGTTGGTAATCGTCGTCTTCAGTGAGTTGTGTATGCACACCTCTTGGTGCTTGAGATGATGGTTGTGTTGGTGGTTGATTTGCTTCTAGCTGTCTCTGGAACACATCTGGTTCGTCGTCAATCGGTGAGACATCGTAGTCCATGTACCTAGCGCACATTGATGAGCGGTCAGCCGAGGCTTGAACCTAAAACGATAGGCTCGTGCGAGCAAGCAAGCATGAAAAAAGAGGGCAAGTTAGATTGGATGTGAGAGGAAACTGTCGGGGCTTAAAAAGCTGCCAAGGGGGGGGGCCCAACACGATACGTTTCGGAGCGGGGGTGAGATTAAGCGACAGATGGGTAGTTGGTACGTATAGGAAGTTAATATAACATGGGGTGTCAAATTTGGCACGTACTCATTATTGCCATCAAACGGTTCAGGTGAACTTGGAGGCGATACGGGCTCTAGGGCTGCTCCAGAACCTGACGTGTACGGATACATAACGGTACTCTGTGGGTAGAGATGAGCGATGCCGTTGAGCTGATGGTCATCAAGATAGACGGAGGAAGCTGGACGCCAGTCGGAGATGCATTTAGGATGGCGATGCCCCCCGAATGGCGGCTGGGTTTGTTGCTGCGACCACAGAGAAACTGGGACGAGATTGGTGGTGGTGACGATGTTCGACCTGTTGGAGGAAAGAAGGACAAAGTCGGGTCAGCCGCAAATTTCTGTAGGATGATGGTGTGGCGCCGTGAAATTAATGGACAGGTGCAGATTAAAGGACTTTGCAGTGTGTCCTTGGGTGCGACTCTGATGTTGAGGTTACACGGTTGCCAACAGTCGTGCTCGTGCGACAACCATTGCAGGATCGGCGCGGCTGTGCTGCGGTGGTGGTGACGGGGGAGAAAAAAAAAGCCTGACCCAATGGCCACAGCGCGTGTTGCCTGAACAAACCAGACAAGACCAGACGATGCACAGGCACGTTCTCGCCGACGAGAGAGGAGAGAAGAGAAGTAATAATAACTAGGCCACCTACATTGACAAAGGGTCCCCGCCTGTGTTTGGCTACTGCTATTTTCGTAGGGGGGAAGCCTGCGGAGGGTCAAGTGGCCATCAACCAGGGGTGTCGTGAGGTCGTCGAGGTAAGGTACGGCAATCTGCTGTCGTTGAGTGGAGCGTGCCGACGGCTGCGTTGCCGAGAAGAGAGCGTTTCGAGGTGAGGACGGAAGGGGAAGGGGAGGAAGGAGAACCAGAAGGGGGAGAGGGACTGGGCGCGAGGGCGAGGGAGGGAGGCAAGGTAAATAGTGAAGATCCGTGAGGATGGTGTAAGGCACAAATACGAGGGTGCTCTGGAGGTGCTACCTACCTACCCTAGCAAGTAGGTCGAGACGGGACTGAGAGCTGGAGGTTGCATGAGAGAGCGATCCCACTAGTTATTACCTATTACCTAGTGGCCGTTTGGCTTGGGCTCCACTTGGACCAGGAAAGCCCCAAGCCAGTGCAGTGGATGAATGTGAAAAGAAGTTGGAGGAGGAGTGCAGAATCATCGGGGCTAAGAATACCAAGGTGCTAAACCCAACTCGAACCGTCAAGCGACATGCGGGCGGCGGCACACTCCACCAGCTGGTAGACGCCGCCGCCCACAGCTGAAATAATCCACGTCCACATACCTGCCGTGCTACGACTAATACCCAGGCACCCGGGACCGCCCAGCCAGCGCTCCAATTGGCAATCTCTACGTTGCTGGGTAGCCTGCGCGGATCGGCGGCCTTGCTGTGGTGCTGCCATCAATCACATGTTCGTGGCCATCAGTCGCAGCCGGAGGCATCTGGGGCCTGGCGATAGGCTGTGGGAAGGAGCGACGGGGGAGGGACGGGTGGTACCTGCTGCCGTTCTCACAACCACTTACCTTACATGAGCAGCAGGTAGGGTGAGGTGGTTACGTAGGAGGTCGCGGCGCGTGAGCAGCCAGCAGGTAGATGGAGGTACTAAGCAGGGGCAGTTGCAGATGCTACAGACCGACAAAGGCACTGGGGCTACTCGACTGTACGCTCTCGAGGTGCCGTGCAGTGTTGTGGAGGTGCTGCAATGCAGGTCCCCTCCCGGCTCGCCATGCAGGCAGAACCATGGCTGGTCATCGCAGCACCTATTGATATCCGGCGGCATCATCTATTGGCAATGGAGAGATGCCACCGTACGCAGGAGGTAGCATCGGCAGTACGACGCAGCTAATTACACATCATTATTGCTGCCCACCGACCTACCTAGTAGGAATGGGCATTGGGTTGAGGTGGGGACTTGGGCGTTCTGCGTTCTATTCTTAGCACCATTAATTAGCCCATCTGCCTGGGCTTGGACAAGATTCTTGCCCCATTCCAAGTCCCAAGGGAATCCAGCTAAATACTACGGAGTACCAAGAAGGTAATTACCTACCACACGCGCCGAGTCACGTCCCTTCCATCGTTGGATCTCCAATGCTCGGCAGGGATCTGGCTGGACGCTGACGCCAGTCGCATCCGGTGCTTATTCACAAAGGTCCATGCGATAGCGAGATGTGCGCCAACAGGCGGGGGACAACGAAAGGGCAAAACAAGAAAACAGAAGCAGATCGAGAGGTCACTGTCAGCTCGACCCGAGCGTCTATGTCGCAGCGCCATGCGGTCTGAAGAGTCATCTCTGATGTGAGAACCACTGGCTCATTTCTTTTCACGACCCGCAGGTTGTCTGTTTCAAAAGCTGGAAAAGGCGGGCTTGTCGGCTGTCAGGCCATCGCCCATGACCCTCTCACCCCCCTGTAGGAACTGCAGAGTGGGCTGTGTTGCTTGATTTCCTTGCTATCGGAGCCAACTAATCCCATCTGCTTCCGCTCTGAGCGCAGGGGGGCCAATCATGCTGCAACTCTGCCAGCCTGCATGCACCACTAGTATACGCACGGCGCAGGGTACACTCGCCGGCAATGTTTGCAAAGATAGAAATGAGGAGGATAGGATAAGACAGGAGGACACTGTGGGCCGCAAAGAACGAGACTTTGTGGGGTGAAGAGTGCCTTGTCTCATCTCGAAAGCCCTCCCCATCCCTTCTTTGGCCTAGAGACCTTCTTTGCCAGCAGCAGAAGGGAGGCGACTCCATTCAGCCAGCGGACTGCGCATCAGCGGCTGAAGCACCTACGGCTGCACCGTCGTTAGCCAAGCCCATTCGGGTCTGGTATCGTCTCCCTACCCAGATCATGTGGGCACACTACCGAGCGGCTAAAAGTTGCGGACTAATGTTCTAGCAATAAGGACTGGGGCTATTTTGATCCTTCGAAATGGACGCCAAGCAAGAGAGGGGACTGGTTTTTGATGAATGCGTGTTAATATACAGATCTAGCTACTACTACGGAAGGCGATCAACATGTGTATCCGCCCATTCACGAGGCCCCTTATCAGTGAAACAGCTCGACAGCGTCAAACACAAAGTTGGGGCTGAGGAATGTATCTCCAGAGCTGCCCGAGATGACCTCGATGCTGATCGTGTTGGCTCCAGCGACCAGTGTGCCAGCCGGGATTTTCACATCATATACCTCGCCCAACCCACGGTATGCGCCACGGGTCACACCTCGAGAGTCTATCTTGGTGGGGGCGCTGAACGATTGCGAGTAGCTGTTGACCTTGGCTGAGGGGCGACCACTGGCAAAGGCAAGCGTGGTGCCAATGCGGAGAGTTGCTTCAGAACTAACGGCAGCATTGAGGTTGAACTTGATGGTGACTGGGCTGTTCACCGCCTTGAAGAGTGCCATTGGGAATGAGCTCACGTCATCTGAGCCAACCGTGAAGGTGTCTGCCTTCCAGCCTGCCATCCGTCCATCACTGGGGTGCATCCTTAGCTGGTTGGCAGCGTTGAGAAATCCAGTGGGTTGACCATCCCAAACGCCAATCTGGAAGAGGGTGGTGCGTTTCGCGGTCACAATGTCCGAGGTCGCGGCAATGTTCGAGGTTGTGGTGCCCCCGGCAGTGACCTTGACTTGTTGCGAAGCGACCTTAAGCTCACCTTGGTAGAGGATCTGCGTGTAGGTTCCGGGGACCATGGCGGGCGATTTGAAGCTACCAGACGTACCTGCATATGCCCAGTACTGGTAGTCCGCATTTGTCCAGTGGACAACCGTCTTCAAGGAGGAATCCGTGCCGCTTGCACTGCCGCTAACAAAACCACGGGCCGAATCCGCAATGTAACCTGAGATACCTAGGTTTGCCCAAGGGCTGAAGTCGATCTCGGACTGCTTCGGGATCCCTGATCGACTGAAGACGAAAGCATAGGGGCCGTGGAATCCCTGCCGGTAGGCTTCCGTCTGCGCATGGTTCGAGTTCATGTAAAAGGTCAAGGAGCCCGCATCACCAGCCTGGTTTGTGTTGATGTCACGGAAGAAAGGCCCTCCAGAACTCTTCTCGTAGGATCGGGAGGCGTGCGCGACAACGCTAGCGTGCAGGTCCCCCGAGCTGCTTGCGAAGCCGTATACCCCATTGTCGATGAAGCGCTGCGAGGAGTAGAACTTGGAGCGTGTTTGGCCATTGACGAGGTATACATCGGACGCCTCGATCGCTGTACCACTCGCTGTGTTGGACACATCGCCAAAGGGAAACTCATTTGGCAAGACCGAGGGGTCCAGACGAGCAATGAAACGAAGCTCGCCAATTGCTGGCTCAGAGGTGGTGTCAGTGGCCATCTGGATGGCACTGGAACCCGAGGTAAAGACATAATAATGAGTCAATTTGAAATCGGCATTATTCGCAGCCGCGGACACAACAATGTACTTGCCTAGATTGTCTGGGTTAGCAACTTTCTCGTGTTGGAGATATCTTTTGAAGTCTCACTATCAACAATCTTGTAGGATACAGTGGCGGAGCCCAGACCAGACGCAATGTGGGAGCTCTTGGACTTATACTGAAGCTCGGTGCTTCTGTATTTGATCGATGTGATAGAACCATCGGTTCGGCTGATAGTCACAACGAAGCCATCGGAACTTCCAGAGTCCGCAACGTAGCTTGAAGTGCTCTCTGTAACACCAAATGCTGCCAGAGCTGGGGCTGCGCATGCCAGGAACAGCGCCCCAATGTACTTGAATTGAACCATTGTACAGGCGAATGGAGACGACTGCCGGGCAGACGAGACAGGGAAGCAAAGTAAACGAAAGAAAACCCAGGCAGCTGGATTCTCAACCTTCAAGTTTCAGATTACATGCGGCTACTATCAAGATCATATATATCGTCCCATTGCGTCTCTCCCCTACGCGCGTTTTCATCCCACCCTTGGCACGAAAAATAAGCTCAAGAGCTGGATGCCGTTTCGTCAGTTCTGCATGCCTTGACGAATCCCCTGAATCTCGCCGGAATACCCATGCTTGACCTGGTTATTATCCACTGACAAGACGACAACGGCAGTTTCTTGCCTTGACAGCCGAAGCCGAACCCCACGTTACCTGATTTGGACGGCTTCTATGGTTCCGTGTTGCTGTTTCTGAACTAAGGCAAAGGTGAAGAGCTGCTTATCCCCCAATACGATGGGCCTATCTCAATTGGGCTGTCCAGCCGAAATTTGAAACAAACTGGACATTGCAACGGATCTGTCAGTGACGGCTTGGCAGGGACAATGGGTGGGCATTCTCGGGAGAGCGGCGTCAAGTTGCAACTCGGCTCGACTAGTGATGGGACGTTTCGAAGTTCTTCCCCCAATCCGTGCCCGTGATCCTCACAGGCATCGCGTGCTTGGAGTTGGATCATCTCAATCCCCCTGAGCCTGGACGCATGAATTGCTTGATTTTCACTAGTTGATTAACTCTCTATAGGGTTCGGAATTTCCACCAACCAGGTAGCATTTGCGGATCAAGACCACCGCCATGACGATTATCACGTCGCCCCCAAATCCGACTCAATATGGGTTTGCTTCCAACACCCCCGGCCGTCGATTCCTCGCAGACGTAGAAGCATTCCTTTGATCCCTTGGCCCTGCATCCTTCCATCTTAAGACCTCCTCCGGGACCAAGCCTCAGCTCCATCTCCACTGGATCAGCATCGCTGATGCCCATAGTACCAGAAACCTGCTGACGGCGTTGCGCGAGGAATCGCTGGTCCTCCGGCTGCTTCCCCCATCATCGGTGCCGTTCACCGAGCCGTCGTGCTCGATGGTGATCTCCTCGCTTAGCCCAGCGGGCGTGCAGATGGTGCCGTCTGAGAGATTCATGACCTGGGTCCATTTCCCGTCCGCACACCGCTGCCAGGTCCCGGGCATGCAGTTCCACTGTCCCTCGGGAGAGCAGTCGGCTCCTTCGGTCTCAGCGCGGCGCTCTGCCGTGGTTACCAGTCCCATGCCCTCGGGGCCGACAGGGCCGGCACGGACTTGCAGGCCCAGCTGTGACAGTATCAGTATGAGGGCTGCAAGGCCGGGGAGCAGCGTCGAGGGCTGCCCAGATCTGCGAAGGATTCTCATGATTTAGGATTTTATCTTTAAGCTAATCGGTTTCGTTTACTTTTCTATAAACTTTATCACGTATTTAATTTGTCAGTGAATGTCACATAGGTTTAGAATAATTATTCTGGGTGATGGTAGCGGTGTAGACTTGGCGAAAGTTGAATCCTCGGGTCTGAACACTCACCAATGCCAAGTGGGATGATAGAGCACCGAGATTTATTCTTTGCCTTTTGTGTTCTTCTTTATCTGGTTTATCTGTCTAGATATGTTTCCATCTCTGGTTTACTGGGAGAATTTATTCCTTCGCAGCTGAATCACTGCTGAATTCTGTCTCTGTGCAAGTGAATGGATTGGTGCCCAGTGGTGGGTCGACTGGACGTGGATGTGTCTCATTGGAGCAACCGAGGGGTAGAAGTGCGCAGACATCGTGAGACCTGAATCGGTGAATCTAAGAAGAGATCGGGGGATGCATCACAAGATTGGGTGTTGCGTGCATGAGCCAGTGCCGTGCCGGTCATGCAATCACACCAGCAGTCCCTTGAAGTGGGCGTCAGCCGTCATCGAGGCATGGAATCACGCATGGAATCACGCATGACAAGATGAAAGCTGAATTAAAGAATCTCAATACTCCATCTATCCCTAGTCTATGATGTGTGAATGCTTTGTACAACCACAGTCTCCCAGCCGAACTCCGATTATGTGCAGCTGATGTGCATGTTGTAGAAGTTGGTCTCTGCCTTTGATAGAACAACAGGTAGATAAACACCTATCAAGGACCTAGACGCCCCATTTGGCCCGGGCTTCGGCGGCCTTGAGCCACTTCATGCGACGATCTCTCTTCGCGCAGAAGGCGAAGGCGATGAAGGTCAGAAGCAGGAGTAGGAGGAAGCCGGCAAAGACGACGATGAAGAGGGACGGGTTGTAGAAGGTGGTCGCGTCAAGCTCGGTGATGGTGATTTTTGCTTCGGAGCCGAGGTCCCCGGAGAGAAAAGGTCGGAGGACTGAGCTGAGCGAACTGTCCATGGTGAGTGTCGTTTCCTTCAACAGCGTCTAGGAAAGAGTGGTAGTTGGATGTCTGTGTAGCTCAACGTTAGCATGAGATCCGGCTCTAGGATTCGTTGAATCCGGTAGATCATAAAGAAACCGACTTACTCTGGTGGGAAATGGACTGGGCAGTAATTCAATTATTATAGAACGCTTTTATTTCGTCGCCAGCGATGAGTGTTCCCGTGAAGAAGAAATTATATAGACAGAGGAATGAAGAAGAAGAAGATGGGATGCAAGAGGGTCAGCTCACATATTTATGTGAATATTAGAGACCGGAGAGTTAGGAGAGAGGAAATGAGTGCATCTTCGTATTGTCGGTCGGCAATGTTGAGCCGCTCTTAGTATTGTTCGTCTAGTCGCAGCTACAACCTTCAACGGCTCACGGTTGCGGCCGGTGCCGATCTCTGCATTATTCTTCAGGCAACAGGTGTGAACAATATTAGAAGAGCATCAGCTTCACGCTAAGTATCTCGAAAAAGAAATACATTTGGTGGCGCCTGTTTACCTGCAAGGGTGGACAGAAGCCATTCACGACGACAAATGTAGACATTCACTCTACATGTCGCTGCCTCTGCCTGCACCACGACGTTTTCCAGTCATCGTCCATATTACTCGACTACGTTCAGAGATGCTTTGCTGGATACTTGGGTACTTGAGTAGGGAGTTATCACAGGCATTTCTCACTTCAAACTTGGCTCAGCATTGGCAATATGCATGGTGATATACTTTATTCAAGACATCTATCTGAAATGTGCTAACCAGCCAGTAGATTCGCCTGTAGATGGTACATTAATAAACCCGTAACCCAGCCTGACAGGCTTTTCCATCCCGTTATTCCCATCCGAGCCACAAGCCTGAGGCTCTATCCCAATTTAGATCCGCCAACTCCGTCCCAGTTTACCCAAGCCTGACCTGTCACAAAAGAGAAAAAAAAGAAACACCCAGCCCAGTCATCCGGCATAAAAATACACACGCGCGTTGTCTCATTCTGCGATCGTTTCCCTTTCCGGTCATCAACGGTAGTCTTCTATACGTCGTCCACTCCGTAATTAGTTTAGATAGTTGGTCTGCTGGCTCCCCTAGTTCCAGCTGGCCACTGTGCCGTTCCACGGGGGGTATGTGGTCTGCCAAAGTCCGTCATTGGTCGAGACCGATGAGGGCACGGTGCTCGTCGTCGCCGGGGTGGTGACTGCTGATGAGGTGGGAGTTACCACTGGGGGGTAAGACACAGTGGCAGTGGGCAGAGAGCTGCTGGGTGGCAGACTTGGCGATGAGGGAACCGCCGAAGAAGTGGAAAGCGCCGAAGTAGTCTGTGGAACGCTGGGTGCCGCAGCCTCTGTAGAGGTGGGAACAGGCTGGGGCACACTGGTGGAAGACGAAGTTGTGCTTGTGGCGAGTGATTCTGTGGCTGTGGAAACAGCCGAGGAAATAGAGCTAGCTTCCGTCGATGTTGATGAGCTGGTAGATGAGGCGGTAGATGTAGATGAAGTTGTTGACGAGGTCGTGGTGGGCTCTGCAGAAGAGGGAGCCGGTGGCGCCACTGAGGGTGCCACATACACAGTTGTTGTGACATCGTCGTCAAGGTCGATGACGGAAATAATAGTAGTCGGAACAACCTGTGTGACGGTGGTGGGCTCGGCGGTCTGTGTGACGGTGTCACCAGTCTTGGTGACTATTAAGGAGACTGTCACGACGCCATTGCTGGGACTGTCCCCTGGACTTCCATTTCCACCGCCGTTGTGGTTGTCATTCTCATCGGGGATGAGAGGAACAACTGAATACTTGGGTTTGTCAGGAAGAGCTGCACGAGGCTGCAGTGCTCGATATGGCAGCCCAGCTATCGCTGGAAGCAGGGCTGAGAGCGTAAGCAGACGTCGAGTTGAGGCATACATCTTGAAGCTTCTCAAACTCGTTGGTGCGAGGGTGCGTGTAAGTAGCCCCGTCCGTCTCAAGCCACCGTCAGCAATTGAAATGCAAAACCTCAGCCGAAAAATCAATCATGCACATAAATGATCAGCAGAATGAAACGAACAGTATTGGTGATCGATATGAGTTTCAGCCAGTAGATTTGCACAGAGGACAGAACCCTTCCACTGCGGGAGCGTGCAGATGCAGGCCATTTTCAATACACCAAAATGCTGGAGGCTGGTGTCACTGAGACGGGCGAATATGTGGTGGTTGGGTGGATAAAATTAAGCTCCCGGGTGTCGCGTCCATTGGCCAGCGCCAGGGGCTAGTGCTTGCACCACCAGAGGTGCCTGAGTATCCACTGTGCAAGGGGCCCGATCCTAGCACGTTCAGCAGCAGCAGGTGCCTGGCCCAGGACACACAGGCGGCAAGCCAACGCGTTTGATGGGTGTGGCTTTGATGGGGCCATTTCACCAGCCACCTTAATGGAAAGCTTCCATGCCACGACCCCTAAAGTCTGGATTTATCTGCGCCCCACAAGCTTCTGCAGGACATCAATTCCTGTGCATCAGATCCATGGCAAGTCCAATTCACTGCTGATAAGGTGGGCGGCGGCGATGCATGTCCCATGCCATCTATGTTAAGAGTCGCATGCCTTCTGGTACGTATCTAATGGTGGAACACGGACAGGCATTGAGCTGGAAGCCGCACCCAGTAAGGCTGACTGCCTGGACCAAGCGTCATGATCAATCTTTCTGGAATGCGGGGCGGTCCGATCAGCGCCGGGTGTTCGGACGCGGTTTATCTGTGTCGTTTTTTGCATAGACAGCTCCATCACGACACAACCTTGATGGTGTTAAAGTCGGGCACTAGCAGAAGCACCTCAGTAGTACTCTCCGGATTCACACGATTGTTATTAGACGCATCTCGATCAGTCTATTCCGATCCTGGGTGTTAGGCAGGCCTGAACCAACGCGTCCACCCTGAGCCAGGAGAGGGCATCATCAGGTGGCATCTGTCAAGCCAGTTCGATCCCTGCCCATCTGGAGAAACAGGCAAAATATATTGTCATGATACCACCATCCAACTGGCAATGAATCCGACACGGCCAATCGCCAGAAAATGTCTGTGTGGCCAATTTCGCGTGCATGCAATTGCTACCAAGCACCGCCCATCCCATTACCCATTAGGCGCACCGCCACGCACCGGTTTAGATGACGTCTATGTCCGATTAGGCGCACCCCGCCACTGATCACGCGTCACAAACATCGCACAGCCCACTGCCCACCTAAATATTTAGTCGATGGTTCGCATTCTGCCAGCTCGAGGTTTTGCTCATACTGAGCCCGTTCCGCGCCCAGAGCAACACCTCGCAAGCTTACTGCGTGAAAGCAGCCCATCCTGTACAAAGTATCCTCTCGCTGCGCAATCACTACTAGTATCGATTTAGTCATGTCTTATCACGGATACGGCCAGCCGCCGTACGGCCGTAAGTTGCTACCCCTCCCAGACACTGATCTACAATCCCAAACTCGCGTGGCTGACTGGTCTTAAATCATAGAACCTCCCCCTCCCCAGGGCTATGGACAGCCACCACCTCCCCAAGGCCATTACCCACCTCCTCATGGCCAGTATCCTCCCCAGCAGCAGGGTGGCTACTATCAGCAGCCTCCTCACGCGCCATCGCCCCAAGGCTACTACCCTCCACAAGGCCAAGGTCATTATCCTCCGCAACATCAAGGCCAGTATCCTCCTCAAGGTTACCACCAGCCACCATACGGCCAGCCTCCACCACAGCAATATGGCGCCCCTCCTGGACCATACGGCGCACCTTCGGGGCCCCCACCGCAACAATATGGCCATTCCCCAGCTCCCAGTGGTCACTACGGCGCGCCGCCAGGTGCACCACCTGGAGGACACCCGGGAGCACCATATGGTGCTTCATCCGTCCCACCAACGCCTGCATCACCGGGCTACGGTCCTCCCCAGATTATCCAATGGGACGGTGGAGCTGACGCCAAGTCACTTCGTGCCGCGATGAAGGGATTCGGAACAGACGAGAAGACACTCATCCGAGTCCTGTGCGACAAAGACCCGCATCAAATCGAGTACATTCGCTCAGCCTTCGAGCGCGACTTTAACCGAAACCTTGTGCAAGACATGAAGGGCGAAACAAGCGGATGGCTTCAGAAGGGCTTGCTGCAATTAGGCCGAGGCCCCTTGCTGGCCGATGTCTACCTTCTACACGAGGCCATGGATGGACCAGGAACGAAAGAAGTCATACTCAACGATGTCCTCCTGTCCCGGTCGAATGCCGATATGAAGGCCATCAAGAGTGCCTACTACAAAACATTCAACCGAAGCCTCGAAGACGTCGTCAAGAGCGATCTAAGTATGAAGACTGAGAGACACTTCGTCATGGTCTTGGCCGCAAACCGGGCGGAGGACATGGCACCTGTGAACCAGCAACAAGTGGAGGACGATGTTTTGCAGCTTTACAAGGCAACCGAGGGAAAGATGGGCACAGACGAGCTCTTGGTCTGCAGTATCCTCTCCTCGAGGAACAATGACCAGATCAGAGCCATTGCGCACTCGTACAAGCAGAGGTTCAGGAAGGACTTTGATGATGTCATCAAGAGCGTGAGTTCACCCTCCTAGTCCCAACATTAACTCCATATTCTAACTTTCTCAGCAGGAATTCTCAGGCCACATGAAAGACGCCCTGCTCCACCAACTTCGCTACGCGGTGGACAAGTACATGCACGCCGCTGTGTTGCTAGAAGAATCCATGGCCGGCATGGGAACCAAGGACCATCTGCTAGTGTCTCGCCTTGTTCGCTTCCACTGGGACAGAAACTTCCTGGCCAACGTCAAGGCAGCATACCAGCAACGTTATCGCAGAAGTCTTGCTAGTCGGGTCAAGGGGGAGACTTCCGGGGACTATCAGCGACTCATGCTTGCGATTATTGGAGAGTGAGATGTAAAGTCGTGATACCCTGTATGATTACATAGAACAAAACAATAACGTTATCAATAATATGAGATATGAGAATTATTAACTATGGGCCGCCAGATTAATATCAATATTTCAAAATCACTTTTTCTCTCTCTTCTTTCCTACTATCACGCCAACTTTTTGCTGCCACCTACTCAAATTCAACTACCTACCCTAAATGCCCGTGTTGAGGAACAAGCTATACAACCACTGGTAGGTAACGATCTTCCATTCTGTCTGTGTCCGCCTTCTAGTTTATTCTCTCGATCGCGAGATGTTCCTCTTTACATAGTCCTAAGTTTCGGTCCTTAGTTCATAGCATCCGCATAAGACGACTGAGCCTGGACTAGTTGAAGTTACTCCATAAATGCGGCCGGTGGTTATCGTAGCATTTGACCAAAGTACAAAAGATAAACCTAGTAAATGAAGATTTTACAACCTCAAATCATTACAATGGTCTCTTTAATTGATGTCGACGCTGTTGGCCGTCGGCCAATTCAAGGCCAGCACCGATTTAGGCATCGAAGGTAGCCAGGCAGAGTCAACCCCCCATCGTTCCTGCCTGCCAAAAAGCTCGCAACTGCCTATTCGCAATCCATTTACTTAATGACGAGAGAATCTCGCTTCAAGCTGAGAATCAATTTATTCAATCAGCATTATAATGTCGATTGACAAAATGAAAGCGAGCCTTCTGTCTCCGCCAGAGGAGATGCAAAAGAACCACCCACACCATCCACACCCTCACCTCTCAGCTACTCACGGCGATTCCCGCCAAATCTACATTTCTAGTCCTGCCATTGTTCACACTCACCGCCAATATCGCTCTGCTGGTCCTGCCAAGTTTCGACCATGGACTTTATCAAGCAAGAAGACTTTGTGAAGGAGGAAGAAGGATATGAGCCCGGCATCCCATCTCACGTGCCACCATTTCCATGGAATGACGAAGACACCAAATTTACAATGTTATTCCGCGACTTCGGAGGCCTGCCTATAGAGCCCGCTACGGCTGTAGTCATAGCCTTGAGGACGCTCATAAGGTTCGATGAATTGATCGTACCGTTCGAGAGGAAGATTAGCCACTCCGACGATGGCCTGAGAGCCTGGAGAGAGAACCACAAAAAGGCCGTCGATCTGAATATCGTCGGCCTGCCTGGCTACCCCCAGTTGATGACATGCCACCAGGGAATTTCCACGTGGAACGACAAGGCGTGGGAGACCAGATACTCATACCTGGTTGAACAGCGGCGGAAAATCATAGACAAACGCCTGACCCAGATCGGCATCAAGAAACCAATGCGGGTGCGGTTCTTTAGGCAGGAACCGGAACAGCCGCGCCGGGCAATCCTTGCTCATGATTCATCTGGTCGGCTTCGAAGCATCAAACTCCACTGTGACTGGTGGCAGCCGGTGAATGTGCTTCTAAGAAGACTGGCACGCCAGTTTCCCGGGCGTTCGGGCGAAATTTTCTACAAATTTTGGAATCCATCCCCCGGGCTACGTTGTGAGGACGGAATAGACGAGCTTCGATTTGTGAACCCACGGCGGACTTGACGAAGGAATATGGGTTCTCATGCCAAACAAACAGACCACCAGATAGTATCGAAGCCATATCACCTTACTTACTAATGTATAATACATGAGCTGAAGAGCAAGAGCATCGGTTTCTCGTTTTTCATGCAACACCGTGTCGATCTAAATAAACCTATGCCAGACGGTAAGTATTCTGTTAAGCCTGTAGCAAGTGGGTACACTTCATCCTCACCAAACATCTCCCTTTCTACGACCAGGCACGAAGTCTTGGAGGACCAGGGCTGTTCCCGCCCTGATTTTTGCCATCGAGCGTGGGAAGACCAACCCAATGTGAGTGCACGCATGCAAGTATGGCTCGACACCGCATCCAAGTTTCGAGACAAGAGAAAATCCGGAAATTGCCATCCTAGGCAATAACAGGGTTCCATGACAAGAAAGCGATTCGACGTGATTAGGCCTGCTGACATGCCCAGGAAGGACCCATCTTGCCGCGAGCGGTGATGACCATGGTTGGAATAACAGCGTCCGGTTTGGTCCACCGACTCATCAGCAGAACACCCAATCCTGATTTGATGGCGAAATGGGGTCCAAAGGGAAGAAGTAACCGTTTCACATTTGCCGAAATTGAAGAAGCGACGGAGGTTGCTACCCTTCGTGGCACTAAGGCGCATTCTTTAGCGCTAATTAGCAGTAGTGGCCGGGTACCGAGCATGCGGGGACGTCGTGGCGTCTCAGAAATATGGACCGCTGCCGGAGCCAGGCACCACCTTCCACCGCCTGGAACGTCCGTCTTCTGGCCAGGAGCAGGCCGAGGCAGCTCCTTCTGCACAAAATACCGTGAGCGCTTAGAGGCAAGAACCAACGGCCGCGCCTGCCTAATACCGCCTTTTCCTTAACTTCGTCCTCCCCTGGCCCCCGCTGCCGCTGCGCTCAAGACTGGATTGGACGGAGGATCAAAGTTCCGGTTATTAGGCAGTTCCAGATAACGTTGTTGCAGGGCTGTTCCTTCAGGTCCCAACCAGATCCGAACAAGTCCAGGCACAGGGGTTCCCACCGTCCTGGCCAAGGCTGCAGGGGCTGGCTCAGAAGCGACTGGCAGCAGCCTTCATTTCTCAAAGAGGTCGAGATTGGTTTCAACCCGAACTCCCATGTTCTCCCATCGTCACCACCTGAAGAGTTTCAGGTGCTGTAGCCGCTCCCCCTGGAATCGATTTTTCGAAAAGAGCTGACAGGAGCTGACGCCATCACTGTGATGAGTGCAAGTGGTCTTCTCATGTGGTTTTATCGCGTGGTCTTCATTTCAGAGGCCATGGCTCTTTGGCGATTATTGAATCTTGCGGACACTTTTTCGCAGATTCGATTCATCTCGCCGTAGAATTCTCCAGATGGCCGATAACATTCTCCCGGGTCGCCTCCATAGTATATCAGGATCGGGAGAAAAGACAACTCTATCTGCGCAAAAGAGTCTAGAAGGGGTGGGAGCGCTTGGCGTCATCTGTGAGAAATAACCCTCAGGTCGTGATCCGCCCTTTTTACCTTACCCTTGTATCTACCGTACACCAAATCCTCATCTGTCAAGCGCCCGCTCACTCGCCGCTCTGCATGCAGAGTTGCCATGCGAGGGGACCTGGTCCGCCCCAAGTGGACCATGGCCAGTCGCTTGGCCCGCAGAATCTTGTAAGTGGCTGTTTCAACGACGAGTATAAGACGTGCTCTCTGGTCCGTCGTCTGAAGTTTTCTTCTCTCTTCCTCCTCAGGCTTATACAACAGCTTTCAATTCATTCTCTTGTTGCTCTTGCAATCCAAGACATTTCATTCATTCATTCACTTCATTGACTGAAGTCCCACTTTCACTCACTTGCACATTTCCTCAAACCGCTAGCCGGATCACCAACAAAGTACAAACAAACTTCCAACCGAAACCGTCCATCGATTGTGACATCTTCGACTTCAAAATCGACAAAATGCCTTCTGCTGCTCGAGTTCTTGCTTCCGCCCTCGCTGGCGCTGTCGCCGTCTCTGCCCACGGCTATGCCAAGGGTCTCACCGTCAACGGTGTCTACTATGCCGGTTACGATGTGACCTCCGCTCCTTACCAGGCCAACCCTCCTACTGTTATTGGCTGGGGCACCTCCGCAACGGATCTGGGATTCGTTGCTCCTGATGCTTTCAGCAGCGGCGATATTGTTTGCCACAGGGATGGCACCAATGCCAAGGGCCACGCCACCGTTGCTGCCGGTGATAAATTGTACATTTCTTGGAACACATGGCCCGATAGCCACAAGGGCCCTGTTATTGATTATCTCGCGAACTGTGGTGATGCTGGTTGTGAGACTGTTGAAAAGACCAGCTTGAAGTTCTTCAAGATCGCCGAGGCGGGTCTCATTGATGGGTCAAGCACTCCCGGAGTCTACGCTGCGGATGAGCTTATCGATAACAACCTCGGATGGATGGTCGAGATTCCTTCGGATATTGCCCCAGGAAACTACGTCCTCCGCCATGAGATCATTGCTCTTCACTCCGGTGGCAACGCGAATGGTGCCCAGAACTATCCCCAGTGCTTCAACCTGAAGATCACTGGTTCAGGTACCTCCAACCCTGAGGGTGTTCCTGCCACAGAGCTGTACACTGCCAACGACGCTGGTATTCTGTTTAGCATCTACGGCTCTGTGAGCAGCTACCCTATCCCTGGCCCTGCTCTGATTGCTGGTGCTTCTGCTATTCAGCAGGCGTCCTCCGCTGCCACCGCAACCGGAACTGCCACACCTGCTGGCGGCGACAGCTCTAGCCCGACCTCCGCCGCTGGATCTTCTTCCGCTGCTGCTCCTACCTCTGTCGCTGCTTCTACCTCTGCCGCTGCCGCTCCCACCTCTGCTGCCGCTACGTCTGCTGCTCCTACCTCTGCCGCCCAGACCACCGCACCAGCTTCCTCCTCTGCTGCCCAGGCCAGTGCTTCCTCAGGTGACTTCCTCACTCTCTCAACTGGTAGCGCCCCTGTTGCTAGCTCCACTGCTACCAGCACCGCTTCTCAGCCCGCCCAGACCACTAAGGCCCCTGTCTGCAAGAGCAAGCGCTCCAAGAAGCTCCGTCGCCACGTTCACTAAGGGGATAATTTCCTTGAAGTATTAGGGTGGAAACATCTAACACAATGTTCATATACCAATTGATTTGGTATGACTTGTTCCCGGGGATGATGGATTGTTTGTACACTCGAATTCTGTTGTATATATAAGTAAATATAGGCCTGTATGTTGGTATGGGATGGAAAAATATATTAGAACTATGCTATTGCTACATAAACTTCCTACCGTCCGGTGATTTCCCAATGTACTTTCTTGTAGATATCCTCGTGTAAATGTTCCGCCATTATTTCAATGCTTTATTTGGTATTCTGCTATCAAGGTAAGTCGATGTGGTACACTCTGAATTGTGCGGATCTCATCGTATTGCGACTCTGCAGGCAGAAGGGCGACCACGAAACGCTGGACACCTCAGTTGACAGACTTGACATGGCATTGACAATGGGACGATTGAGAACCCTATATGAAAGTCAAAGACCCAGTTCCGAACAAGCTTTAATCGTCTTGCACATTGCCTTGAGAAGATTTGGAATTCAACAATCCTCATTGGATGGCAGCAGCTTAGCTCGCATGTTTGCTAAGTTGAGTTGCACTTAAATAAAAAGTGGAGTTAAAACATGAAAGTGAGGAGGGTCTAGATATAATTGCTTATTAATGATACCAATTGGAGGGGCAAATAAGTTAATTTGGCCTTAAATATAAGGCGGGATATATTTATTTTATCTGCTAACCACCCTCGTCCCTTCCCCACTTTATTTGGCAAAATATCTAGCCCCATCACGCCCACGGAAGGAGCGCGTTCTTGAAGGCAGCGCGCGCTCGAGATAACCGCACTCTCGTTAATTTTCCCTAGCCTTTTCTATCTTTGAGTAACGTTCATGCGTCGGATAATTCCCTTTCGTGCTCCCGATAAAGAGAACTTTTCTTGACAACATAGCACCGGCTCTGAACTGTTGTAGCTCAGGGAAGGAATTGAAGTCGCAGATCAGTCGCGCCTTCTCACAGAGAGCATATAATTGCTTAAAAATTCGCCAGTTTTTATGACTACTTCTCCTTCATCATTCATAAAAAGATGGCGGCAAATCCTGCCGGTGTAGCTCCACGCCCTCCGCCTCCAATGGCTTCGCAAGCTCCGGGAATCAAGATGAACGGGCCACCTGGCCCTCATTATGCCGTACACCCTCATGCAGGTCCCAGAGGAGCAATGCCATCACCACCAGCGCCGCCTCGGGCACTGTCGCAACCAACAAGCTCACATGCATCTCCCACACTGTCCAGCGTCCCAGCTCCTCCCGGGTCACACCAGCCATCTCCAGTGCCCGGAGCTACTCATCGATCTCCCCCCTCGGGCAGGTTGGTCACTCCTGATCAGGGCGATGCCCATGCGACTATGGATCTGCAAGGGACGGATGACTACTCCCAGCTCTCAAGGCGCATCAAGGAGACGAACCCTCAGGTTGTCCGTCAGGTGCTGAGAGACAATTGGCAACCTTGTTTCCTTGGTTCGGACTTTCACAATGCCTTTATTGTAAGTTGGGGTTATTGGCGCGTTGAAAGATCTTGTCTGGGAAACGCTATGCCGATGATACATTTCCTTCCCAGTTTGATACCATGGCAAGCTAACGATTTCACTAGCTAAACACGATGTTGCACCAAGCCTCGCCAAGTGTTCTATCTAGGGCGATTCAAGACTTTGGCAGCAAGATGGTGGCGAGCTCACTACCACAGATTTTAGGACACTGCACCACCGAAGACTATGATCGCGTTGCAGATATTCTCATATCAAAAGTCAGCTTAGAGTTCCTTGACAAGGCTCTAGCTCGTCGACTCGAAACGATTGAGGCAAGAAGCCTGGTTAACGCCCTGGCTAGAGCGGAGCGGCTTGGGTATGACGTCTCGGACATTGTGGAGGATAGAAACAACGGCAAGCCGGAGCATGTCATTCCCTCACTTCAAGGAGTCATCTTACCAGCAAACGTCCCGACACCTCAACGACCTTGGATGACGAACTCGTGGCCTGGAGGGGCGCCACCATCAGCGCATGCTAATGTTCCTCAGCCCGACACACGCATGTCGTCTCCCAGTGCTGCGGCTGACTCCAGTTCAATTGTCCACTGCGAGAAGTGCCAGCGGCCATGCAGCGGACTGGGAGCTCTCTCATTCGTAAGTGATGAAATACAACATTTGTACCTAAGAAAGCAAAAGTCTGACCTAGGGCGTAGCACCGTGCAAAAGAGGCGTGCAGGAGAATCTTCTCCATGGATGATGTTAACAGAACTATTTGCGCTCACTGTGGGCGCCTCTTCACTTCCGGCGGGGGCCTATACTACCATAAGAAGAGTGAAGTCTGTGGTTCGTATTCTGACAGCGATATGGACAGGATTATGGCGCATCTGAAAGCGTATCTTGCACACAACCAAGCTCAGACGCCCCAAGCAGCCAACGGTCAATGGCAGCAAACGCCAACTGCGGTGGCATCACACAACCTGACTACACCCATGAAAGCCGTCGCTCACACACCAGGCTCTGCCTCCGTGAAGCATTCTACAACGCCAATGGACACAAGCCCTGCATCGCTCTTTTCACATCTTAATCCCGACACTCGAAAGAGGTTCGAAGAGGAGATAGCTGAGTCAGAGAGGAAATATGGAGCTTGGATGCAGGAAGCCCTGGATCTACCGGAACCCGAGAGAACCGATCGATTGACCAAACTAAAGAACAGCTATAATACAAGGCAGAGTACCACCCGAAAGAAGTACGGTATCAAACTTCGTGGGAACAGAACTCCCGAAGAGATAGAAGGAGAACGGCGTCGGTTGTTCGGTGCAAAGTATCATCCTAACATCTGGTCAACGGGAACGCCAGCAGTCAGAACTCCCCAACGGACAAGGACGCCAGAAGCGACATCTTCACAGGCGGACACGCGTCGCAAGCGAGTGCGCCTCTCGGAAATGGGCGGTCTATCGGGCTCAGCGGCATCGGTAGAAACAACAGACCCGACAGCGTTTCTTACATCGAGCCAACCCAACGGCATCAGCACGGCGCGTGAGGCACATGCAAATGGCACGGTCCACGGGACAACACCAGATGACCCCATGTCAATCGACAGCGATGAGGAAGCAGACAATGAAGGACCTAGTTCTGAAAAGACCGAAGGGGATGAGGACTCTGGCAACAGCAGCTCTCAGACAGATGATATTCCAAGTCATGAGGAATAAGGGCAAGTACTTGCCACGGAGTTGAGGGAGGTTTGCTTCTAGGCGTTGAGGGAGATCTACACCGGCGTTTGGGGAACACTTGGAGTCAAAACTTTAGAGCATAAAGCAGCGAATTTGCGGCCATCATGCGTGCCGGGGACTTTGCTACAGGTTCTTGATGGTAGACAGTGCCTGACAGACATTGTCATGGGGTCCACATCAATCACTTAATGAAACATGATCAGAAATGAAGGTTAAGCTTCTGGATCTCGATAATTCAATCGTGCGTAGATGATTGCATCGTAGCGAACAAACACTTGTTGTTGTTTGGTGGACCTGGGCTTTCGAAGTTGGGGGGTTACGCCAGACCCGAACCGGAGCAGATGGATGCGAGATGCATTGCTATCAATCCGCCTCGACCGGGATCACATACTTTATGCGTGTTTGACAAGAAGTTGTTTCGCATGAGTTTGTATTATTAGGATCTCCCCCTTTGGACTTTTGGTAATGGGGAGACTGCTTCCAAGAGCCAGGACACCACAGATCGTTTTAGTGCGTCATGGCTATTCGGAGCCATCCAGTAACATCGGTCTGCCCATTCGTAAGAAGCAGCTTTAATTTATTTTTAGGGCCATTATAGTCGGAACAGGAAAGATGGTGAGGAAACAATGGGGCGAGCTACATTCTTAGTCAGTTGCAACCAACAGTCGTGTGCTGTAAGCGTCCGAGCTTTCTTCGTCGAAGATCCCTCCCCGGTTGGGCACTGGGCGGTCACCAAAAATGCCACGAGGCATGGCCATGCTTTCCGTTGCTTGATGATTGCTTTCTTTTTAATTCTACTAAGGTTATGATGTCAGGTCCCCTCTCCCCCCTCCCGCCCCATCCTTCTATTTGCAGTGTGCCTGGTGGCCTTTGCGGCTCAAGCGAAGGAGGATTCGCATTATTACAGGGCCGGCTCAGTAATTTCAGGGAGCCAAGTTCCGCGCTGTGGCGGACGAACTACGACCACCTGAGCAACCAAAGCCTCAATTACAGACGTGCTAGCAAGGGCCAGCCATGGATTCCAGATGAGGAGGAGGAGGAGCAGTGTGATGGAATGGATGCGACCCGAGTACGACTGTCTGCGACGCGACCGAAGCAGCAAGAAGCTCTTCGCATATCTCACGTATGCACGAGTGCAAAAAAGAATGCCCTCTTCCAAGTTCCCGTGTGTTAGTCAGTGGGTGATTGTGCTTCAGGGGACGCGTGAGCGCCTAGGATTGCAAGCTCATTGGAGGCTGGCCCGTCAGTCACAAGCGGGAGAGAAAAGGACGCGTTTGAGATGTCTGCCCCCCATGATGAAACAGACGAGCACCCAACCAGAGCGCCCCTGCGTGGGTGGGACAGGGGCCGTGCCAGAGCAGCGTAGCATGACTGCGGGCGGACTGGGCGACGATTCGCTGCCACAGCCGATCGTAGCACTGGTGCATGGGTTCGTCGGCGGGGGCGGTGTTTCGACTATGGATATTTTGAGGCAGGTTCCCAAGGTGATTCGGCGAGCGGCCAGTCTAGGCTCGGCTGGGCAGTCCCCACAGCGGCAGGGGACCAACTCGTGCCTCACACTACTGAGCCTGTGCCTGCGCAGGTACCTCCCTAAGACAGGAACGGGCAAATTAGCAGGGGAAGTGTTAGTCCCCAGGAAGGAAGCCACGCACGGCACGGGCTGGTTGGTGCAGCAGGTGCGCCCTGGGGACCTGCCCTCTGACCAACCGCAGCGAGCGCAGCCTTCCCACCTGGGCAGACGTTAGGTGCCAGGCCTGGGGGCCGGTCCTGCACGTCAAGGTGTGATGCCCTCCTCCCCTTTCTGACGCTTGTTGGCGAGCCGGTTTTATTCCTTAAACCTCCCTCCTTGTTTCACTCGGGTTTCCTCTTTTCTTCCGCTCTTCTTTCCTTTTCCTTTGCTCCTCTGTCACTTCTGTCAACGCGATCACTTCTGATTCTTGTTTCCTGTTGGGAATACCGCGCGGATCTTCCGTTTCCTTTCCTTTTCATAATCCCGACTTTCCTTTCTCCTGGCCGGACCAGCCCATATATTGTTTTTTCCATTTCGACGACCCAACCTCATCCTTCCGGCCGCACTGAACATACGACAATACGATTTCCCTTGCCTAGTTATATCGCCCGTTTGGAATCAGTGCCCCGAATTTGCAATCATCAGCTCGTACGAACCCGAATACCTGGTCCCCAGCACCAACACGCACCGAACAACACCTGAGACCGAACACCATGGCTCCCTCTTTGGTTCACCGCGCATTCCACTGGTCGGTCGATCTGACCTCTCTGCGCGCGGACAAGGCATCCGCGAAGCAGAAGGTTGATATGAGCGTGGACGACTCCAAGTCGGTCGCTCTGGGAAATGCGACTGAAGGCCCCACCTCGGCAACGGCCACGGCGATCACGAGTAATGCCCAATCACCAAAATCATCAAAGACCAGTGGCATGACCACGGTGTACATTGGTCCCAAGCAGCAACGTTTCAAGGTCAACAAGAAGCTTCTCTGCGCTGCCTCGCCCTTCTTCCGGGACCGCATCGAGGACCCTACCCAGCCTCGATCCGTTTCCATCTGGCTCCCCGGAGAGTCCCCATCTATGTTTGCCATGTTTGTTGAATGGCTCCACGACAGATACAACTTTCGATTTTACCTCGAGGATGTTGTGAAGAAGGCGCAGGAAGCTGGACATCAAGATGCTCAGGAAACCCACTGGGCACTCATCCGGCTGCACCTCTTTGCTTCACACCTCTACATCCTCTCTCTCCAGGACAATGCCATGGACGCAATCCAGGATCTTTACCTCAAGTGCGACTGGGACGTCACCCCAGGTCTAATCACATATCTCTACACCAAATGCGAGGGCATCCCCGCTGTCCGCCTCCGTCGCTGGGCTGTGGCAATGGTCGCGTACTCGCTCTCTCGCTCGCCATGCCGATCAAGTTACGCAGACTCCTCCTGTTCACCAACAACTCCAACATCATCGCGATTTGATGAGTCGGAATCTTCTGATCACGCGAGATTCCATGAGTTGCTCGATTCGCAAAAGGAGTTCAGTGAGGATTACACTATTCATATCCAGAAGCTCCAAGTGTCAGGCTTGCAACTTCGCTCCAAAAACCCACAAGTACGCATTCCCGCGAACAAGCTTCGCAACGAAGAGCGTGCAAACGGCTTCCGGGAATGCTCGTTTCACTCTCATCGGGCTACAGTGGGGGAGAAGCGCTGCCCTCACGAGAGAAAGAGACTATTACGCGCCAAGACTCAGGTTGCCGAACTCGACGCAGCCGACAAAGTTGATGACGATCGGGCTTCCAGCTTGCTTTCGGCAAACTGGAGGGCTACACAAGACAGAACGTCCCGCTCCCTCTTCCGTGTTGAAGAAGAGGCCGAGCCGGAGCAGGGGCTGAAACACATGAGGTCGATCTCTAGTACTCTCAGGTGAAGAATGTCTCACATGCTGCGAAATGTTTTATTATGACGTACATAGCTAGCATTGCATGGATGGAGTTTCGTTTTACGATTGGGATGAGGTCTTTTTTTCTTCTTGTCCCTCTTTTTCTCTTTTTAATTTCTCCCCATATGGAAGATATCATATTAGCAGGCATCTATTCCCTGTACCTCACTTTATAATACATACATCGAGGGACAGCTTCCGAATGGCCTCATACCATTCTCACAAATATACAAATTTCACTCCAACTATTACGCTTCATTTTTCATCTTTGCATATCACATGGTCACAATGAGTAGTTGAACGGGGACAATTTGTTTATCGTAAATTCATTATTCATCATATAAACGGGCTAATTCGTGAACCTCTCGACACACGGGGCCGCTGTGTGGCCAGTGGAGATGGTTCGATTCGTATGTAGTAAGTACATCATACTCTCGTGAGAAAATGCCAAATGTTAAGAGGATAGTAAGAATAGCAAAGAGACAGACAGAAAGAGAGAAGAGAGAGAGCGAGAGAGAGCGAGAAAGTCCAAGATAAAGATGAAATCGGCCGTCTTGTCTTTTCCAGATAGCCACACTTTGGTGCCACGGCAATTCGTTGAAGCAACATTGTCTTTCGAGCCATTGCAGTATGTTTTCAATTTATGTCTCCATCGTAATGTTGTGCGCGTGAAAAGCTCATTTAAGGGATAAACGGTGGGAGCAATGCGTGAGTCATGTGGTATCGTTGATGCTTGCCATAATTCCATATTTGTCAATTGGACAAGAGAAATTCCGAGGTGAAATAGAAGGGAAAGTAAAATAAAGAGTGAGGCGAGTGCGTGCATTGCGTTGCATGTGTCCCGTAGCTAATTTTTCTCATTGCTGAATCGTTTAGTCGTCGTTAAAAGAATGGAACGGATGTCATATGTGCATAACCAATATGAAGATCCTTGGAAAGCAATATCTCCATGCGGGAGAGTTATGCCACGATCGAGATTTGCTGCTTTAGATAAAAAGAAAGTTTGTGCTAGATGTCTGAATCTAAGAGCCATTGCTACCGGAAACCCGGATAGATGCAAGAGAATACTTTTTGATGAAGTGTCGTGAAGCAAAATAAAAATTTTGAGCAAGAAGATCAAAGCCATTGAGTCGTTGCTTGGAAAATTGTCCAAATATGTTGCAAAAAGAGCTCGTGGTCGGATATAATCATGATTCATAAAAAACAATTATGTTTGTGCATGAAGGATAAAAATGATGTATGAACAGGTGCAATACTGAGTCATGGCTGCTAAAAAGGCGATTCAGACCGGCGTGGATGCCACTCTCGATCGCGGTAGCGGAAGTCCTTCAACCTCTCGTCCAGATAAGTCAATCGGCTCTCAAGAGACGACCGGGGTGGGGCTGAGTCCTCTTGATCTGCCGCGTGCGTATAGAGGCGCTGAACACTCCCAAACGGTCGATAAGATGCGCTTTGGTTAAGACCAGAAAGCCCAGAAGAATGCCTATTAGGAAATGAGAAGCTACTGGGTATAGAGCCAAATGGAGACCCAAGTCGAGCGGGAGCATCAGTTGAAATGTGGCGTCCAATCGAGCTGGATGCCTCGAATAGCTCTTGGATATTGCTTCGGGGTGCTGAAATCTCACTCCCGAGGCTACGCGAAATCGGCTCCGAAGGCGGACGAACAGGGCTCGCCCCAGGTTCGCTCCACATATCAGAGGCCAGACTAGGCCGTTTGGTTCGCCGCATTTCCGCTGGTGTTTGCCTAGAGCGGCGCCTCAGTGTGTTGGATCGAGATCGAGGACGATTTATCCTGCTTGGGGACTTTAAGTTGTATAGATGGCCAAGGGTCTGGCTTTGGCGTTGCTCCTCGACTCCAAAATCGGCCATCAGAGTACTTGACGAACTTGGGCCATAGCTCTTGGCAACAAAGGGAGAGCCAAGACGAGGGATCTCGTTAGCGGTAGATTTGGTGGGTGTAAACAACGGAGCAGACAAAAGATTCGGAAGGTCTTGTGAGAGTCTGTCATGGCTGAGTTCTGATCGGGTGAGCTCAGCCAGAGGTCCCTGGGGCTGCATGGAGTCCGCAGTGGAAACAGCAAGTGACACTGCCATGTCGTTGCCCGAAAAGACAGATGAGTGAGCCGGGGTGTTGTGCCTGCTCCAGCGTCGGGCAGCGGTTTTCCCGAACGGCGTGGGGCTCTGTGCGAGATACTGGACATTTCGGGTAGTGTTCCCAGCATTAGCCCTGCATAGCTCCCGCAGGTGCGCGCGTGTTGCCGCATCAGTGTGCGGCCAATGGGAGGAGTTAGCGATTCGCGCAACCGGCGTTGAGTTGCCACCGTTCGCCTCCAGAGATAGTGATTTGGGGTCTGCTCCTTTCCAAGTCCTCCTCGCTTCTCTAGAAACGCGGAGCAGAACGCCCTGCGGTGGCATGCCATTCTTGCTGATACGAATGGGCGTTACCTTAGGATCTTGGAGATATGCCAAGTAAGTATTCCATAGATGCTGGTTCATAGCTCTGGACCAAGGGGCTTTTCTTCTAACTGAAATCCGGTCTGAAGCACGAACAGTCTTTTCAGCATCCTCGACTTTCAAATAAGTGTCATATCGCTCCTGAGCCTGTGGCTCGGGGCTAATACATTCGTTGAGCTCCTCTGATGTGAAGGAAAAGTGACTGAAAAGTGAGGCGCTTGTCTGGGTTGAGCGAGCCGTTGATGGTCGGCTGGATTCATATTCGGGACTCGACTCAATCCCGCTCAAGGAGTCAACCGACCAGTCGTGGTGACGTTGAGGTGAGAGAGCTGGAGTATGGCTAGGTGCTGGAGTCTTTGGTGGCGAGTTTCTCTTCAAGTGTCCCTCTTCAGAGGGATATCCATCGTCTGAAGCTGGGTAGGTGTGGCCATCGAAGCCAAGAGTATCTACCATACCATCGTCATAGACAACAGGCTCCTCGATGCTTGGGATGGGCACGTCAGCACCGGCGACGCGCTCAAGAAATTGTTGCGTGGGCTCTGTGTTGGGCAGCGATCCGACACGTCTCTTGAGACGAAATCGCTGGCGCGGAGGTGAGGGTGGCTCTTCCATCTCATCTTGGGCCAAAGGTTCGGGTGTTTTTGGTACTTCCGACCTGCGAAGCACGCGCGGCCGCGTTGCACGCAGCCGCTGCAAGGGAGACATGTTAAAGAAAATATATAAGGGCGGCTAGGGGACCCGGGACGGGACGTGGTTCTTGAGGGAGAGCACAGGCAGCCCTACAAGGACTAGCTGGAGCGTTTGGACAAGCAAACCGGACGGTGACGCAACAACACTTCGTCGCAGTACAGGTTGGTCTCAAATCTCAAGGCGCAGATCCCACACCCCACTCCAATTGTTATGATTCAACAGGTCAACCCTCAAGTGACATGAAGCGACGCGATCGAGTCGTACACCTTGGTCAGGTTTCGGTCGGCGCAACGAGAATTGGCCCAGGGTGTTTGGCGAGCGACAGTCGGTAGCGCGGTCGTAAGTAGTTGAAAGAATATTAAAGTTAAGATGCGGTTGAAGACGAGGCAAGGAAATAGCGAGTCCGCCACGGGTAAGAACTGGCAGCGCGTAGTCGAGGTCTGATCCAGCACTGTTGTTTTGGTGAGGGCGCAACCGGTGAACACGCGGGCAAGCCGTCGCAGGTGGGCGCAAGGTGAATTAAGTCCAAGAGTGGAATAATTTTTTTTCCCAAAGGTAACAGGTTATAAATTCTCGCTTGGTGATTGCGACGATCCAAGGATCACATGGCTTGTCCTGACGGATGTGCTCCGACGAGGCTGAGGTGAAAGGAGAGACTGGAATGGGACGGGGAGTGCGATGAAGAAGAAGAGGAGCACGGGCAGGCGACGAGGATATGGGTTTGGGGGTGGGCTGATGCGCGGCGACAGCAGTGCAGCGCACCTGTCGGTGGTAGGTCAGGCACTGTACCTGCTGGCTGGCCAGGTGTGCACACGGCAGGAGGTACCCCTCTGCTGAAGGTGAGTAGGTGGGCAGGGAGGTACCACTAGAGGCACCTTGCGGGTGGAGACCTAGGGTAGTACCTCTAGCATGGAGCAGGTAGGTACCTAACCTGCAAACCTGGAAAGCGTTGATGGGGTTCACCTGCCAGGCCGCTGTAGCTGGGCAGGTCGTAGCTTCTTTGGGTGCTAACCTAGGACAGGCATGCGCTAGAACCGCGCAACCTCACTGGACGCCCACCGGCCAGCTGGACCCAGCGGCAGGTCCCTACTCCCCCTACATGGCTCCCACACGCCCTGCCACGAGAGAACTACAGCGGTGCGCGAGTGGCGTGAACCCTCTGCCACTCCCCGAAACCCAAAGAGCCCCACCTCGATTGTGTGAAGTGGCCGACAAGGTCCCCGGCCTACGACCCCCAACAGCTGCAGCCGTTAGCGTAGAACCGTGAAGCTACTGCTCTAGTACCCAGAGGGCGGTAGGGGGCTCTTCAAGATAGCGAAGTTTTTTTGCGCGCAGCAGGTTGATACTGCTAATCCTGACGGGCGCTAGCAGGCATGGCATAGACTCAAACACCCCGTGATAGTAGCGCAACGGGTCGGGGCCCAAGGCCAGCGCTTGCCTGCCTTCCTTGGACTGACAGCTCATTGGAGAGCCGAGAGGGTCGAAAAAGACGGTGGACGGAAAAGAGCTTGTTTCCTATGTGAGAACTACCAACTGGGGCCCAGCGTGCTATCCATTCCTGTCCTACCCTGATTTGGAGTATTACTACCAGCATGGCATTGGCCACACTCGCGGTGAAGAGGTTGGCTTCGATTTGAGTTTGGGGCTGCTGAACCAAACGGGACCATGAACGGGGGATGGACTGAATGGCTTAAGCCAGCGTTTGGCTGACACAATGTCGTTGGTGCTACTGCAGGTGGGCTGGACACCATCGGGCAAGAATCACAGCATTAGACGCGATTCGACGACGGCATTGGGTAGATTTTGAGGCCGCAGGTGTGCATGGGCGGGGTGAGAGCGTTTGCAGCGCGGCCGGATGAACCAGAGTGCATCACATCACATCACATCACCCATCTGCATCTAGCACCTCTGTCTCTGCCACCCGGTCGCCTATCTCGGACCTACCTAAGGACGCACCATCCATCATCCTGGCCCAAAGGGGAGGACAGTTGTGTAAGAATCGCTATGCTTGGCCAGACCCGGGTGGTGGTGTGTCAAATTGTTGGTCAACGAGGCTGGTGGAGTTGATGCAAAGCTGAGAATCATTTCTGAGGTAGGTAGCAGTGCTTGATGCATTCCCCGGGCTTGCGCAGGATGCACGCCTATATGCACGCACATACAGACCTACATTAGCAGGAGGTAGGTTTAACATCTGACGCCCGTGTGATCTGTCTGTTCTCCGCAGCTGGGCGCTCTACAAAAGTGGAATGGCTGGATAGTTCATAGGGTAATAGGCCCTGCTGCTGCACGGTACCCCCAACAAATGACGAGGATTCCTCCGTACAAAACAAACAAACATGGGAAAATAAACAAAACAAAGAAACATCGCATTTTCCATGTGATATTTCGCATTGTCAAGTCTTTATTGTCTTGCTGTCTCACTCTCAATGGCCAATGTGCCGAGACAGACATGAATGATATCAAAATCAGACGAAGGAGGGTATCCCAATCCCAGTCCAGCTCGACCCGTAGAGGTGTGTTTCGCCCAAATTGTGCGATTCCTAGGAGAAAGCGACGCTCGTTTAACTTCGGCTTCATCATCCAAGGGACCAATGGCATCAGGATGGCTTTGCCGAACGACCGCTGCTTCTGTGAGGTTGTCTGAGTGACGCGTTTTACAACACACGATCATGACGCGTGACATCGCGTTTTAGGAAGTGGGTACTGGTGGGTTTAAGTGGCTTTTTGTCCAATTACAGCCCCAGTATTTGCTCCAGCGGTTGTTCAACATGAGATATGACGCACCGAAATCCAGCTGGCCGAGACGGGATCGATACCTACCTATCTAGGAGACAAAGGGCCCTCAGGATTGAGCCTGATGGGCTAGGCCTTGCCAGGGCACGTCGTACGGGAAGCCAGCTTATCACCATGAGGTAACATATTGCTGCATCTCTGGGAGGACGAATGGGAGAGAAGTTTGGAGGCGTACGACAGCCTAGTGCAGATTCCTCCGAGGTGAACAGAAGGGCTCTCCTCAACGAACCCTCTTATCATCCACTGCTATACCACCCATTGTAGATACTATCGATCATCCAGATGTGCCTTCCAGCTTCTTTGCCACATATGCTACCCATTAAGAGAGGAGACACGATATGCATGTACATCCTTTTACACCTTGTATTGAAGGATCGCGATGGACGAAATCGCCTGGACCAAAAACTTGACATGCCACCGGCTTGTTTCATCCGTAGGCAGGTAGCCCCCAGGCTGGATGAACACCCAGGCTCGCCCCGGTCGCCATCCCACTCTCGGTCAGATCGCATTCTACTTCACTCGGTACCTATCCAGACGAAGCGGGCACCCTTATCCTCTCGTGCTCTCTTCCCTCCTTTTCCATTCCCTTGCGGACAGTGTCGGTCCGCCACGAGCAGGTACTATTTGCCCTGGCTAAAGCCTCGAGGCTAGAGCTCCTGTCGATCCAAAGCCAAAGACCCTGGCACGGCCTGGCGCCAGGGCCGTCAGGGCGCTGCCGCTGGGACTAGCCGGGCTTTTACTACCATGCTCCAGACCCTTGGCCCATCTCTGCCATCGTAGCGACCCTCTGCGATGGGTCAATCCAGGATGAGATGACAAGCCCCCCTTTGACGCGAAGCCGCAAAGCTGTCCATGGTCTGTGATGGTGCTCGACGATGCTCCTGAAAGAACGGAGCTGCCAGCGGGACAACCAGATAGGTCCGCACCACCCACTCGCACCGAAGCCTCGCGATTCCCTCTCCGTTACACTTGTCAAGGCAAGATTTGTCCACCTACTAGAAGTCGCCATTGTTGGGTTCGGTTCTCATTCGCTCGGCCCGCTTCCTATGCATACGTCTCATTTTTGAGTGGCGCTTTCTCGACCACTCACAATGTCTCGTCGCGTTCCCGTCGAAACTGGGAGACATGCAACGTACGTAGGTCCTATACTGTACAGGGACACGTGCATAGTTGGGGTGGATTGCGTTCTCGAAGCAAGAAAATGCAATACGCACTCGATGCTCCTAACCCCATTGCCTCATTACATGGCATCGCAATACCTCACAGCCTACCATAGTGTAGTAGCAATGTTATGTTGGGAGGGTGCCAGCTCTGTCATTGCGAACCCCCACGACGTAGGATTGCATCTGTTTATGACTCCTCTGGGAACAAGTGCCCCCTTGTTTCCCTACCTCGATGTTACTGATGCTGCTGCTGACATGCGTCTATTTGCTGTCAATGAGACAGTCGCTCGGAATGCCGCCCAGCCGAGTTCCTCCGTGAGCGTAGTAGTACGGAAAGGTAACCAGCGCATCTTGCGGCGCAGCCAGCGTGGTGCTCGGACTCGAGAAGAGTAAGATACCCGGGGACGTGTGGTCCTTGATGTGACAATGGAGGAAATCTTACTTTTTCCAACCCGCCTTCGTGCATCCAGGTCTCGTTGCCGACATTGCCACATTCCCAGCGACGTTGTCTTTCAAAGAATTTGCCCATAACATGCCCAAGAGAACACCGATCCCTTTATGTCAAATTTCCCTGTAGCCTACTATTAAAGGAATAATTAACCAACGGCAGGAATATTCCTTGACGATAGGTACATCTGAACCCGTCGGCCTCAGATTCTGAGGATTGGTAATTCCCGTGTAGGGTAGGAGTATCTCTGCGGCAAGCTCGAATGGGATGTACGAGGGCCATACAAAAGGGCTACATGAACTTACCAGCCATCCTCCGCCAGATGCAAGTATACTGCGGGTCCTTGCTCAGTACCTGCAGGCGGTTAGGCACGCGTCCCGTCTTGACCTAACCAGCACACAGAATCGGCCCCACCTGCCACCACAACTCATCTTGCAGCAAGCTGGAGCAATATAGACTGACGTACAGTCAAACCTACATCCAAGCGAGATCAACTCCAGCAGTCAAGCGGCCACTTCATCCCGTCCACTCAGCATCCAATATTGCCAAGCCCGTCCAGCGCATCATTCGGAGAAAGAGTTGCGGCCCAACCATTCCCCTGCTCAGACCGCCCAGGATTCGTAGATAGGAGGTACACTACTTGGCAAGCCCCAGAGATCGATCAAACCTCCATCTTGCAAGTGAAAATCATGAGCCCCTTGGATATCGTCACACTGGACAATCTCGCCCAGGCGATACCAAAATGGAGCCCGGACGATGAAAATCACCTGTATGCCGTTGTAGACATGGGCAGGTCAGTACATCTGACCAAGAGTTGCGCCGTTCCCTCATCTTGGTGCCATGCCATGTCACGGCAGTGCTGACCGTCCTCAGCAATGGGATTCGATTCTCTATAACATCACTGGCACCGCCTCAGACGCGGTTGCTTAACCCCATTTATTCTTCTCGTGCTGGGATATCCTTATTCGATGCCCTACAGCCCTCGAGTACAGGTGAACTGTTATTTCCTCAGTCCACCATATCGTCAGTCTCGTCGACGCTGGCGCAGTTCAAGGAGCTGGCAGACCTCCACCATGTCCCACCTTCGCATGTGATGGTCTTCGCCACCGAGGCTATGCGTCGTGCTGCCAACTCTGCCGCCATGCTCACCGCCATTGCTGAGGCTACGGGTGGCCTCAGGGTACAGATCCTGGAGCCTTCCGTGGAAACTCTCTTCGGGGCCGTGATGGGCTCGAGAAGCGGCCTGACTGATGTTAGTGATGGCGCCTTGTTCCTGGACCTTGGCGGTGGCAGTGTTCAGATCACTTGGGTCGACACCTCGCTCGATGATTATGAGATCCTTGCTGCCCGGGCTGGCAACAGCATGCCTTTTGGAGCTGCAAAGCTCACCCGAGTATTCCGAGAAGGAGACGTGGGCATACAGACTACCGAGTCAGACAAGCTTAAGGTCTCTATGCAAGCTGCGTTCGACAATCTGTGCTCTCAATTTCCCAGGCTACAGAAAATCAGAGAGGCTTACGAAAGGGGCGAAGATGCCAAAGTCAATGTATACATGTGCGGTGGTGGATGCCGAGGGTACGGCAGCATGCTCATGCACAATGATGAGATATCTCCCTACCCTATTCCCACGGTTGGTAGTTACACTGTGACCGGAGACTCGTTCAAGAAGGTCACTGAGATGCGTCGCATCAATGATACCTACGACGGAAAAATCCCTGGGCTGTCAAAGAGACGCCGGCAGCAGTTTGATGCCATTTCAGCTGTCATGGAGGCCTTCTCAACAGCCGTGCCGAATGTCAGGCATGTCACCTTTTGTAAAGGATCAAACCGTGATGGTGCTTTGATGATGAAACTACCACGAGCGATTCGCGAAAGCAATCCCCTGGATGTGATAGCAAACGTGGATACTGGCGACAAAGCTTTGTTCGAGGCAGTGGCGAGCCTCCTCGCAAAGGCCATACCACCTGAAGCACAGCTTGATCAAGTCCCTACAGTTCTCAATATTGACGGACTTCGGTCACTTTTTATCAAGGAGATCTGGGCCCGGGCAGGTCACGAGGCTGACACCAATGCTTCTTTTTCTCTTCATCATGCTATTTGCCGTGATGCTGACGCTCCTGGTCTGAGCCATCTGGCTAGGGCCCTCTTGGGCACAACTGTTGCAGCTAGATGGGGATCAGGCATGGGACCTGTCGATGCGCAGTTGGCAGAGCTACTCGGAGGCATTCTAAAGAGGTACAGCAAGGAAGCCATATTTTGGGCTTTGTACATTGGTGCGGTTGCCAACGCATTGGTCACAATTGTCCCTGTGCGTCCAAGTAACGTTGAGATTTTGCAAAAGTCCATACGGTAAGTCAAATTCGCAATAGCCTATCTTGTTCAAATTCATATAATCGTTATTTCATTCTGACATGGGAACAGATTTGAAGCACGCCTTCTCAAGGTGCCAGGTGAGAAGGATAGTCTTCAACTTTCAATCAGCATTCACCCCAAAATCCTCCGCTTCGTTGATGTGGAAGAACTCTCCTCACCGTTTAAATCAATACTCAAGAATGGAGACAAGAAACCCAAAAAGAAAACATCTGTCATTATACTCCCCCTCACACAAGAGTAGCGAGCAAGATCAAAGAGATCGCTTAACCAAACCGAGCTCAGTCTACTCGGCATCGCAATCATCAAGCAATGTTGCTGCCTTGGACTGGGATGACTTTGTGGCACGCGATCGCGTGTTGAGCTTCTTTAGCTCATGGTTTACCACAAAGACACATAGCAGTTGGTCAACCGGAAGCTCGGATGTTTGAAGTTTTTGCACTGGTTCTTGTTAGATACGAACGAGCCTCAAATCAATTCACTGGATATCAAACTCACAAAACGGTTTTCTGTCGTTGAGCATCGCCTTAGTCAAAGGGCCTAGAGCTTGCTTGGCCTGGCACAGATGAGCTGGGTACCCCGGAGCCTTCAGCCAGTCCAATGACACTTCCAAGCTCTTCTTGTTTCGAAAGTGGTAGTGATAGAAGATTGCCAGGACCCCAAAGAAATTTTCGATTGGCGATCTGTGTGCTACACGCCCGCTCCGTATTAGCACATATTCAACCTAGCCAAGCCGACGGCTGGAAAACACTTACGATTTTGAGGGTCTGCCAATCCTTGGCCATGGCGTGCCATCATCGCTGTCACAGACCAAGTGAGTTCACGATACATGAACAAGAGCTGCCACAGAGCTGCCCACAACGCCAATTTGTCGTCCGGTTTGGGGCTTCGGCTTGGCGTGAGGCACTCGTCGAGGTCTTTAAGAATATCATGTTCAATGCGATGCAACGCGTTTCGCGCAATTGTGCGAAGCTCAGCCTGGACCGATAGCGGAAGGTTGGCAATCTTCCCAGATGGGTCACGGCATAAGAATGACGATGACTTCCAGATTCGGAAGAAGCAGGCCATCTTATTGACCCTTGTCACCAGGCCATGCTGTGACGTTGTTAGTTACGACCCAGCCTTCTGGTTGATGGGGTGCTATATGATACACCATAGTACGTACCATTGGGAGTCCAGTTCCCCCCCTGGAATAGGCAATGAGGAATCTGTGGACTGAGTGGGGAAAGCCTGGTGTGTTTTCATACACAACTTGGTTCTCAACCCACCAGACCAGGTCTTCATGTGTAGGCATGGCATGACGGGCGAACGCAGCTTTCTCTGGTCTCCCGTCTTCCTTCTCATTGCTCCACCTATAGGCTTGGACAGAAGCCGGCAGCATTGGCGAGTAATGATCTCGCGAGAAGAATATTTGTATGTCCCTCGGTTTCCCGGTGAAGAGATGAGGGCTTACTGTGAAATGTTCTTCCTTTCCGGGATTCTTGGACCAGACATCTGAACACCCAGGTCATACTCTGTTAGAAACAATAGTGCAACAGACGAGGCGAGGTCGGAATCCACTATCCTATCTCGGAGAGGGTAACGGCGGCACGTACCAGGGATCTTGCTAATAACGGGCCATGCCTCAGCAAGGTTCATACGAGTACAAACCAGGTGGGAATGCTTCGGGAAGGCTTTTCTGCACGTGGGGCAAACGCCATGCTCGTGACACTGAGACTGTCTTAGCTTCCTGGTTGGGGAACAACAACATTAAAGTTGGCTGCCTTACACGGGTCTTGGACACTCTGCATGGGAGGCAGGCTCCACTCTTCCGAACGTCGGCCACCTGTTCAGGGCGTGCAAGCTGTCGTGGTCTCTTCTCAGGAGCTTGATCAGAGCGTCTACGCTTGAGCCCGAGGCTGTGCCCGGCCTGTCTCACAGTACCGTCCTCAGCGACGCGAAGGTTGGGCGAATAGGCTACAAGTGCAGGCTGGGGATGTTCTGTCTGAGGGTATGTCCACTTATCATCCTGGGCCCTGAACTCCTTGAGGCTAGCACCTGGACGGTGGTATGCTTCCTCGATCCTGTCAGGAAGGATGGGACCAGAGTGATCAGAAGGAGATGTGCTGCCCTCCCCCTGAACAAGTTCTGGTGGGGAAGGATGGCCCGAATAATCAGACGCAGTTACCGCCTCTTCATCAGGGCCGAACGAAGTCTTCATCCTGAAAAACCGATGGGTTTCAATGCTGTCAATAAGCGGAGAGATCTCCGTGATGAGCTTGTTGAGGCTCTGTGGGGAGGCCCTGGGGGAGGGTTCAGTGTCGTTGAGGTAAGCCTGCCAGTCAAAATAAGAGTGGAATAGCTCATCCAGGTCAGGAGAGGAGTGAACACGAGAGTTTTCTTGACCGATTTGGGGAAAGTCCCTGGCGAAATCCATGTTGATATATCCGTGTGTAAGTCACGGGGATCTGGTGAAACCTTGGCTGCCCGAATCAAAGCCTGCAGCTTTCTGCGTCCAATGTCTTTGTCGATAAGGTGAAGATGCCCAATATTCCCAAGGGATCTTGGTACAATATTCAAACGGATCAAAAGACGTGGCTTTGACGCAAGAGAATTATAACTCGACATCCCATATGGGCCCTTAGACTGGCCGCTCGACTTACACGATCTCCAAACGACCCCATTTGCACATTTCGGTGAAAATGCCCGGTATGATTGGCTGGTTTCAACAGGGGTCGTCATTGGATTAGAAGAGCAGGGATTGCGATTGACTGAGGGTAGTGTGTGTGGGTTGATCCGCTTTCTCTTGACCAACCAGGGCCTTGATTGCATTCCCGGTGAAGGAGAGGCTTTTTGAGGCTTTGGGCAACCGATTTCGGGACTGGGACGCGAGATTGGTGCTCTCCCGGCAAAGATGGAAGTGTTGATGGGTTTTTAGGGGCATCTTGAAACGGGGAAATTGGAGTTATTCTCAACCGCTGGGCTGCTCTTCAGGAAGTTGGCTGGTGGCTGCGTTTTGCCCTCTGATACAGATTCGTCCTTGTCGATATGAATGATCAGCAAATCATTGCAGATAAGAGAATGGCTCATTGGGAGGTCTGCGGTCGATAATTTTCAGGCCTCCCTACACCCGCAGCTGGAATACTTCTTTTTTGCACAGCAAAGCCATATCAACAAGCCCTGTTGTGTCAAGATCTGAGAAACAGTTATCATAGTATGATTTCATGGCTAGAAGTTCTTTCGAATGAAGACTAGACGTGTCAAACCTTGTTTCTCCGCTACTTCTTCTCGAGAAACGAGAGCAGAAGGCCGAGAGTGCAAAATCACTCTCTGAGAGACAACCACTCGGGGCTTTCGTGCGCCTCTCGTTAGGCATAGTTTGGTGAATGATGATCATCTGCATGGGAGGCTTCTCTCTGAAACTATCTACACGGGCGCCTGGCTTGAAAAGGGGAGTTAAAACGGGTGCAAATAAGAGGTTTGAAAGAAAAAATGGTACGGAAGTTGGGGGAATGTTGTATGGAGCATGTCTGGGTTAAGCAAGGCCATATTGCCTGTGGCGCCCTTGAGAGCTCTCATGAGTCCAGTGTACCATCTGCTGATCAATGGCTGAACGACGCAATAGGAAGTCCGTCCCGGAATAAATGACCGTAAGTTGCCATAGACACACCCATAGCTCCGGCCTGTCTGTCATCTCGAGTGGCTGGCAGGTTGGGACGTCCGACCAGTTTAGATACAGGTCTAAACTCTCCGTTGTTTAAAAATGGCAACGGTAGAAGACCTCCAACATTGGAGTGAATATATAGCTCGCCCCTTAGATGATGTAAGGATTATTTGACCCGGGTGACCTTCCGGGGCGAAAAAGGCTAGTGTAAATGGATGGTTAGTAGTAACCCCCAAACATGCTCAGAACGCGGCCAGGCCATCCTTGGTGATTGACGAGGCTAAGACGAGGTTGCCGTTCTCATTCCTTTACATATCTGTGGGAGACCGTAGCCGAGAGGGACGCAAACGTGGAGAAACCCCTTGACTTTTGACATGACGCTCGGCTGGCTATCATTCTGTGTCCGCCCAGAGACTCCTGTATCCAATTCCCCCGTGAACAGGAATATCACCAGGGACCTGGTGGGAAAACGTTGGTTTTTGGAGGACGATTGTTCCCGGTCTGATTACATGGATGGTGGAGCGGAAGGGACCCTTGAGAGAATTGATTCAATTCCCTTTGTAACCGTAGGGAACATATTAAGGCCTCTCATAAGTGTCTCGTCTCCTCGGGAAAGAGAAAAGTCTCTACATGAGAGAAACCACGGCGCGTTATGGGATAATATGGCCGAAATGTTACATGGTAGACATGTAAATAATCGTAGGCCACTTCCGTGTGTCTCTGATGCTTCATCTGCTCCCACATTCGTTCACGATGTTCAGTTTCTTATGAACTCTCAGCACCTCGCGCTTGGCTTCACCGTACAGCAGTGTACATTGATTTTGGCGATTGCGCTTGGGGTTTCCTGGATCGGGCCGGGCAATTGCGTGTCGGACGGAAAAGTTATTCGGGAAAGTTTGCCGATTGTCGGGAAGGTTGAAGTAAAGGTTTGGTAAGTGTGTGTCCGGCACATTTCGGTACGGGATTCGCCAACATAGGAAGTCTTCAGAGTAATGAGAACGCCTACTGCCTATTCAATCACACACACGTGGATTCACACGATGGCGATGTGAAAGTTAGACTAGAAGGGTTGGAGGGAGGACTTGAGTATTTTTTCTCGGAATATCGTGTTTGGAGTCTTGAGCATGGATCCTCGAGTATTGTGTCCAGACTTTTGAGCATGAAACCCAGAGGATGAGGGTTAAGCTTAGAGTATCAGACGCTGACTCTAGTACTACCCTTAGGCAATTGAACATGGAACTTCTATTATCAAGGATCAAACCTGGAGTATTGAGTATTGAACCTGGAGCAGTAGGCAGAATCTGGAATATTGTGTTTAGAGCATTGCCCAGACTATTGTGTATATAACATGTAGTAATTCAGAATCAACCTGAAATCCCGTGCTTTCGGCCTTGGGTATCAAGGGCACTAAGACTTTCAGGTTGATTTCTGTTGTATGGCGCGAACTTGAGTTGTAGATCAGTCAGGATCAGGCCAACGATGGTAACTTCCAAGCGAGAAAAGGACAAAATACATTCCGGGGAAGGATTTATGATGCTATATATACGCTTAAAACTCTAGATCCATTTATGCTACGCTCTATTGGTGACCTTATTTATTGCTGTACGGCAAAGGGTGAAATGAAGCCCGGTTATTGATCGCTCATTTCATAACGATAACGCAGTAGAGTCCAGTACCACGACCTTTAAAATCAGACAGTTTGTAAAATGTGACCAAACAAACGAAGGCACGGGTTAGGTTACATCTTGTGCCGGAATCACGCCGCTGCGATGTTGACTCTCCGGACTCTCTGAAGGTCCGAAACGCCTCGGCAAAGGCCAGGTAAGGCGGCACCGCTGGATGAGAAATCCGTCACAGTCTGAAGGTAGATACATGATAGTTCTCTCGTAGTGATGACGGCACGGGCCTAAGGCCATTCCATCGGCCCCAGGAAAAGGGTTGGAGCCGCTGAAGCTACTCGTTGACATTGACATGAGCAGCTATGGCTTTTTTCGTGACTCTGTTTGGCCGAGTAGAGATACAATTCCCAGTATTCAGAAATTTCATATCAATTATGGTTAAGTAGATGGGCTTATAGAGTTGGAGGAGATAATTCGGATGCAGAATTGCCCCTGGGGGCCTGTTTTATGCTGGTATCCAGGTCAAAAAGCAAAAAATTTGTGATGGATTCCTTGTATTTGGAGATGGAGCTCGCGAAGTGTGATCCGGAATACAGCTTAGCAAGTAGGCCGCATCTACATCAGAGGGCGCCTGATCCGTTCGGTCAAGGTAATGGTCGAAGTAAAAAGCAGCCATTATGGCGCTTATGATGAGGGTTGAGTCTAATAGAAACCAGGCCAAACCCCAATGATGAATTTCCCAAGCAGGGCTGATCTCCTGGCCTTTCGGAATCTCAATGCTTCTTCATTTGATGGTCACGACGCACAAAAGTTGGACTGCCTCAAACGCGTAGATTTGATAGTGATCGACGAGACGCAGCACGGCTCAGGGCGGCGTCGCCTTAGCTGGACACTTAGGCATGATAGTTACTTTGGCTCATCGTGCTGATATGAAGATCAATATGATACCATGGAAAAGTAAGAACTTGGCTAAAGAGCAGAATGATCTCATCGAAGCATACAATGTCCATGCTGGAGATATCAATACACTTTGTCGGGTTCGCAGTCGCGGAAAGAAATGAACGTCCTCGAGGGTCAGGAGAATTCGTCGACTGGGTCTCAAATACCGCCACATGCCGACAGCCATGGCTCTTCAAGTACGACTGTCTTCATCATGTTATGCTCTCTACGCCAGAGGCCTCTCAACGTAGTATCTGAAGAGTACCTGGAAGTTGCCACCCTGTTTGTATTTCTCCAACGAGGTACGTGATTCTGCGCAGTAGGTTCTTACCGTCGATCTTACAGCTAAGAATAGTGTGCTTTTCAATGATGAGATCAGCAGCTGGAGGTTTGATTTCGGAGCCGAGTGAATCCGGACAAGGAGAATGAGGCTTGACTTGCCACCTCGACACCGGCCTGTTCCCATGCCACTCGCGGGATAAGACTCCCGGAGGTCATTCTAAGCGTAGGTAAGCCAAAAATGCCCTTTGTGAGGGTCTACATCTAGGCGATCTGCAGGATGGCCAGTAAAGTTGGGCGAACAGGCAGTCCTGAGTTGGGCTGGATATCAGGCTGGCCACAGTACACAGAATGGGCACCTTGCATGTTAATGGCGCCTGAATTATGTTGATGACTAGGAGTAGATCCGATGTAATGTGGGACCGCCGGCGCTGGATACAGTTCACATATAGATCGGGCAGTCATGGGTTGTAGCTTCGACACAGCAGTTATATAAGCTTACGTGTTATGTCGTGGCTGTACATACAAGGTCTCCCTGTGTGACCAGGGAATACAAGATGTTGCCGTGCTCCGGGAGTGGCTTCCGTCTAGGCTCGACATGGGCTTGCAGTAGTGTAGGGACAATGGAAGATGGTCCGGATTCAGTTATATCTGATAAAGTATTCCGTTGGTCCATGGTACTTGTCCAGCCGGAAGTAAGCCTGCACGGTTGCTGATAATGGGCTGATTCAACGATAATGATTAGAGCGTAGTAAGAGAGGCGTAAAGAGTCATTGAGCGGCACGAGAGTGCCACCGTCTTGGGCCATTGATCATCATGCTCCAGGCTGCATCGTCATCAACGGAAAATGAAGCTGACCTCGGCCCACGGAAACGAGTGGCTGCTTCGTGCTACAGCGTGTTATAGCACTACGTAGGCAATGTGGAACTGCCCGGCTTGTGGGGTACGGAGGGCATGCTGAGTTGCTGACCTGACTGTGCCCAACGAAAAGCAGCATTGTCGTGCCATTGATTGAGGCTTAGCACGTGACGGATGTTGGTGATCCGAGGACGCACAAGTCGGAGTCCCCGCTGCCGTACCAATTGTAAAAGAAAGGCTATGTCGTATTTGAAAAAAAAAGGCGGAATTTGGGTAGGAAGAATCGAAATACATCAGTTCTCAACATGGAAATTACACTGCTGAGATGTTGCGGTGTGGCGTCGTATTAGCAAGACATGCAGTGATGCTGCAGCTGGGCACTTGTGACAACAGGTCGTCACGTGCAGACTGCCCTGAGGACGCTCCGTACGTGGCCTGGGTCCAGACTGCTGGATTGGCTTTTGGGCTAGCGCTGGAGACTGGTTGCCGGTGAAGCGAAAACGGCTCTAGGAACTGCCCCGAACGATCGATATGTTGGACGGACGAACACTGACAGCTGGTATGCGGGATGACGAATAGTGCGCCGGGAGTTTCGCTACCCCTTTTTTGCCCCTTCGACTTCGCTCATGTGCTTCCGGTCCCCCCTTCTTCGGGACTTTGCAAGGAGTTTGGTCGGCATTATCATGGTCGGGCAAGAATGAGACCATGCAGGGACGGGAAATTCTCCGTAGATGGATGCCCTGGGTCCGTTCACCTCGTCCCCCTCGACGAGTCAGCAGACGCGGAATTCCATCCACACGTTCACACGCAGCTTTAAAGCAGGGAGCACATGCTAATAACACAGAAGCCAGAGAGGGTGCTGCAACAAGACGTCCGATTTCGTTATGGCGACCACGAGCCGTAATTGATCAAGCGGCATGGGTCTGAGTACTTCCCCATTGTGACGTAGATATTCATCTTGCCTGTCAGACAGGCGTCTTGGCCAAGAGCGCAGTGGACGATCACTCAGTATTTTACTGAGTGGCGATTCTTATTCCCCTCATTGTGCTCTTGTCGCGTGCTGTTTCGCAACTGAATAAGAGATCCGTATAAGATGGAAGATCCACTGTGGACCGCAATCTTTCAGGATGGCTCAGAGATTTTCTGTCCCCCCTGGCCCATGGAGGGGTGTGCTGGTAGCATGCACTGCAAGATGGTCGCGAAAAATTGTGTGCGACTCTCGTGATTCAGAAGTGCCCATCGCCAGTGGAGGGAATACGCTGAATTGAGACCGGCCCCCTCATGTGACGAGCCAACAACCAAACGGAAATTGGCCGAGTGCGTCCTCGTGAGTTGAGGTCAACAGATATATAATGTATCACCAACCAGAAAAATCTCGTATGGCTTCGCTTGTAGGTACTGTACCTGGGAGCTACCAACTTGCAGCAATGGAATGTTACCTTGGGGTCGATCCGGGGCAAGGGTGAACAAGGCTGCGGTCGCTGGAAGGACAGTGAGCGGCAGGGGGTGTGGATGGTTCAGCGGCCAGCCAAGTAAAACCAACCAAGCGTCAACGTGGCCGGCGGCATCTCACTCCATTCGGCGGACGGGACAGGCGAGAGGCGAAAGGAGGAGGCGGGAAAGGACCCAATCGCATTTTGTGATCCTGCATCTGCATGCTGAGGAGCGGTTGCACGAAAGGTTAATACGCACCCGCCGCTGTAATCAATCGCGCCTCGGACCAGCATGCTCTTCCAGATTACTCCTCCTGCAATGTACAACACGAGAGTGTTAGAGGTGCTATTGTTAGATTCTACGTCAAAAGCGGAGAACTGGAGACCGGGGAGCGAACTGCGTATAGTTCACTTCGCTGCTTGCTACCTGGTCCCCGTCCATGGTTAATTTGTCGCCAAAATAACTACGGAGTTGCTTGGAATTGCATTGTGCTCTCAGCCACTTCTGCGACAGCGAAGCCATGCATCGTTGAGACAGGGAAATGAAATCCATCTTCAATGCCGGCCGCCTGTCGCTTACTTGCCTTGCTTTGATCGGCCGGTGCGGATGGTCCAGCGCTAGCAGGTGCTCTGGTCTGTCTTTTGCCTGCCGAATTGCACCACCTCTCTCATCGGTCTCTCCCTGTGCGGGTACGGGCCCGTCTCATTGGCAGGCAGTTGGCAATGCCGTTCCTCTCGCTGTGTGCGCGCGGCCTTCCTCCGCTACGAATTGAATGAACGGTACTGATGGATACCTTGCCCTGTCCTGACACAAAACAGCTCCTGCCCCGACCATTCGGGGAGGGCGACCGTGGCAGGCGCTACCTGCTGTGTACTGCTCTGGATGTACTTGCTGGCGACCACCGCTGGCACCTCCCTAAACTGAAGCGGGTTAGCTGGAGGTACTAAACTAACGACGGAGCAACGTCCGGGGACAGCGCTGCGTGGAAGAAGCATACGTGCGTGCGCACCAGTTTAAAACGCTGTGTCAAACGCGCTAACGGGCTCGCTAGTTAGAGTTAGCCCGATGCCTCAGCCGCAATTACTGGAGAGACTGACGTGATGATGAGCAGGCCAATCCATTTCTTCTGGGAGTGCTTTTCCTACAGCCAGTTTGCAATTGGACCATATCCCTTCGTTTCCCCATCCCCCTTTCGGCCTCTGGCCTCCCCGAGAGGCCCGTGTGGGTTAGCTCTGCGATTACTTCAGCTCTCCAGGATCATCGGTGTTGGTTGGCGATTCTAGCAGTTATGTCACCAAACCAGTAATTTGTAGCCAAAGTCAATTCAATAATATGGGGGCTACTAGTCCAAGGTACAGGACAATACTAATAGCGCCATGGCGATTGGTATTGAGGCAGCCAACAATGCTGACGTCTGCTATTGTTCATACTGTTGACCTGTAATTATATGCATGTAGTCGCATTGTGCACTGATGCTATATTATTTGACAGCTAATGACACGGCCGCATCCTGGCTGTCCGCTTAGAACCCCTGAGGGCTGTTATACGCGGGTTTGTGGGTTTGCTCTTGCACCCTTCGACGTAGTGCGTGCTACAGTGGATTTTTTTTTTTTCTCTCAAGAGCATCGGGGTTCTCGAAACCCCTCCTTCCGCGTTGGTCGGGAGGTACGAACTTCTCAAACCCGTGTAGCAACCTGGGCGTTCATTTACCGTATGCCTACATACCTGCTCAGGTGCTGCCGCAAAAAGGATATACGGCTGCCATTGCGTATCCACTGACCTGGACATGCATTTCGGCTTCGTAAGTTCGTATGCACGACTCGCCCACTGCCACCCCTGGTCTTACCCGCCCATCTGCCAGCGCTGGCTCTTCTCCGTCTTCTTCTCCAGCCTTCTAAGTCGGTTTTTTTTCTGTTAGTCTCGCCCCGATCCCCCCGTCCGTCCAGATCTGTTTGTACCTTCGCTTTCCCTTCCCACTGAGACATGGCTTTCTTGGCATTCGCCCTACTTGTACTTTGGCCATGGAAAAAACCCGATACATGCCCAAATGCCATGCCGTCCCTTTTATTACCCTGCCCAAGAAAGGATCTAGGTACTTGTGACACATGCTCCCTTTGGCAGTAATTACATAATGCACACAGCGGTCTTGGCACTTGGCGTCGCACCGACCAGAGAGGCACAGATGGTTTGAAGGAGGAGCTGGAATCCCAACAGCTCCTGGCATCGTAGAGGCAGCTAGTTGATCACGACTGCCTATTGAATTTTCGCGTTTTCCAATAGTGGCTCGCCTTTGCCCTAATCTCCGGCCTGTAAGGGGCGGTTCTGGAAAAGAAGGGGAAAAAAAAGGTACCTGAGCCCTCCGTTAGACAAGTACTCGTCCGTACCCAAGACCCCAGGGCAAGAACGTCATTGCCAGCCCACCTGGACCATTGGCCACGCCTTCTCTTGTCTTGTCTAACTCAAAAGCCACTTGCCTGCCTAGATCCACCGTTGATCCAGGCGAAACACGAAGTCGGAGCAAACGGGTACCAATTTGTAACTGTCTACCAGCTGCTAGCCCGTGTCCCGTCCATCCCGCCAGCGAATGCTCTCTCGGTTCTGAGACAGGGGCTAGGCCAGCAGCCAACCAACCTGATACCTTCGCAGGCCACAGTCCACAGTCCACAGACCCTCATCTCGCTCGCACCAACCTGCGTACCGTATGTATCCCGCCAACTACAGTGCCAAAGTCACTCTGCCTCTCCTCCCTCCGCCCAAGCTACTGCCTACTAACCTAGGTGGTTAGCGGATCCTAGACCAAGCCGCGACATCCATAGGCAAACCCCCCAAAGGGGCCAAGAATAGCTTCCCGGCACATCTGCTCAGGGCCCTTCGCCACGTCTCCAAGCCTTGCAAGCCTTGTCCACTCTGTCTGAGTGTCCAATAGTCTTTTCTGTAGGTTCATGCCCTCTCTATCTTCTTGACCTCATCCACCTCCTCTGGCTGGAGCATCTCCACGATCTCGACCCTCCGTCTTCATGCTGTGATTGCTTCGCTGTCAATCCTCCCTCCTCCAACTCGTCCACCTGGTGCCCGCATCCTGCACCTCTCTGCTCTGCTCTGCTCTGCTTAGCTTCCTGCTTTGCCTTTGCCTTGCTTTGCATAGAGCTGCGGCCGGACTAGGGACTGGGACCAGCCAGCTGTCGTGTTGCCCAACATGACGTCGAACAAGTCTTCCCGGACGTCTATAATGCCCTCCTCCTTGTCCCTCTCTGCCCTCCGATCAGCCTCCACGACGGATCTCTCCCACAAACAGAATCCTCAGGCTTCGCCACCCCGGGACAAGAATAGACGGAAATCCGTTATCGACTCCAGGCCCCCGTCTTCGAGTAGGCACATTGTCAATGGTGACGCTCCTCCTCCGGTTCCTCGCCAACGGTCCCTCCAAAAATCCAGGACTTGGGGTGATCGCCTTTCCTCCTTCTTCCCTTCACTGTCGGCCAACGACGCAGATTCTGCCGCCAGCAATTCAAGCGGTAGCAGAAAGTCGTCCGTCAAGAGAGCCCCGCCGGTCAACACGAGCCCTCCTCTGCCATCCCGAGATCGCGAATCCGTTAGTCCAACCGACAAGGGCCCGAATAGGCCATCACCACCCCCACCCGTTACCACCGGCTTCCACGACACCAATCAGTCCAATGCGACCCTGTCCAGTCCCCAGATAATGGCACCAATCCCTCCCTCTCCCGAACTGAAACGCCCTACCCTGGCCACACAGGAACCTGCGGCCAAGGCCGGAACACAACGGATTTCACCACCACCTCTCGACCCCCTCCAAGTGGACGACCTCCCCAGGCTCGGAAATCTTAACTCTTCACGGCGCAGTTCTCTCGAGAAAGCCGCAGCTAACAACCAGTCTTCAAGTACTCTCTACATGTTGGCCAACGAGTCGAGGGGCCGACGGAGCGTCTCCGCCCAAGCTCAGTCCCCCGCACAAGCCACCAACCGCTCTTCAACTTTTCCCATCAAACATGGCTCAGTCTCCTCCCCCGTCGACGGCGCCAGCACAAGCCAGAGTCCCTCCCGGGGCCGCATGAGACGAAGCTGGCTCCCTGGCGGAAACAGATCCCGATCCAACTCTGTCGACGGCGGCAAAAAGGGCAACAAGGCGTATGCCTGGGTCATGTCCGATGACACTCAGGCCGAATACAATACCAACTTTTTGCGCCATGGAGAGAAGGTAAGAAATGAGCGATTTCTGTTTAGTTGAACAGGGTTCTGCATCTATCCATCTCGCCTATGTGACTGCTTATTGATTGTCTTTGCTCCAGGTCCCCGAATTGTGGAACGAGAGCGGCAATGTGTTGGTCTATCTGTACCCTCGCGCTAGCGGCGCTGGACCCTCCTTCAAAGTGATGGATTTTACCATTAGCAGTTCATACGTCTTCAACGAGCTTATTCAAGCGAGCCTTGATAGCTCTTCCAGCGGCCGAAGCCGAACCCGAAGCTTTGGTGGCCGCCACAGCCTCAGTGCAGAGGATGCGACTCGGTTACGATCACCTACCCAGTCCCCCCCAATTCCCGATTCTCCTGGGGACATCAAGCTTTATCTTCCGACAGCCACGGCTGAGAACAGCAACCTGGCCCTCCCAGGACAAGCCTCTGATGCTGAACTGGACCGCTTGATCTCTATTAGGAATCTGTTCGCCTTCTTGACCGGCCAGCCGCTTGTCGCGACAAGACAACACCCAACTGTCTTCCACGCCTTCCTCCAGATTGCTGCGTTGCTAGAGGAATTTGGCTTTTGCAGCGATGACGGCTACACATTCGGAAACGCAGCAGATCTAAGTTTCGAGTTTTATGTGGAGCAGCTGCAGCTTGCCGACTGTCGCAACAGCAGGGAAAAGACGGTACAGGCTATCGTTCTTGGTGAGCGCATGCGATCAATGGATCTTTACAGCGAGGCGTTCGCCCATGCTTCTGGAAAGTGGTCGGCCATCACGGCGCTGAAGCTCCCAGTGCTGGGAATGGTTTCCAAGATTACACGGCTTCAACTGGAAAAGGCTTACCTTGACCTTGTGCAACGCCAGCACAACGTGAATGAGCATCTTGAGCAGTTCGAATTTCCTTCGCTTTTCGCTGGTATCGCCAACTCGACCTCATCGGCTGAGCTGAGGCAAGTAGGTTTTGCCACATGGAGAAAGTCATTTGCCAAGATGCGATCTTTCGTTCTGAGTTACTACAAGACAACATTCGGAAACTGGCCCCCGAAGGCCAGTAGCAGCAAGAATCCGTTCGCAGAAAGCGGTTTGAACCGACTTGTACTCAAGGTTTTGTATTCGGACATGTGTGCCCTCTACGACTTGCTTGTTGATCGCACAAATTTGACTTCAAGAGTGATGGATGAGGTACCAGCCATGTCAGAGGATGCGGATAAGATGCTCACGTCGGCCCTTCGAAACATCATGTCGGAATTTGACCGATCCCGACCACCTGTTCTTCCGCCCATTCCGTACGATCTGCCCCAATTGCCCTCAATGACTTCAATTTTTGAGGCGTATACCAGTCTTGGCTCCAAGGGCCAGCTCAAGTTCGACAAGAAGATCAAAGAGCATGAACTGATCCTGGTTCTGAACAAGGCTTACAACTATGACACCAACCGTCTCAAGCTTCCCTTCCTGGACCAATTCAAAGCATTCGAAGTGCGTGAGGCTCGTGGTAAGACCCAGAGCGAAATGGCGGACCAACGTGTCGGCTACTGGCTGTTCTTATATGTCGTTATCCAGTCGCTGCCCATGCTGGTCATTGATGCTCCAGGCGTGAAATTTACCGAAGGTACCGAATATTTCCTCTGCGAACCCCCCATGGGTAACCCACCGTGGATCGAGGATCGCCAGGTGCAGAAGATGTGGTATGAAGTTGCTGGAGGAGGTGGTCTGGTTGAGCTCTCCACAGATGCCGTTCTTTTCAGTGTGGAGGCTACTTATCATCGCAGCCACTGTTGGCTGGCTGCAAAATCCTGGGATGGCGTCCCTGGTGCAGAAGCTCCTGTCATTGAAGAGCCTGCCCTGGGTGCCTTGGAGCCCCCTCCTTCTTTCCTCGGAGCCAACGAGTACTATGCACCAGGCCCTCCATCTATGGGTGGTACATCAACGCCCCCTCGTTCGCCCTCTGTCGTATTACGGCCACGCACTCTCTCACCAGCTGGTAGCCGCGCCAGCCACGCTTTCCGGTCCAGTATCGCCATTGGCCTGGAGCCTGTACCAATGCAGCCCCCGAACGTGTTTGGCGGCCACCAGCGCAGCAGCTCACATGGGCCGCGACCTATGAGCAGCGCGCTTGGAATGAGGAGCAGCCACTCTGTCGGTAACCTGGCGGCTTTGAATCTGCAGCACCAACAGCAGCAAAACAAAATAGAGTCATCCACCCACGAGGACAGCGGTGCTACATTTGATGATATCTTGCAGGATAATAACAAGAAGAAGCAGCCTGCAAAGAAGAGGTTTTTCTTTTAATATTGCATTGTAATGGAGCGGTTTCCCGGCATTTTTTCTACTGGTCAGTCCGGGAATATGACTAAAGACGAGTTTCCATACTTAAAAAAGGGTTGGCCGAGTGTTTATGGAGTTGCCATTGTGTGTCTTATTGACATTTGCCCTGTCATTTTCTCCGTTATCTTTTTTTGACTTTTCGCTCTTGCCTCTCTCTTGGACTATGATTTTCGGAAAACTGGAAAGAGGTCATTTGTTTTACTCGACCTCTGGGAAAAAGATGGAGAAAAAGATTTTTATTATTATCACTACTACAGCATGGATGGCATCATGATCAAGAAGGCATATATGATGGTATTTTCTGCATAATGTCAATGAGATGAAGGAACATTTTGGATTATGTTGATCATTAAATATTAAAAAAGATACAATTGATGTATCTATCTATCTGCTGTTGTTCTTATATGGTTTATAGCATTTTCCAATCCGACAGCGACGAGAAATAATTGTTCTCTTCACACATCCAAATTTCATTCCCTTAATCATCCGCTATATTCGTGTATGTTTGATGTGCCAATTGGAAAATGTTTATTCGTAATTCCATGTCCAACATGCCACCAGACCCGATATTCCAAGGCAGTATCAAAACTGGACACAGGCCAATCCTCAATGGGATTGCGCCTTGGATCATACTGGGGCAGATGTCGTTTAGAGGTTTTAGGATGGCATCTCTACCCTTGTCCACCGACCCCTCTCTGTATGCCACCATTTTTCCTTCTCCTTTTTGTCAGCAATGACACCCTCGCGTTGATTCCAGGTGCCAGTGCAACCTTCCTTGCCGTTGGCGAGATCCTCTCCGGCGTCGCCGGCTAGATCTCGAGGATCAACCATGCCGCCCTTCTTATCCATCGAACCCGCGTCGGGGAGTAGATGGTACCTGATATTGCTACCCAAGGTCCCAATGAACCCGGCTAACCCAAACCGATCCACCATCGAACCATCCTCATCCGTAACAAAAACGTTAAACCGGGGTTTAGTCTCGGCCTTCTCGAGGCGAGATTGAGCAGCCCGCCGGGCAGCGCGAAGGTCTGTACAAAACGCCGTTCTGTTGGAAGCCTCTGTTGGGGATGGCAAGGGTGGCGATTTGGGTGACATGGGCGGCTTCTGGAGATACCGAGGAGGGGATGTGGGAACCGTAGCTTCGATGGGCGACAGGGGTGGCTCGGCAATGCTGAAGCGATCGGTGGGGAGATCAATCCTCTCCACTGGTCGGCACAAATCCTGGAATATGCCTTCTGGGTCATTTGGCGTTCTAAGCAACCGAAGCTGGGGGAAGCCACCAGTTTGTATACTTCTTGCTAATATGTCATCTGCCGAATTGGCGCAATCACTGTCGCTTGTGATATCCCAATGAAGCTTAGTGACACTCGTCGATGCAAGATAAGGCATCATCCACAGCATGAACGAATCAGCCTCCGGCATGAGCGGAGGGAAAGCTTGAGCTAGGGAAAAGATTGAGAGCTTGGGAAGGTTGGAAAGGATGCGAGCCAGGGCGGGGAGGGAGGTCATAGGAGTATGGTGAAGATATAGCTTTCTTAATGGCTGGCTGCTGGCGCAAGTGGCAAAGGCCGAGATACCATTCGATGTAATACCAGTAATGTGCGTGAGAGAGAGAGTCTCAACCGGGGGAAGCAGTAGTAGAGTGGTATCATTGAAAACGTTTGGCGGAACACTGCACAAATGAAGGTTTTGAAGCGAAGGAAGCATTCTGAAAGCCTTTGTGAGAAGGTTATCGGGAGCGAGGGTCGCGCCGGGAAGGCAGTGTACCGAGAGGCTATTTAGTTTGGACCAATTCCGATAATGGTCCAAAAAAGCCCTCTCCTGTAGTCTTTCCAATTTGGGTGGGAGGGATGAGTCGTTACTGTTTCTGGTAATCGACCCTTGAGCTCCCCTTTGTTGCCTTTGGAATATAGAGGGCTCAACCAGCCAATCCATCTCCTTCAGTTGCTTTCTGGTTGAGAGCGCATGGAAAATCTTCTTGAACGAGCCGTCATATCCAAACATGGGCCCACGCAACGACTCCAGATTGGGACAAGCCATAACTATGGTCGCTACTAGGTCATCGTACTGTTCCAGGATCTTGGAATTCATTCCCTTGAGTGTTGTATCAGGCCGAGGCACCTTGAGCGATCGCACGAGGCTCGCAAGACGAGGATTTACACGGAGAGTTTGGCGTAGGAGGAGAAGCCGTGCGCCATGTAGCTGCTTGAATCGTTTCTTGTGCGCCGCCGAGTCCGCCCCAACGAGTTGGATGTCTTCGTATCTATGGTGGCCAAGTCAGCACATGCTATATTGGGCAATTGAATACCCCAGCAAGGGATAGGTAGTGTAACAACTTACAAAGCAACCCGCGCAAATGCATTCCATTTGCGTGAGCATAAACTAATGTTAGACAGGTCTCGCATCCAGCATGTGGCGCAACTGCCGCTACCCTTCCCAAGATGTGATTGCTTCAACATTCCCAGGATGACCTCCAACACCTCGGCGGGCAGTGCGGCAAACAATTCGTTGGGTTGTGAGAATGATCGCTGCCGTGTGCTCGGGGATGTTCGTTTCTGTCGTGGGTCCCCTGGCTTCCACTGGCTGGACTCGAAGGAATCGAAGCTGGTTTTGCTACTCCAAGAAGAACTGCGTGCCATCTCTGACCGAATACTCTCCCGCGATAACATAGTCGAAGAGGTGGCCGAGGAACCACTCGAGAACCTTCGAGGTGAGTTGAGCGCAACTGGGGGGAAAGACTCGGAGGACTTCAAGGTCGGGGACTGAACGACGGAAGCCTGAGACATGCTGGAGTGGCGAGTAGGTATCTCGGCGAAGAAATCATCTTCGTGTATGGGATCTAAGCCCGGCGACGAGGGGGAGGTGGGAGAAGGAGGGCCATTGTCGAAGCGCGACGTCTTTATGGGCTGGATCGTAACTGTTCTCGCCATGGTGCCGGCCAAAGTTTTGCTCCTTACCGGTTTGGACCCGGGTGGGGGGTAAGCAGCGATGTGTCGAGATGTAAGAATTGGCAGTGTAGATGTCGAGGCCGAACGTCGCTTGTGGTATGATTTGTTTGACCTGGGGCGTCTTCCGGGCGGTATTAGTTAGCTAAACATTAGGCAGGTAGGTAGATTTGGATCTGCAGGATGGTGACAAGGCGCCGAAGACAAAAAAAGAAACAGAAAATGAAGAATCGAGAAGGCGACTGCAGGGCAGACTCCGGCTAGGCAGTATGATGGAGGACCAATGAGCCTCGCGCCCGATGCAGATGTAGTCAGTCGCACGACATTCTCGTTCCCCCACAGAGCTGAGCTATGGACTGCAGACTGAGCCGGTCCTTTTATTCAGGGTCGTCGCGCACCACCCAGACTCAGTCAGGTCAGCCAGTCCAGCTCTGTTGCTTGGCACCACCTAGCGCATGGGGTGGCATGGGCGATCGCAAGGAGGAAATTGTGGAAATCTAATCAAACGGGCCAGGCCAGGCCGAGTCTGATTGACCACGCACGCAATGGGCAAGTCGACTGCTTGGGCCGTCCGCTTTGACCTATGCGCCAGGCTCTGCATCACCGTTCAAATCATGGGAGGTTTCCAAATCGCCCCATCCCATGTTCTGCCTGCCTCGCAGGGCAAGGACGATGTGCATGGCCGGTGCCTGCCTGGTAGATGCCGCGCAGGGCTGGGTACCCCGAGCAGTACAGCCGATGTAGCGATCTGCAGCCCACTGGCCGCACAAGGTACCTGTCGACGACCCTGGACGCCACCACCCTCTATGCGACCTGTACCGGCCTAGTGGGTTTTAGGGGCCACTTTCCCCGATCCCATAGCCGTAGGGCACCAGGTTGGGGGGACCAAAAGTGCAGGTGCAGCCAGCCAACTCCCGGAGGAACGACCGGCCGGGACACACATGCAGTGTAACAGGTTTCCTCGATAGCATAATACAGGACTCGGGCGGGGAGATTGAGCAAGGAAAACAGACAGGTACATACCCAAGATCAGCGGAATATCGCTGGGATGGAAATTCCCTATTAATTACCGGCATGGGATTTTCGTTCCCCGCGATGGCCACCGCCCACACATGCCGCCTCAGATCCTCAGCAAGCTGCTTCTCGTCCAGCTCCTCCAGGGCTGGGAGTGACCTGCGTTTCGACCCGAACAGGCGGCTGATGATTCCACCGCCGCCACCACCACCACCACCACCACCACCACTGCTCCTGCGCTCGTATCGCTCGTTGTCGTTCCACATAGTTCCGGCGTGACCCCTCTCTTCCTCTCTCTCGTCTAGCCTGCGACGCGCGGGCCGGCGTGCTTGGGTTGAGTCAGACTGTTGCAGTGTCAGATTTCACACACTAAACCGGCTGGCACTTGGCTGGTGTGGTGGGAGGGTCGGTGAGGATGGGAAAGACGAGCGTTTGAACGAGAGGCAAAGGGCCGCCTAGATTATGTACGTCTGCACCAATTCCACAGTATTGACGGGGGCAGGGAGGGAAATGATTGGGACGGCGTTGTCCCCTCGACTCGAGCTATGCACCCAGCCAGCCCCAAGACATGCCATGGGCGCTTGAAACCTGCTTGGGCCACCTCGACAATGCACGGCCACATGTCAAAAGCAAAGGAGCCTAGATCAGAATCTTGTGGTGGCATCGGACCGCCCCCAGCAGTAGAGTGAAGGGCAAAGCATGGAGCTTTGTGGTTCGGGGGACCAATGAAGTGGCCGCAACAATGCCCGAGTTTATGCGCGTCGTGAGCGCTTATTGCTGTTGTTGTTCAGGTCAGCGCTGGCTTGGCTGAAGTCATGACTGGTCACCATCTCACCCCAGCGCGGCTGGTCAGAAAAGGACCTGCTCTATCGTTTCACTAACAAGCTGCAGGTCCTCATTGAAATGAGTTGATTGGGCCTTTGGAGACATTGCCGCTTTCAATGAACAGCAACTACTGGCCAGTCAGCCAACATTGCTCCAGTATTTTCTTACCACACAAGTGCGCGGCCTGGAAATTGACACACCGAGTTCAAAGGTTCCTTCTTCATAAGCACTCGAAGTAATGAAGAAAAACAAACAACAATAAACAAGTCTGAAACGTAGCTCAGGAAAAACTTAGTTCAGTGTTGAGATCAGTAACCGAACAGTATTTGGTTTCGACAAGTCAGCACAGGAACAGCTTTGTATTGATTTCTTGCCTTCCACCTGCAGCCCCCGCATCGCTACACAAACACGTAGCACATCCGACTCGGTATGCGCATATGCTGTCTTGGGCCATTTTTTCTGTCACTCCATGTTGTGGTGTGGCCCCAGGAATTCGCCGATTGTTCCACTCAGACACTTAATAAAATGAAATAGGTTGTCTTGTAGGCATGTCATTGTGCATCAGCCTCATTTCTCCAGGCTCAACCGCCTAATAGATGCGACATGCAGCCATGGGGAAGTTCTATGCAAACTCCTTTACACCAATGGAATTTTAGCTATTTAGATTTTGATTCTTCGATCTGTATATATACCTAATCTATAGAAAATTTGACCCTCCGTGTGGGACGAGCAGGGAGTTCTAATTCAAGCTCTAATCTATTCTCACTTGAAACAATCCGCTCTTGACGCATGAACTTGCCGGGACCCGCTTCGTATGGTCGCTTCTGGCCGTTTTGATCTAGATTAGAGTGCGCGAGATCGCTTCTCGATGGCCTCACTGGGCTGCTGGGGGCAAGGTCCTCATCAGGGTGAGCGACTCTCCCAAAGCCGCGCCCAAAGACGTGATGTGATAGGACGAGGTTAGACATCTGTGAGACCTGGTCTTCCGAGCACTCGGGAAGAGGCGTGATCTTAGCGTCCTTGATCCAATTATAAATGGAAGGGATGTCCAGGATCGTCTTCGTCTGCCGATGCTCGGCCTGTGTCATTTGCAGCTTGCGCTCGAGGATGACCTCATCGAGACTGTTCCGTAGCACGAGAGTCTCCACGGACACGGGCTTGTTCTGGCTTATTCTCCGCACACGCCCTATGGCCTGCGCCTCGACCTGGGGGTTCAGGACCGGGCTGATGAAGTAGATCCGCGACGCGTCGCGCATATCTAGGCCGAAGGCGGCTTGGGATAGATCCATAAGGAGAACCCTGGGTAAGACCTTTGTTAGCATAAGGAAGATCTCGGGAGGAAAACGGTCAAGCGGTCAAGACTTGACATACCTAAATTTTGAGTTGTGATTAAAAGTCTTAATATATTGCGCCCTTCGTTCTACCGATAACGTTTTGGCATAAATGAGATATTGTACTTGAACCTTTGCGCCGCCGTGTTAGTTGTTCGTTTTGATCGAGGTGGCTTCTGAGATGATACGTACTACATCTAACATGCTGGCCAAGTACCAAGCGGTGTTTTGATTTTCGTAAAAGACGATGATTTTTTCCTCGTCTTGGTACCTGATAATACTGTCTAGCAGATATGATAATTTCGCCGAGGCCGTCGCCGTAATTCGAGTTGGATCGAGAATATGCGAGAAAGTATTTGACTCCAGTTCGCCAATGGGTTTGAGACGATTGACAACGTGTTTATGATGTTTCCGAGCGTTATCGTGACCTATTTTGGTATTGCCAGCAAGGGTTGGCGAACGACGGCCCTCGCTTGGGGCTTCTTCCGCTGGGGTTTGAGAATCGAGAAGTTTCTTCTTTTCTGAGATTCCTTCCAAGGCCAGACCTCCATTGAGAAGCGCATTGAATTTGGCAGGATCCCTCAACGCGTTGTATACTATGCTTTGCAAACTGAGGAGAAGACTGGCTGAAGTGCATGTCCACTTTTTGTCAGAGCCTTCGCCTAGACACCAAGATGACCCTGAATCGGCTGGGAGGTCTTGAACGCATATGGGCATCTCGTGATACAGATTGCTTAGATTTCGCAAGACATTGCGACTTGCTAAATGGCCAAGATTGATTGCCTCTTGAAGTAGCTGCTGATCTTCGAGACTGCATTCTACTTTCTTTTCCTTGAGAAACTCTTCAGCTGTATGTACAGCCTTCTCGATCTCCTGTGCTGAAAAGAAAGAGCCTCCAAAAAAGCTCGCCTGTTTCAAATTATGTACAATCTCCAATAGACTGCTCCTCTGTTTTGAATGGAAGAAATAGTCTTGATCAGTTCGTTGCGACTGTACTGCGTTGAATATAATCATCATGGAGAAGAGATTCGTGCTAAGTTGGTCTTGGTATGACCCTTCCAAATATATCACGTCTTCTTTTACAGACGGCAGAAGCTCTCCGATCTCTGCCACCTTATGACGGATGATCAATGAATTCAAAGTTGTGTTCAAACAGTCCCAGCGGCCACGGCTTCTCGGGCTGTGCTTCGGAAGCAACAGATAAGTGTTCCAGCCGGCAAGGGTATCACCTTGTTCAGTACTAGTGTTTGCCCACGGTCGAGCTTTAAGGTAGAGTGCTGTTATCGACCCAATCCTCTCTAGGTCCTTCGATTCCAACTTGTTCGAAGGTGGATCCGAATCATGGCCCCCTTCAGATTCATTTCCGTTGGAAGTGACCTGGCTTGCCGTGTCCATCCCGCCATTTTCTTGTCCAAATAAACCGTGTGAGGGTGTGCCCGTGACTATCCAGCGTGAAGTACATTGTAACTCGTCAAGATTGGTGAGGAGCACGCTTCGAGCAGAGATCTTCGAGTTTCCCAGCTTGTGCCCTTCGTCTACTACGCAACGTTTGAAATGAACTCTTGATAGAGGCGATCCGGCCATCCCCCCAGGTTCCCTCGCGATCATTTCGAATCGATTTTGAGAGAATAGGAGCATATCATACTTGATAATGTCCTCACTTGGGGGTATCGCGGTATGTTTGGTCAGAATAAGGGTGTTTAGGCCATCAGTGTGCTTGAGAATTTCTTCACGCCACTGATTAACCAAGTTGTTTGGAACAATCACAAGGCTTGTGGCACTCAGGAAGACCTTTTTGGTGGCCACTAGGGGGTATTGGCTCCTATGCCTTGCACAACGGCGGGTTTCTGGTGCCGGGACGAAGTAATATCCAGGGTTCCTCTCGAGCGCATTGACACACTCAGGGAATTCATAGCCATATTCCGAGGCATAAGAGTCGAAGTAGGTTTTCCAAGGAACAGAATTTCGGTTTGCGCACGAAGCAGCCATCTCAGCTAGCGAGGCGATCTTGGGTCGGGTAGGAGCACGCCCTGCCCCATAGATCTCGGGAGCACTGGCAGGGACTTGCTTGGTTGCCAATATCAGAGCGAGGCAAATCAGGGTTTTGCCGGAACCCATCTCCTCTGCCAAGATCCCTCCCGATATACCATCGTAGTACCGAGGCTCCGTCAAAATGCTACCAGTGACGAGATCCACGTACCAGCCTCCGCCATGCTGATCTCGAACATGTTGCAACCGAGGATCTAGAGTTTGACCTGGCTGGGATTCTTTTTGAAGCATCAACGCCGACGAGCGCCGTTGATGAGGATATAAATCTGCCTTTAAGCCATCTACCCTGCTTTCCAGCAAGCAATACATTCCGTTTTGCGCTCCGGCATTAGAAACAATGTTTGGGTCTGGACTTGGCGAGTTGAGCCTATTGAATAGCTGAAGCAATGTCATCTCTTGAGTGTTCGTATCCATGTCAGTTGTCTGATAGGGTACTGGTCCTGTAGATATATCTGGTGGATGGCCATTCCATCCAGAAGAAGAGTAGTCTATTGAGTCTAGAATAGCTTGCTTGGCTCTCTGCAAGCCAACGTCGGTGCGGTCTATGGCGCGGTGAGCTACATCATCTGGGAGGAGATACACCCTTAGGGTGCCATGATTGGCACTGTGTATTCTAAATTGGAGGTTGGCCCATTTGTATTGGAATAGCCGTCTGTAGTGGCTAAGTTCTGGGGAGCCCAAAAGCTGTCTCTGGGCCTCATCAGGGATTGTAGGCTGAGTGGGGGTCGATGAACCCGGGTGGTGTATATCTGTTGTTCGAGAAAGCCATATCCATTGTCGAAGATGATCCGAGCCCCAGTAGTCGGCTTCTAGACTGCTTTGATCCCGTAAAATTGATACGGAGCCGACAGGAATATAGTGATAAGCTGGTGATGGCGCCATGCTTATAGATGCTAGAAACCACTGGATTGCTAATTCAACTGATGAAAGCGAGGGGAAAGGACATTTCCATCTGATAAAGGCCTGGGGAGCAATGCATGTGGCGAATTAAGGAGATATACCGATGGAGGTCCTGGTGGGATCAGGAGTTGGATAAGTGAAAGGTGGTAAAGTATGAGGCGCAGTTCAAGGAGAGTAGGAAGGCTGATTAATAACACTGTGCATCAACCACAGCCCATCACACACGTGCACAGTGCACGCACAGTGACCACTGCACGCCTCAAGGCAGCAACCGTAACAGAACCTTGCAAATGTTTGCTGCTCACTTCTCATGTCACCCATTGTGACTTTTTGTTTAAGAGCTATTAGTCTTGATGTTTAGATTTGCAATGTTTGGAATGTGTTGCACGACAACCCTATGGATCTACAAGACTTGAATCCCACCGGTCCAGGAGCCCGACATGCCATTCCCTGAATATCCTATCGCTCTCAGGGAGGAGAAGGCTGCTGGAGACCAAATGGTGTCCCGCGGTTTCTACAACGCGACTGGGTAGAGATATGTCCTGGACATCCGAGTTCAGGTCATCAGCTAGTTTATTACCTTGCTCGACATCGAGGAATTGATACAGAATTTTCATGGCCGTCTTCTTGGTCTCGAGCTTTGAGCTTGCAAAAACGACATAAGGATTTAATACCCAGAGATGAAGTGCCTTCGCTGGGTTGACCGCCGCGTCCTCATTCTTCTGAGAGAGGAGGTGCGGTAGGACAACAAATTTCGAAGACCCGGTCCGCGAGATCGACGCCGTTAGAGTGGCGGCAAGGCAGTGGACGCTGTTGGGTACAGGCATGGGTGCCTCTGTTTGACACAGCGTCTGCCACTTGAATAAAGATAGCGACGATGCTGCGACATTGTAGATCCCAACTTCAGACTGACAGGCCTTGCAAGATATATGTTGCCACTTCGATGACGGGTCAGCTTCTAAAGCGAGTTCGCTAGATTGGAACCCCGATTCCTTCATGGAGGGAGAGAACTATTGGCCATTAGTACCGAAGGGAGAGTGTGAACGAATCCAATCCGACTACGTGTGCTTGTATTGGAAGTACTGCATGTATCTCCTGTAAAATCTCTCAACAGCCACATCTCTGGACGGCGAGTTGAAAAGAAAGGGACTATGTCTCCGGTCTCACTACCAAAACCCATTCCGACAAAGGGAAGGTTTTTGGGAGGTTCGACCGCCCTGAGGCAGGGAACAACATTCAGTTCGCTCTTGGGGGTTTGTATCGCTGACCGCAGCATTGAGAGGTTACGAGAACCGGCTTGGCCAACTTCTTTCCCCCCGTCGTCGTCGAAGTCGAGCACGCTTGGCCGGGTTTGGGTTGGGCGAGGTATGTACTCACCAGTAGACCATTACAATCTTGTTCAGCGACCATGAAGGAAGTGAGGTCGACAAACCCAACGTTTGGCTGGGCGGCTATTGCATTACTTGCCCCATAGCCACGTTGTGTAAGTTTGTCATCATCATGTTTCTCATGATCATGGGGTTTATGGCAATGCCAAAACTCCATCATCTCCGCCCAGTTCTCACTAGGCAAATCTTTCCAGTCTTTAATGGCCCCCCGAGGCACTATCTCATGATGACATCCACGGCATTGAATAGGCGATTCTTTCTGTATGTCGACGGAACCCCAGGGCAAAGCTTGGCCCTCTAGCGAGAGACTGGCTGGTTTGGGTACTGCTGTCGACAAAGGGAGTCTCCAACTTAGCTTTACCGTCCGTTGCTTCAGATCCGGTAGAGGGAGAATGGGGGGTGCTACGACCCGGGCGGGTATAACCAAGGTGCTGGATTGGGATTGGTGTTGCAGTCGAATTGTCTGGCCATCAATCGCGGCCTTGGTTGAGCTATCGACAGGGGACGGCAGGTTTGCAACCACAGATACTTGCCTGATATTGACTAGTAATTCAGCATAGATGGACGCACTGCTTTCAGGTGATGGATTCATCATCTCTGCCGATCCCTGGTATCTTCTTGTGATTGCATGCCTTGGTTTGATGCGGAATTAGAGACGCGCTCGCGGATGCTACTTGAAAGGACAGTGGAGAGCGTGAATTACATAATCAGGTCAGTGTTGGGCGTTGCCTTAGTCAGCTGGCTTCTCAGCGGATTTAACTGAGAGCGAGATCCCCAACAATGATTTCCCCAAGTCTCTGTGGCGGTTGACACCCCACTCATAGATTCCCATAGATACGTACCTGTTCTAATATAAATTATTTGGTAGCTGTCGCAGGTGGTCATAGATCGTCACATTGACATCAGCACCTACTCTCTTCCTCCTCACATTATCGATCGCAGACATGGCAGGATTTCTATCATCAGTACCGATCCTTGGCAAGATCACGGGGATAGGGTCCGGTTCCAGATCCATCAACTTACCCTCAGTCGATGTTGACCAAGTTGAGACAAACCCGGACAAGAGGGCCCGGTGCCTGAAGCATCTCATTAAAGCAAACCATGTCAACTACTCAGTCGTCTATCACAACCTGCAATTTGATAACCACAACCCACACATTCTCGCCTCTGCATACTTCCTTGGCGCCAATGACATCCAGCTTAATGAAATATATGAGAAAGAGATCAAAGAGCTAGAACCTTGGAAGTCTTCGCCGGCAGAGGTGGCAGACCTCGACTGGCAAGATTTCCTCGGGGACAGGAGGTATCAGCGGGCCTATCTGGATTACTTCGAAGACAAACTCGTAATGAACTACTCTTATGCTTGGAAGAAGGAGGTTGAGCATTTCCTCTTCCATGCTGAAACACCCCTCCTCCATGGATTGATCAGCGGCCGTATGATATTTTCCACTGATCTGAATCCGAGATGAACTAGACAGCTGACGCACATTATTAGTTGGGCACCCTCTTATCCATCTGGGATTTGCATATGAGGTGGATAGTAAAGAGCTGGCTACAGAAGCTTTGTCTCTTTTAGCTGTCCAGTACAACTTCCTGCACAAGTATCTGGATGACAGCTCCTACACGAAGCCATCGCCTATAAACTCCAGTTCTCCTCTGGATCTCCTAACCAAGATGGCAGATGACAAACGCTTCGACAGCCTGCCACGCAACCCAGACTACAGTGACTTGGAGAGCATCTTCAACGAGCACGAAGAACTCATCCTCGAGTACTGGAATGGGTGGAATCTCGATAACCCACACAAGGCATTCGAGCTGTCGCAGGAGGCTGCGGTTGCCTTGCTTGTTTCCACAGTTGTGCCCAAGACGCATGCTTACAACTTTTTCGTGGTCCATCTCCTCACGACGAGCCATGCGGTCGGCATCCTGTTGCCTTTCTTCCCCCAAGAGTACCGCGTGCCTCTCGTCCGCCAGTGGTGGCTGCTCGTCATTAGTGTCATGCTCATGAAGAACCGCCCTCGCCCCGATCCTGACAATATTGAGAAGAACGTCGACGGGAAGACGTGGAAATATGTGCAAGATCGAGCTATCAATTCACCCTGGGCCCATGACGCCCACTACGTCAAAGGTTGGTCACTTCTCACAAATTCTGCGTGAGATCCTCAGCTAATGGTGACTCATTACAGCTATTCGTTCCATGAAGGAGGCAGCCAAGACCTGGGGTGATGCGCAGGAAAAGTATCTGCGCGCAGCGGTCACGTTTGTTGATAATTTTGAAGGTTGGGCGTTTTAGTTTATTTGGTTATATGAGTATGATATTCACTCCACTAATTCATCATGTTTTATGAACGAGCCTGAAATTTGAGATGAAGTAAAGCCATGCCATCACCTGGGAGTGGTGGGTCGTGCACTGAGACTCACGATAGATATTCATGTTGGTGTTTCTCTGGACCGTATCTCAATGTTTCCATTTCAACGTATCCATTAAATGATATGAAATAAACATGAGAAGCCGACCGAGTAAACATAACCGCTAGAGATGTATCCCAGCACCTACTGATTTGTAGGTGGGTGAGACGATGTGATCTGACATTCGTTGGTGGCAGTTCAGCGGGGTGAGGTCACTGAGCGTCAGACGTGAAGTGCCTGGAGCAGGCCCAATTAACGCGATCGGCGGTCGCTGGGGTCTGATCTCCAGCGCTTAAGTGGTTGCCCGGCTTTCATCCCCAGCCCAACGACCAGCCTAGATAATATCCTTTCCATCTCACAAGAACACGAAATACGACCCTCGACGATCGCTGTTCTCGACCATCCGATGCACCCCAAACGGGCAGCCTTCACGAGAAGGACGTGTTTCGCCTCGCCTTCGGCCTTGTCGCGTTGATGGCTCCCCCCGCGAAGCGTCGAAGGCGTGATACGGTCGATGCCTCGGACGACGACGACGATGACCAGCCCCGATCTGCGAACACCTTGACCAATTTCTTCACCTCGTCGCTCAGCTCGCCCCCCAAGCCCCAGGCACGGCCTTCTTCGCAGAGTCCTTCCAAACCCGTGACCAAGGCCTCTCCCAAAAAGTCAGCCGCCGCCGCCGCCACCAAGGCTCAGAAGAAAGGCGCGAGTCCGAGCACGAGGCGCTCCAAGGACTTCTTCAATGGTTCGGAGAAGGGCAAATCCGCCGACTTGAAGACCCTCTTCTCGCGCCAGACGCAACGGACCTCCGGGCTTGGCCAGACCAAGGCGACTCTCCCGGCGAAGGACGTAATAAGCGACCCGATCTCGGACGACGACGACATCTCAGAACTCAAGGCGAGCACATCGAGCTTTGTTGGGAAGCATGCGAAAAAACGGGCAAGAAACGGCGCTCAGTTCGCGGCGCCGTTGAGCAGCGCGGCGCCCAGCCTGCGGTTCTTAAAACCATCCAAGCCTTTCGGGGCTGAAAGCTCAGACGAGGAGGCGAGGCCATGGTCGGAGCGGTTTGGCCCTCGGAACCTAGAAGAGCTGGCAGTCCACAAGAAAAAGGTATCCGACGTGAAGCGATGGCTAGATGATGTAATGGCTGGTCGCCTTCATCAGCGGGTGCTGATCTTGAAGGGAGCAGCTGGATCGGGGAAGACTACAACAATGCGGTTACTTGCGAAAGATATGAGTTTCGAGCTGCTGGAGTGGAAGAATCCTACAAACACACCCGGTCTGGGCTTTGTGTCGGCTTCAGCTCAGTTCGACGAGTTCCTTGGCCGTGGAAGCAAGTTTGGCGCCTTGGATCTTGACGACGATTCCCCAACCCCATTCAGCACACCAAGCAACAGCGCTCCACGGGATCAACCTAGGCAGGTGATGCTAATAGAGGAGTTTCCCAATACCTTTTCCCGATCATCAACGGCTCTGACCTCCTTTCGGAACTCCCTTCTCGGCTATCTCTCGAGGGACACGCCGTCTTCCTCATTCTTACAACCAGAGTCTAAGAAAGACCCTGTTAAGCCAGTGGTAATGATTATTTCAGAAGCGCTTTTGACGACAACTTCGTCATCGGCAGACAGCTTCACTGCGCACCGACTACTCGGACCAGATCTCCTGCGCCATCCCGGCGTCAAGGTCATCGAATTTAATGCGATCGCGCCTACAATACTGGCAAAGGCTCTTGACCTCGTTGTACAGAAGGAGGCCCGGAGGTCAGGGAGAAAAAGGACACCCGGGCCTGTCGTGTTGAAGAGACTCGGGGAGATTGGAGACATTCGAAGCGCAATTTCATCACTCGAGTTCTTGTGCCTCAAGGGCGACCAAGAAGCAGACTGGGGGTCAAAGGTAGCATTTATCAATGGGAAGAAGAGCGTCCGGGACGGCATCGCGCTCACGAAGAGCGAATCGGAGAGTCTAGAATTGATATCACAGCGGGAAGCAAGCTTGGGAATGTTTCATGCCGTGGGTAAAGTCGTATACAACAAGCGAGATCCGCCGGTGCCTGGGGACAAAGTCGAAAACCTACCATTCTACCTCTCGCACCTCTCAAGACCGAGGAAGTCGCAAGTTTCGGTGGACACGCTTATCGACGAAACGGGGACCGACACTTCAACGTTTATATCGGCCCTACATGAGAACTTTGCCGCCTCCTGTGAGGGAGCAGACGACTCTGATCTCACAACGCCGATGGAATACCTCAATGACTGTATCGAGGCACTATCACTGAGCGACCTTGTTTGCCCGTCAAGAGAATTCAGCTCAGCAGGCAGAGGCGGCGGGTTCTTGGGGGCTGATTCGGGAAGCCATATCCTTCGTCAGGACGAGATAGCATTTCAAGTTGCCGTTCGTGGGCTACTATTTGCACTGCCGTACCCCGTACGGAGAAAGCCGTCTACGGCCCTGAAGGGGGCCGATGCATTTAAGATGTACTATCCTATGAGTTTGAAGCTCTGGCGGGCCAGGGAGAACCTCGAAGGGCTTGTGGATGTCTGGTCGTCGAGGCTTCTCAAGGGCGAGTTCAACGCGGTGACGAAGAACTTGACTGACGGGGCAAGCGCATTCCGGAAACCTAAGCAGCCGGGCGATCTGTCCTGGATGCAACGTCAACACCAAAAACATCAACAGCAGTCCGTCCCCAAGGCACCCGAAACAGAGGACACCGACAACGACGGCGTGCCCATCCTCTCCTTGGGAAGTGCAGCTCGCCGCGAGCTTCTGCTTGAGCGGCTCCCGTACATGGCGCACATTGCCCGCGGCAACCGTGCAAAGTCGGGGGGCATACGCCTACAGGATCTCGAGAAGGTGGTCTCGTTTAAGGGAATCGGGGCCGGGGATGAGGGCTCGTCGGATACAGAGGAGGAAGACACGTCAGCGCGCGAGGCATGGGCAACGGACAAGCCGTCAGAGGAGGCAAGCCCCAAGAAGAGGGCGGCAGGCGTCAAGGCAGATTCTGTAACGACGGGGTTTGCGCAGAAGCTTGTGCTGAGTGACGACGATATCGAGGACTGAAGGCGAAGAAAGCGTTTGCCTGAATTTACTGTATAATCAAAACTAAAAAGAGGTAATAGAATCAAATGGCCCTGAGATGGTCAATATAAGGGGGCGTTTTGGTCTGGGCACAAGTGGGGGATCTGGGAGTAGCAATCAACAGCATCACCAAAAGATAGAGGAAATATAGTTCTCATGCACTCATCAGCCGTGGCTAGAACGAGGAATGTAATAACACGGTCGATACTATCACTGAATGTTCAGAGTCCATTGTGATAAATGGAGGCAGGACTCGATGCATCAATCAACGGTACTCGAAGCTGTAGCACCTTGCGGACACTTAGATCGACGTCAGCTGCCCCATAGAATCAAGGCTGACCCGGTCACTAGAAAGTCCCCTGAAGCATCCAGTGGATCAGATCGCTGCCCACATGAATGAGTGCATGTGCGTCTCCTCATCACTGCCTGGCAAGAGAAACATATCACCCAGCAACGACTGGACAAAAGGCAATAGCTCGATCATCAGCGGTAAGCGCCTCATCGTAGCCAGCATCAAGAGTAGACCATCCCCGCCTCCCGCCGCATCTGCAGAGCCAAAGTTAGCCAAAACAAAGCACGGCCTACCTCTTAAACGCCTGCTGTGCTCCAATCTGCCTGTACAGTGACCTGGCACACGACTCACCAGCTACAGCTACCCAGTAGTATCCTCCCTCCTGCACCCACCCGCCCTCTCAGCCATGCCGCCGCCCAAGCCAAAGACCCTGCACATCCTCTGCTTCGGCGACTCCCTGACGTCCGGGTTTTGCAACTTCGGCCTGGACGAGCGGCCCTACTCCGCCCGCCTCCAGCAGCGCCTCACAGCCGAGTTCCCGGGCCGGGAGATCCACGTCTACACAGACGGCGAGCCCGGCGAGCTCGTCCTCAACGGGTCCTGGGAGGCCCGCCTGAGAGCCGATTGTATGTCAACTGAGTAGAAAACAGCAGAAGGCTTTCCCCCCTTAATGCATTAATGTAAATAATCTCTGACCTGCGCCAGTAAACAAGCGCCGCTATGACTGGGTGATAATGCTCGGGGGTACAAAGTACGTAACAACCTCCCCTCTAAGCCCGCACCAGCAGTCTGTTAACGGGGTCTGTTGAAAGTGACCTCGGGTCCGTCATCTCCGAGGACAGGATCCTCGAGGCCCTCGAGGACCGCTGGGCAAAGGTCCTCTCCAAGGGCGGCAAGCTCCTCGCCCTCACCGTCCCGGAGTGCCACAGCAGGCCCGGCTGGCTCGTCGAGCGCAGGGCCCTCCTCAACGACGACATCCTCGCCCACGAGGCGCCCAACTTGTGAGCTCTCCCATTTCAGGCCCCCGGTCCCACGCAGAGACCAGGAACTTGCTAACAATGTTCTCCTCGTAATTCTAACACAGCTATTCATTTGATCTTCATTCACGCATTCCCTATCACTCGCTTTCCAAGGAAGACCGTGAAAAGTACTGGGACGACGGCCTGCATCTCACAGGCGAGGGCTACTCATGGATGGGAGATCACATTGCCGACGCTCTTCTGCCGCTGGTCAAGACTGACATCGACGCTGAGAAGGCCTCTCAGAAAAAGTCATCCCGGCGGAGCGAAGAAGAGACAGTCGTCTTCGATGAGGAAGGTGGCAACATCAAAGATATCAGCCAGGGCTACGTTATTATTAGAAAGAAGGATTTGGAGTAGAAGGGAATTTTGGTTATGAACTGCAATATCTGGTATAGGCTTTATGGGATAAATGGGTACACATATTCTTTCTTCTTTATAGTTGTTATTCATGATACCTATGATGATGGATTTAACATCATGTCCATTTTCTACATCGCTCTAAATTCGCAATTGTCCTTGAACGCCCTGTGCCATGCTGTCATTTCCGTGCCTGTTCATTAAAGCCAAAGACGCTCTAGGTAGCAAGATGTGTCTCGACGAATTTCTGCATTATTTTTACGTTAGCATCATATCTCGGAAGACTTTCAACGCCCAAGTTTGAGGAGGTAGAAAGGCTGAGAAAGGGACGACAAGTGGAACTTACTGGGAACCGCTGATGCAGCGCATTCGTGATGTTTTCAAGCTCCTCCGACAGACTCTCGACATTGGCATCCCACTGGCGCAACTCCTTGCCCACAGTGACCTCTGCACGGCCACTACCCTTCTCTCCGGACGCCTCACCTCGCTCAAAGTATACTATATTATCAAGCTGGTCAATACGTCCGACCAGACGACCCTGCTCGATCATCCTTGCGGTCGTCTCCTCGGCCTTTTCAGGTCCAAGACCAAGAAGCGATCCCAACGCCTCGAACCCGATATTATTGTATAGCCTCGAAGCTCCGAGAAGGTTGTGGTCCACCACAGCCTTGGCGAGAACCGTCGAGCCATCCGACGTCGTGGCCAGCTGATGAGGCTGAAGTTCCTGGGCGAACTTGTCCACTTCCTCCGCGGACAAGAGGCGGTCGAGGAAGATCTTCTCCAGGATTCCAAATTCCGGTAGCTGAACAGACCGCTCGTCCTTGTAAAGTCGTCCCAGGGTTCGACTCCTCATGGGACCGGCGGGGGCCAGGATGGCGCACTTGGCGGCCATACTAAGCGTATGGAGACGCTCCTCCTCGGCGATGGCTGAAGAGAAGCTCAGCTCGTGATACTTGTTGGCAGCAGAGAGGAAGTCACGCTTGGCGTCCTGGATTCGAGCCTGGGAGAGCTTGAAGTGGAGGGTAAGGTCGGAGTCCTCGATCTGGTGCATAATGTTCTTCAGCTTGTTGATATACGTCTCGGCCGAGGTGGAGTCGTCAACCTCGAGGTAGTTGCGGACAATGCGGATCCAGATCTCGGCCTTGTGCTTGACCGAGACCTGGCGCTGTGAGCTATCGAGGAGGATCTCGGACAGGGTCCTGGCGGCTTCGACGAAGTCTTCATTCTCCTCGTGAGCTGTAGCCACAAGCTCCTGGACTATGGCAATAGCGTCGGGGAAGGCCGAGGGCTGTGCGTTGAGGAGGACGAGGGTGCGGGTGCCGACATCGATCCAGAGGTCCTGCTTGTTCCCGAGCCCCTTGAGAGTGGAGATGAAGGTGTTGAGGACAGATCGGGTGGCGACTACACCGAGGGAATTGTTGAATATGGCCTCGGCAATGGCGACCAGGTCGTCGGCGGCGGTGGAGGGCGACGATATGTCTTGGATCTGGGCGAGGATGCTCTCGAAGGCGGGGCCTTGGTCGCTGGAGAGCTTCGCGACACTGGCCAGAGCCTCGGAGACTTTGGCACTCGGCGCCATGGCGAATGATGTTGGGGATTCGAAGAGGCTGCGAGACAGAACTCGGATCAATGATGTTGAGACGCAGGCAGGGTCCTAAGTGGTTCCGTCTCGGTGTGAGTGTCGTGAGTGACTGGCAGGCAGTAACGGTGCAGTAATACAATCAGCAAGAGCTCAGGGAAGGAGCCCCTCGTGTGGTCCGTGCACACAACAGGCACCCAACTTAGGTAGAGCTAGGTACCTCCGCACAGCAATTTCAAACCCCCCACAGCGGTTGTCTGCCTACATAATCCTACGACACAGGCCATTGGAGACAACCTCAGTATCAAAATCCAGACATGTGTTTCCTCGAGATATCTGGAGGAAGGATGGGGACTTTTCTTCTCTTCACAGAAATCAGCCATCGCCAGGTAAGCGGTGCTGCCCTGCAAGAAACTTGTTTCTGGAGTGACTGATGAACGTTATTCCAAATATGTTGATCTATCTCAATGTGCATGTACATCAATTGATATTACATCCACAGATCAAAGATACAGTAAGCCTCATTATCATACAATCATCCAACATGCACAGCAATTTCAACTCCGCCACAGCGGTTGTCTGGTTGATGTGACATGATAATCGTAGTGTCCGGTGCACAGCGTATTTAACCCTCCCAAAGTGCTCGTCGAAAGGATTCCCATTAGGTACATGCACAGCAATTTCAACCTTCACGCAGCGGTTGGCAGACGATACACCAGCTTGGTGAGATATACGGTAGTTTGTGTGCGTAACGATCTATGTAGATGGCTTCATTTCAGAATAGAAGGATCAATCCCAGTTCCTCCAGTGTTAAACGCGACGCAACGAGTTATTCTTATAGCTCGACAGCTTAGATCTTGACAACAGCCTAATTGGTAAGGAGTCGCCGTTACAGGATTATGGAAAGTCAAGACGGCAAGCATGACAACGGATTTGAAGTAATTGATTTTGCTGTGCAACGTAGGGCTGAGAGTTCAGACAGACGATAACCTTGACCCTCACAACAGCCTTATTGGGTAAAAGTCGCCGACACTTCCCCTCCAGGATGATTGAAAGTAAGCAAGACAACCGATTGAGGGGGTTGAAATCGCTGTGTATGTTCTAATATCCTCCCGCGCGCATTAATACACCTGCGACACGGCGGGGTGCAGGGAATAGATCATTGGCTGAGCAGAAATCGCAACGTCGCCTCGCGCGATTCCACCGGCACCAGCCGAGATTTGGCGTCGATCTTCAGCCGTCAATCACATCACCACCACCATCGACTCGATAGCTTCGTTCTAGGGGCCCGTTATCCAATATTCATTTCGCATTCATAGGCACGTCCATCCTTCATCTGTCCAACAGCACACACGCTCACCAACATGCACGGGCAGAAAACCCAGTCTATTGTTATTACTGTGGGGTTCTCCCCGATTCATGTCTGAGCCCTCGGGACCTTCATCTTTCCCAGCTTGGCATTCCACGCCAGCCAAGACGGACGGGACGGCCTTTTCATCCATGTCAACAATGGATCCAAGCCCTGTGCCACACACTGCCGACTCCCGTCGTCGTCAGCATCATGCACTCTGCCTCCTGTCTCCTCCCCCCAAGGAAGAACCGCCGCAGCGAGAGGGCGCCCATCTCCATGATCTCGAATGCTGCTGCGGCCCTCCTCTGTGAGCCGCCGGCTCAGAAGACCCTCGTCCTTGCTCCGCTTCTGCGCCGGCCTCGCCCTGGCCGCCCTCGTCCTCGACACTTTGTTCCTCACCAGCCAGCTCCCTTTATCCCACCGCTCCAGCAGCCGCCGGATGCCCCGGAACCCCCATTCCCTTAACCAGACGGTCTTCATTGCCTCAGTCCATCAAAATTCCGCTCCCAGGCTGCACGCCACGTGGAGTGACGCCGTCGTTCAGCTCATCGGCCTCCTCGGCCCGGACAATGTCTACTTTTCCGCCGCAGAGCACGCCTCCTCGGACGGCACCATCCCAGAGCTCGTCCAGCTCGAGCAGCGCCTCAACGACCTACAGGTAGGAAACACCATCCACCTCGGCCGGACGGCATGGGACCTCGAGGATGAAGCCAACGGCCAGCCGCCCCCCGGGGCCGAGGCCGGATGGCTCTGGCATCCCAAGCATCAGCGGTGGGCCCTGCGCCGCGTCCCCATCGATGCCCAGGCGAGGAACCATGCCCTCCTCCCCCTCCGTGAGCTCCTTCTCGAACAAGGACGCTCCTTTGACCGGGTGCTCTGGCTCGACGACAACATCGTCTTCCGTCCCGAGGATGTCGTGTCGCTCCTCGAGACCCGGGACGGTGACTACGCGGCCGTCTGCAGTGCTGCTCAAGCCGGGCCCTCCACCCACCGTCTCAACGCCCTCACCCTGCGAGACGACGACGGCCATCTGCCCGTCAGCACCCACTGGCCCTGGCTCTCCGCCTCGACGTCCCGCTCCGCCGCGTGGGCCGGGTCGCCCATCCCAGTCCGCTCGTGCTGGGGCGGCATCGTCGCCTTCGACGCCCAGCCCTTCTACGACCCCGACTCCCCGCTGAGGTTCCGAAGCGTCAGCGACGAAGTGGCAGCTCTTCACCTCGAGGCATCCGAGCGATGCCTCATCCACGCCGACAACCCACTGGCCAGCTCCAGGGGAATCTGGGTTGAACCGTCGATCCGCACCGCTCTTGACTGCAAGGAAGGGTGCTGGAAGGTCGCCCGCCCCCTCTCCCCGGACACCTGGCTCACGGCCATGAGGGGAGTCTGGTCCAACCGACTGGGGACCTGGCGAGGACCCCGATCCGGCGCCGAGACGAACTCGGAACTGCCCCGGGTGAGGGACTGGGCTGCTGCCCGCGGTGATCCCCGGATAGGCGGCGACGGGGCCGTTTCCTGCCTGATGGACGAGATGCAGATCATCAAGAGAACCAAGTGGACCTTCAAACTCTCGAACGCGGGATCGTAGTCCTCTTGTACATTTATCGTTAGAACCAAAAAGAAGTAAATAGGAAAAAAAAAACTGTTAAATGGACCAAGAAAAAAACCAAAGAGTCCCGTTGCCGTTGACGCCGATAGATGCTCTAAAACAGCGCCCCAGAGTTTGTCATACACATATATGCTCTAAGTCTCATGAGTCCTATCCAATGCCCCGAAAACGCCTGTAACAAGAAAACAGACCGCCAAAGGTACACCAAAGAGGCGACAGGTCCGACGCAAGAAAGAACCCCACCTTTGGCGTGTTTCCCGGCGGTTGCCCGCACATACCAACCGTCTCTATTTGTTGTGCCAGAGGAGCGTCCGCAGCGAGTCCCAGTCGTCGCAGTCCCGGTAGATGTACACCATGCTGCTCCGCAGGCTGGACTGCAGCTCCTCCGGGTGGTAGCGGAAGAGCAGCATGACCGAGGCCCAGCTGAGCGACGCGAACGCGGGCCAGGCGTAGTGGTTGATGCGCGAGTGCAGGGGCTCCGCGGACACGAGGGGGAAGCCGACGCCGGGCTTGACGGCAAGGCGCGCGAGGGCCAGGACGACGCGGGCGAAGACGTAGATGACGATTTGCTGGTTGACCGACGAGATCTTGCCCGATCGCTTGGAGCGCCCGCCGAAGACGAAGTAGCCGCCGACCAGACCAGCGAAGAAGGAATCATAGGTCCCTGGTTCAAGCCCAAAGTTAGCCAGGTGTCTTACCTATGGCCGAGACCTCAATAGAAAGCGCAGCAATTGTCCAATACATACCCTCTTTTCCTGGCGTGGCGCCGTAGTGCTTGAGCGCAAGCATTGTGAGTTTGTATATCGTTGCGAACCGAGCGAGGTTGGAAGCGTGGTGTCGCGTGGCCCTCAAGACAAGCCCAGCCTTTTGTCGGAAACTATTCCCATCGTCGTTAGTGACTTCATATACCAGGCACAGTACACAGCGCAGGAATCTAGGGATATTCGGTGGCGAGAGTATTCGGTAATGGTTGGACATACGTTCCAGATCGGAAGAGAAAGATCATTCTAGGTGGCTGTTAGTCGAGACAGGGTCGAATTGAACAGAGTGGCGGGCCCGACTGACACTAAGGCATGAGGGAATCGGACCTTGGTGCCGTATACGGCACCATTGCGCGCGGTCTTGAGAAGAGAGAGGACATCGTGGTATCGAGGGTTTCGGACTATCTGCTCGAGCGCATCCTACAATGCTGGTCAGCACGTGCGAGGCCAGGGGGCGGTGAGGAGGGTCGAGTCGAACCTTAAGCACCGCTATCGAAGCTGAGACCGAAGATGACATGTCGCCTGCCTGAGTGTGAAGGGTGGTCGCTGTGAGGATCGAGGACGGGAGGCCAGAAGCGACACAGGACGACAGTCGGGGTGGGAGCTTGGGAGCTTGGAGGACCGCAGGCTAGCCGAAGGGAGACCGCGTATGTTGTGCAAGAGACTGTAGAGAGGGATAATTGTGATACGCAAGTCGGAGCGCAATGGACGGAAGCTGGGATCTATAGCGACGGCTTCTAATGTGCGGAGGATGTGGAGGATGGAAATTGAACTCCAGAGTTGGCCCGATTCACATCTGAACGCAATGACGACGGACCTCGGGACATGGCCAGCTTCGGCTGTTCAGTCAGGTGGGAGACCCTGCTGAAACCTGGCGGTACATGTGGAGGTAGCTCCCGTTAGCACAGCATCCCAGCCGCCAGCACCAATATGGGAAAAGGGCCGTTGCACCCTAGCAGGAGACACCTGTGTCCAACCCACAGGTACCTCTGTCCCGTGGCATACCAGCTGCTAAATTTACTGTGGCCTCTAGCACTAATTAGCTGCGCTAATGACGGCATATGGATCTCAAACGATGATAGTTTGTGGGGGAAGACTGACATGTGAAAACACCATATCTCGGCCACAGGGAACTTCCCCAGCTCCCAGCTCAGACAGCAGAGCAGATAGGCATCCCCCCATTATCTATATCAGATCGCAACACAGATCTTACCTGATATCGGTGTAACCCAAGTACCCCTCACCACTCGATTACTTCCATATGAATCTACTTGACGCCTTAAGACCGGGTGACATTCTATGCATGTCGCTGGTTTCGAGATACCCAAGACGGGGAAAGAACTTGATTAATACCTATGGGTCAGCACCATCTCTCATGTGGCTCCCTCCATTTCACGCCCAGCACCTCGAATATCCTCTTTTCATCCCTGCCTTCCACAAGCTCTCCCTCTGTTACCTTGGCCCGTCCAGGTCCCCGCATGACGTCCTTGTAGAGACCCCGCTGGTTCAACCTCATCCCCTTCTTCGACGCCAGCAATCGCATACTGCGGTTGAAGATGTCATTCCCGGTAAAGTAGAGCAGCGCAGCACCCAGCTCGGATGCAGGTACCATCAGAAAGTCAATTCGCCTCCAGATCGAGCGACGTTCCCCCGTGTCTACACCGTGCGCGCCCTCGGGTAACACACAACACCCATGCCATTTGCTCCCGTCACTTCCAATCCGCGAGGAGGCCAGCCTCGCGACGAGAAACTTGCTCTCCTCGAGGCGCTGGACCAACTTGTCGAGGAATTGCCGCAACTCAAGCGACGACTCTGTCCCAGGCTTCGTGACGATGAAGTCTATATCACCCGATTTCTCTGACCCTCTGCGGTAGCTGCCCCCAATGATAAGCTCCACGTCGCGGTCAATAGTAGCCGCCGTCTTCTTCACAATAACACCGAGGGCCTCCACCTCGCTGCGAGGAATCTTGGTATTCAGGTCGTCGTAGTGCTCGATACCCAGCAGCTGGTTGGGGGTAAGCTTCGCCTTCTCCTTCAGGTCCTCCAGCGTGCGGAATCCTTGAGCAATCCATTGCTGTGCCTGGCTAGTCCCTACGCCATATATCTGTAGAAATAGTTGCAACGCCTCGTCCAGCGGCTCTGCCTCGGCATACTCCAGTCTCTGTAGTCGATCTGTAGTCACAATTTCCTCAATCTTCTGTGCCAATCGCCGGCCGACACTCGGGAGTCGGAAGGCTTCCTCCTCAGTCGTGATCTTGACGGTCTGCCGTTTAAGGGTGCTAATGACCTTGCGATATGCGATTGTGCGCCATTGGTCATTCGTCCTGTCATAGTAGCTTGCCATCTTTTCAAGTATCTCAATCGTTCTGGTGTTAGGGTTGCCTCCTTTTGCATCCTTGACTCCCGCATGGCTACATGCAAACCGATCCTCAAAGCGAATGCCTTTGCGATTGGGTTTCTGGTTGGATCTGACTGGCTGTTTCTTATTTGAGATCTCACCGTCCGATCCTGATTCTCGACCTGAACCTTCAGAGACATTCGTCTCCTCCTCCTCGTCTGCATCTAGCGGAACGTCCTTATACTCCTGAATAAGTGCGATGTAGTCAGATAGTTCATCCTTATGAGTGCTTGAAGGCTTGGTCCGGCTCGCCGGTTCATCGGCTGGGGAGTCGGGGTCATCTATCGCCACGACAATACTATCAGAGACGTTGTCGTCTGCGCACGGCTCTGGTTCTAATTGCTCATCTCTCGAAAACCCCATGTCGAGCTCAATAGGCTGCGAGTCCATCGGGATGGGTGTCCCGCTCACATGGCTTGCCTGAGAGGCTGGCGATTCCTCTCTTCTCTGCGGCGAATCTTCTTCAAGAGGGACATAATCCCATTTACTCCGGTTTTTGTGCGGAGGCTTCAGTTGAAGCGATCTATTCAGACCGTCAGGCTTTGGGCTCGTAGGATGCGCAAGTTTCCCTGACGCCTCTTCCTCGCTGGCTTCTGCAGCAACGGGTGGCGGTTGTCCTGCGAGAAGATATTTGGCCTGAGCAGGGTCCAGGATCGCCTTGAACTGGATGCAATCGACGGGGTAATCCTCATTCACAAGAACGAACGGCCCCGTCTCCTTGCGACCCTCAGAAATGATCTTCTCGATGTCCTTGTACGAGATGCTCCTGTCCACCACAACATGCGTCGCCCTGTCCACCGCTCCCGTCCTCGTCGCGCCGTACTCGACTGCCTTCGCAATCCGCTGCCGCCGCGTCGGCGCGATGTCATTGTCCGGGATGTAAAAGAACTCCAAACCTCTGAATATCTGCTCGTGCTCCGGGCGAACCTTGGCGGGCCCCATCTTGCGCCGCTTTGCAGCTGCAGGTCCCCGGGTCGAGGGCGCCGGCGCCGTCGCACCACGAGTATTGCGCAGACGACGTTTCATAGGTGGGAGGGCCGGTGATGAGTCGCTCGGCCGCAGCGTCTTGCCTGCGGCCTTGGTGGAGTCTGGTATCACCGTGTCGCTGTCCGTGGTGGGCACCGGCTCTGAAAGCCGTTGGCTTGGGCCGTTCTTGGACCTTCTCCTTCCTCTGTTATCCCCTTGAGTAGGTTCTGCCCTCTGAATGGGTGTGGCTTTGATGATCTCGGCCTCATCCGAATGGTCTGTTTTCTCAGGCTCTGGTGTAGCCACTGAGAGCGGCCGAAGCCTCGAGCCGTCCTCTGCCGCGTGTTTGGGAGCATCGCGCTCCGAACGGGCCTCGGGCTTTGGCTCGAAAAAACATCGACTCTTTCGACGTTGGGCCAATTCAGAAAGAGCCAAATCGTCATTTCCAGAAATTGACGATTCAAACTGTTCAAAAAAGTCGACTTTCCGTGAAAAGGCTGAATGTTTCGCGTCCATCATGTGTCAAGGGAGGCCGTTTTATGAGGCGGGTGCCAGTGTGAAAACATCGGTGTTACATAATAGTGAAGCGGAAATGATTTGGGGAAGATGGAGATCAGTCAAACCTTGTGACGCCCGAGTCTGCATGTTTACCTTGTTTGTAGATGGGCTGGAGGCAATAAATGGTAGATGCTTGTGAAGAGTCGAAGCTTATCTGCTGCTGCCTGTGGCTGCACGCGGCTTGAGGCAGCTGAGCGCTCGAGGAGTGAGCCAGGGAATGTAGGTATCTTTGTGCAAAGCTACCTATTCCCCCATACTTAATGGCTGGAGAATCAAGTATCCACAGAAAGAGGTACCACTAATCGAGCTTTGGTGGAGTAACAATCCGATTTGCTTCACTCACTCTTCTCATGAGGCAGCAGGAATGATAAATATCGCGTCTTCTATATGAAATTCTTCATTAACGCTCTAGGTTGCCCTAACTAGTACTGAAAATTATGTTCAAACAGTGTATAGCCCCAGAAATCCATACATAACCCAATTCCAGCGAGACAAGAATCCAGACAAGGCGCCCAGCCACTCAGGAGTGCTTCTAAAATATCCCAAAAAACCCCTTTCACTGTTCTCGTGAAAAATAAAGCAAGTAGTCATCACTTTTATATAAGCCCTAAATCCCCAAGGTACCCAGAGAAGAGAAATAAAAAGGGAAGCGAGGGACGAGAGGGGTTCCACGCGGATATCCAAAATTCCGTGGTGACCCCTACAATAATACACACAATCAAAAATATATACCAGGGTATCGAGATCGTTTAAAAACAGATATATGGTGTAAAATCAGAAACGCCGACCGGGAGAAAGAGGGGCTCAATGCCCATGCCCCATGGGCATTGACGGTCCTGGTGAGGGTCCTCCGCCTCCTCCAAACATGCGCGCATCCACCATTGGGATACCGTGCTTCTCAATCATGTGGTACGCGTTCGGGTCGGCCGAATAACGGCTTCCGGCTTCTTGATCAACATCGTTGAGAACTTCTCGAGTGAGCTCCACATAGTCGTAGGCGAACTCGCCAATCTCCGCGTCGTCGATACCCAGAATCTCCGCGTCTTCCGAGGCGCGGATTTGAAGCCCAGGGATTCTGTTGAGGATGGTCAAGATCAAGCAAGTGCCACAGAACGAGTACAGGCCACCTGTGATCGAGTCGGCAACTTGATACCCAAGCTGGATCCAATGATGGTTGAGCCATCCTCCATCAATGCTTGTGACTCCATCGAGGGCTGCAATATAGTCGGCTGCAAAGAAGGCCGTCAGGATATTTCCCACCAGGCCTCCGACTCCGTGTACAGCGAAGATGTCAAGCGCGTCGTCGATGCGTAGAAGGAACTTTAGTTTTGTGGCGTAGTTAGAGAACGATGCCCCGAGAACTCCGAATACTACAGCGGCCCATGGGGGAACATATCCTAATAGACAATATCAGTTAATGTTTCTGATACCACGGAGAAGTCGAATGGAACGGCCCATAAGATCAGCCTAGGAGAAGTAGGGGTGCGATTACGTACCAGAACCTGGTGTGATGGACACAAGGCCAGCCACAACGCCAGAGCAGAAGCCAACTGTAGACCACTTCTTCTCCAGCCGGTAGTCAAGGAGACACCAAGTCATACCACCCACGCATGCCGCCAGATTAGTCACCACGGCAGCCATCACAGCACGCAGGTTAGCACCCAAGGCAGAGCCCGCATTGAACCCGAACCAGCCAACCCAGAGGAAGACGGTCCCGACAACGATGTGAGCAACATTGTGGGGCCTGTAGTTGAGTTCGTGCGTCCCATGCCCACGTCTCTTGCCGAGCATCATCGAATAAGCCAGGGCTGCGGAGCCAGACGCAATGTGCACCGGCGTCCCTCCGGCAAAGTCCAGACCACCCATCTTGCTCGACCAGCCGCTAGGGTTCCAGGTCCAGCACGCGATGGGGTCGTAGATGATCGTCGCCCAGACAAACATGAAGATGGCACAGGGCAGCATGCGTCCGCGCTCGGCTACAGCGCCGGTAGCGAGCGCCACGGTAATGGCGGAGAACATGCCCTGGTACACGGCGAAGAGCAGATCGGGGATACGGTCGGATGCAACCGACGGGCGTGCGAGGACGTTCCGGAACCCAAAGTTCTCAAGGTTACCAATGAAAGGGCCGGCATTGTGTGAGAAGGTCAGGGAGTAGCCCCAGAAGAACCACTGGAAGCAGGTGACGCCCACGGACATGATCGAGAGCCATATCAGAGAGAGGGCGGATTTGCGTCGCGCGAGACCAGAGTAGAAGAATCTGAGACGCAGGGATTCACAGTCAGTATTCTGGGGGTTTGGTCGTCTCATGTGGGAAAAACGTATGACAAGCAATAAGCCTGCGCAAGGCTGTGGCAGAACTCACCCAACTCCTGGAACCATCAGCAGCACCAGAGCAGTGGCAGTGACAACCCATCCTATATCGCCCGGCTATGTGGAAAGATATGTCAGTTCAGTCGTCATGGCACGTGCTGAAGGGGCAGCAGCCGAGAGTGAGGATCTTCCTTGGTCGCGTGCTTCCAGGAACTGCTGTGAGCGGTGGTTTACCTGGTACCAAACGTTGACATTGAACTCCAGGGGATTCGCCCCGGAACTGCCAGTCCCATTGTACGGGGAGCGAGCCGCGAAGTCGAGGTCCCGTTCGTCGATTTCTGCGGCCATTTCTAGATGACTGCCAAGGTAGGTTTGGTCGCGGTTGCAAGAGCAGGGGGAAGAGGAGAAGTAGAGGCGTTGATCTCGTCGAGCAGCCGAATAGGCAGTTTTCAGCTGGGGCCGCAGGCAACGTACGTCACGCCGGTAGCGGTAGTGGACCTGCTAACAGCGAGCGGCAGCGTCGGGGAGACCGCTAAGGGCTGCCCCGTCTCTGCTGTACGATGACTCGAGGCAGGCGGGCAAATCGGTAATCAGGGAGGGGCCCCAGTGCATATCACGGCCAAAGCACAGACGCCGGCTGTTGCTGGGCTGGATTGATTCACGGCGCGCGGTCGAGCACTGAAAATAGACCGCTCAATTAAACCGATCAACCTGGGATAGAAATCGGCGGTCGCGCAGAGTGAGGTGGAAAGCATTGACCCAGGCTGGCGTCTGACTCGAGCGGCCGTTTTGTCTTATTATCTCTGCGGGCGGCCCTTGGCTTTGCCCGCATAGGTAGCCTTTGACGATGGACGGGACCAGGGGGGTCAGCCCAATCGACTGGTTGGCTCCTCTCAGCCATGCCCCCAACTTCCTTATCTCGACCAATCAGCACATCCCCAGCCTGCCCGGAAGCTAGACGGTACATGCCAGAGTTGATAAGAGACAGCCCATTTACTGGTCACTCATTTCCCTTCTGTCTCCCACCTTGCGGCGATCAAATCGACCCAGAGAGGCGGTCGGTCTTGATGCTTTCACCGAGCTCACGATACTTTTAGAGTTTTCACTGCAATTGGTCATTCAATATTGCCCTTTCACGCGTATACCGAGACACCTCATCCATTGGGCCCTTGGGAAGCCCCCCTCCATTTCTTGCCAGCGCCATAATCTCGAAGTAACTTTTCCCAGCCGATCAGACACTAATTCGCCTTAGTAGAACACACCCTCAGGAGGAAATTTTCAAAAAAAGAAAAGAAAGAGTAAACAATTTGCCCCGGCTTCTGAGATTCGATTACCATCCTGTCCTTATCGGGGAGACATCACCCCCCCTGGTCCCCGCACACAGATCCTAGTCGGAATCTCTATCTCTCTCTGATATGATTCTTTTCAATTAATCATCCCTTCTGTTCATCGCCCACAGCCCATTATTCACGCCCCTTATTTTCTTTATCAGCTGCTTCGCCCTGTACCAACAGGCAGGCATGGCAAGGGTCCCAGTGACCTCCCCCTTCATTCATCCAAGAAAAAAGGAAATTAGTATATCTGGGATGGCTGCCTCTCCAGTTCGTCCCCGGATGTGTAGTCCATATTGCTTGATTACAGTCAGGAAAACCCCAATTGCGATTCTAGGCATTGATAACCAGCCACATCCCAGCTCCCCGTATTTACCTAATGCTAGTGAGCACCCTGGCTGATGGGCTTATCGCTTCCCCAAACCCCACGAATCCATCACATCACCTCATCGTCATTCCTCACATGTAAGGCAGTTGGTTGTGGGACAAGGAGAGAAATCATGGATCCTAGTCATCTCATCTCAGAGGGCTCAGATAACTACATTGCAGATTTGGCTGTGCTCATCATCTTAGTAGTTTGCTGACAGGAATGGCCGACACAAGAAAGCCTACATGTGCACGGCTCCTTGAGCTCCTAATGATCGTCTCAGGAGGTACTTGAGGTGCATGAAACTCCTTCGTCGTGCTTGGCCCCCGTCATCACAGATGACAGGATTCGCCTCACCAACCTCATTATGCACATCTTCAAAAAGTGACCAAAAAGAATGTTTCATACACAATCTCCGATACGGGGAATCGAACCCCGATCTCCACGGCGCTCACAGTGGTACTGAAAGCGTAGTGTGCTAACCGTTACACCATATCGGATGGGACACTCTGATTGGTTGTTTGGCGACAGGGCTATTTCACTCAAATCCCATTGCTCCCGTAAGTGGGGGGAAAGAAAAAAGAGTGACGAACAAAGCGGTCAAGTCTGACAAAAAGCAAAATAAACTCCGATACGGGGAATCGAACCCCGATCTCCACGGCGCTCACAGTTGTTACTGAAAGCGTAGTGTGCTAACCGTTACACCATATCGGATAGTTGCTGGTTGCTGTGGATTTCGGTTGCAATGATAGTATATACTGGGGTCTCTTAGTCTGAGAGTGTATCACCGCACTTGGCAGGTCAACACTGCCATACAAACCAATAACAAATTAGTTAGTTTTGAAGCGCAATGACACAACTTACGGCGACATCATCGGGGGAAAAGAAAGTAATTCTCGAGGTTGGGTGTATCGGTCTACACATGGGCGTCACAATAACAGGGATCCCAAATGTGTTTTGATTTCAACCTTCCAATACAGGCTACGACAGTGATGGACAATCGTCAATAATGGTAATAAGTTATCGAGAAATTATTAGGCAACAGTATCTACTGCTATTTATTACACAATAAGAAGCATGATGTGTGACTAACTGCCACAATAGTTCTGTCGAGGTGACTTTGTAGTCCCTACCTACCGAATCCAGCAAGCACTGCCTGGGGTGCCAAACTTTCGACATTCATGCATCAGATAGGTAGCTAGCAAACATGCTATGAGGTAAGACAATCATGTCATTCGCTTTCGTTAGGTTGCAGGGTTCGTAATCTACCTATTTCTGGTGACAAACAAACGCCCAATAATGTAAAAGCTGACTTGCATCTCCCATCTTTGTTCACTCCTTTTCATACACACAGATGCGGTGGCAATCGTTGACTTCAATAAGATCTTAATTTAAAGGGGTTCTAATACTAAGTTCCTTGATAATCCTTCTACCTCCATGACAACGATTAATATAATACATCTGGAAACATTGAAGTAAACATTAAGATATAAGTGGCCAGAGCAAGCTTCATCCAGCAAGCAATAGCATGTGAAGAGAACCAGTAGCACATTGATACCGGCCAACATGGCTCCAACCCGACAACAGTTGTGAATGCTTCAAGTAGCCCATCCAAAGGATCATCCCCCAAGACCAGCAGCCATCCCAGTTTCACCTTTTCACCGTAATTACGGCTTTGATACCAACGTTTATCAAATTGATCAGCCCAAGCCAATATATATTCATTCGAAAGACAAGGGGAATAATAACCCAAGAATGTAGAAACGCCAGTCGCTCAATGCAGGAGATTATCCTGAAGGGGTAAAACCAAATGGTAAAAAAAATGTATGCAAAAAAGAAAAAGAATTACTCGTAAGCCAAGCGGTCATTACTGGCCTGCAGCTCATCGGAAGGCCGTAAATCGCTGATCGACAGGCTTGGCCTCCTCGCCTTCGAGAATCTTCTGTAGCTTCCTAGTCTCTCGGACTGCTCTGTCCCGCTCTTCTTGCAGGTTCAAGACTTCGATCTGGGCGGTGCTCATTCTAGTAATCACCTCTTGCATCTCATTCTCTGCATCAGCAAGAGCCTTCTCAAGCTCCGCGACCTTTGCACGGAGGCTTGTCATCTCGGCTTCATCTTCAAAGCTCTGGGCCTCGATGAGGTCAGGGAAGGGGATCTTGGAGCGAGATTTGCTCAACATGGAACCTGATCGGCTGCCTTTCACAGCAGGGGACCTTAGGCCACCAAGGCCAGGGCTACCACCAATGCGCTGAAGCTGAAAGTTATGGGCATCTCGGAGCTTGGAGACCTCCTCTTCATGACGGGTAACCTGATCCTCAGATCCTGATTGCGCGGAAACGAGCTGCTCTTCGAGGGCTCCCAGGTGCTCCATCATAGCAGTGATGCGATCATTGTTTGCCTTCCTGTCTGCGTCACCCCGTGTCACAGCATCGGCAAGGCGCATTCGAAGTTCCGAGTTGGCACTCAACTGCTGCTGCACCTGCGAAGCCAGCGTCTCGACATACCGAGCTGTCTCGCAGAGTTCATCAGCCAGGGCGCTCTCAGCTTGGACACTCCTGGTCTCGTTTGCATAAGCTTCATCATAGCGGTTTCGGATAGCATCCATCTCAGATTTAGCAAAGTCGCGCTCAGTGACGGCAACAGAAACGGCCCTTTCGAGGCGTCGCATGGCCACCTTTGTCTTCTCGTCGTCATTGATTCCAGACTCGAGGTTCTTGATACGTTCAAGCGACTCTGCATAGGCGGCCTGCAGTTTCTCGTAGGCCTGGCTGAGGGACTCGGATGTCACAGGCTCGCGCTCTCCATCGTCCGACCCACTCATACGCGCCATCGTCTCGGGGATGAGAATGTCCTTCTCATTAAGGAGTTCTCGGAGAGACGCGATCTCGCCTTCGGCCCTGTCGAGATCCATTTTGAGACCACTCAAGCCCTTCTCAACCTGCCACTTTTGGTCGAGCGCGTCTTCCGCCCTTCGGCGAAGTACATTAATTTCCGTTCGGAGGTTCATGATCTCTCTCTCGAAGCCCTTCTTTCCAGGGCCAGTCAGCAGGCGCTGACGTTCGTTCTCTAATAGTTGAATCTTCTTCTGGTATTGGCGATTCTGAACCTCTTGACGTTCTAAGAGACTCTTCAAGGCCCCGTGAAGCGCGTCACGCTGGGCTTCGACGTCTTTCAAGCGTTCGGAAAGCGCCTCCCGGGATTCCGTCTGGGGACCGCCCCGCACACTGTTGGAACGTCCAAGGCCAGTCGGTCTCTGACCGCGCATAGGCCCTCCAGCCACCGAGTTTGAGCGGGACAACCCGCCCGATAGCCCACCTGAGAAAGCACGAGAGGCTCTGTTTTGGACATCGATGGGGCCAACAATGGAGCTGCGCTTGAGTGTCATGTTTTCAGATCTAAGGTTCTGAAGTTCTTGTTGCATCTTTGACGACTCGTACGTAAGATTTGTATATTCTGCGGCCTCCGCTTCGAGGCCCTCAACCCGCGCACGGAGTTGCGGGACCACCTCATCTCGTAGATTGTCTCGTTCATTTGATGCTTCTTGCAGCTCGCTCTTTAGGGCAGACAAGAGGTCCTCAAAGTTCGATCTCGATGATCGTTCGTCGGACAAGCGACGTCTTAAATCTTCACAGGTGGTTTCGAGATCCTTTACTCGCTCGTTGGCGTCCAGATTATTAATCTGCGCAAGATCGATTTGCGATGCTTTTTCTGCAAGTTCCTTGATTTGCTGATCAAGGGCTTTGCGCCGTGCCCTCTCATCTTGGAGTTTAGTCGTAAGCTCTAGACGGATAGAGGCTTTTTCTTGCTCGGCTCGCCGTTGAATCTTGTCGATTTCATCACGGGCCTGTTCTGATTCACTAGCCTTGGTAGAGCTGTATCCCGAGTCCGAGAAATAGTCACTAGTTCTCTTGCTTGGCGCTTGGGAACTACTAGCCTGCTCCTGCAATCGGTCAACGAGATCCTCCAAGTCCATCTCGCGCCGGATGGACGAAGCCAACTCGTGGCTGATGGCTCTTAGTTCGTCCTCCATCTCATCTAGGGGAAATGATGACTGTGAGGAGGGTAATGATGCGGAGAGGTAGGAGTCAGAGTATCCGAGAGCATTTGATGAGGCTGCATTGGGCGTTGTGCTCTCGGTCGTCCGCGATCTGTTTCCAACACCTTCGCCTGACCCTCCTCTTCCGGATGGAGAAGAGGGGGACGATATCGAGAACTCGGTGCCTGACGGCGACGGGTTCCCTCCCCAACCAAAGAATGCCGCAAATGGAGATGCTGCGCCTGGGGATTTAGGTAGTGGTTTGTTGCGATTCGAGTGGATCGACTGAGGAGAAGCAGCCTCGAGCTCTTCATTCAACACGTTCTGCGCGATGACGGTGTCTACTTTTTGTAACTGGAGATGCGGAGGAGTTGCTTTTTGTGCAAACATGGGAGGCGGGGAGTTGGCTCGCTGATCAAGATAGTCCGAGTACGTCGACTCGTTGTCGTCGTCCTTGTCGGTCCGATCTTCCACAATGGTACTAGGGGTCTTGACCGTTCCAGCATCCGGTGTCACGTCGGACAGCAGCTCGTCGTACGCGGAGTAGGCAGACAGTACGTCGGACGTGTCGGCCTGGGAGTGTTGGTCGGCGTTTGGAATGCCGGGCGCGTCGGAATAACGGTCGTGAAACAGGGCTGAGTTTATTTCGAGACTGAAGCACAGGAACACATTCCAGTCAGAGAAACGGGCCTCGTCGGACGGGTTACACAAGTTGCGCTTCCGAGGAATTGGGGGATACCAATTGACTTACGCTGAAGCAATGTTGGGCCTGGACGCCTCGGCAGGGAAATACTCGTATATAGTCGGACTGTCTATTGAACCAGACCTTGAGAAGCGGTGATCCGGCTTGGGAAGGTCGGCGTAGGACAGGATCGTCGACGCCGTGGACCCCTGAGACCGATGGGCGGACCTGGCCGAGGTTGATATCGTCGAGGGGATGGGCTTCCTCTTGATGCGATTCACTGACGCCCGAGCAGGAGCGTTGGAGAATGATTCAGAAGTCGACGAGGCGGCACTGGAGCTGGAGGTAGTAGGGCGAGGCTGGCCGTCGATTGTGTGTGGACTTGGCTGGTGGGCGCTATTGGCAGTAGTAGAGTGATTAGGTTGGTGATGGTGGGAAGAGCTCGGAGGAGAATCAGGATGAGATGGAAGATTCGATGAGATCGGCATAGCCTCCTGAGGTCCAGGTGAAGAGGGGATAGGTTGTGATGCCATTTTGGGATAACCAGTCAGCCACCTTGCCAACAAGTGAATGTGTTATCGACGGGACCTGGCCATCAGGCAAGGGATGGACAGTCTTGTCGTCGATGACCAGCAATTAGGGAGTGGAGAAAGGCCACCTGATAATGCGACGAACAAGGAGCGGTAGATGGTAGCGCTTGGCTTGGGTAGTGCTATGAAACGAAATGCACACGAGCGCCTATCAGCATGGGGCGGCGAGCGCACATCCAAATGTCACGAGGCAGGATGCAGAGCGAGACGAGACAGGAGAAGCAAGCACAATCGCAACCTGAAAGATAGTCAGAACGGTAGAGTGCTAGATGTAGGGAAATTAGGTGCGTGGCCGGCAGCGTCGCATTATGCCACCAGATGCCAAAAGGGGTCGGGCATACATCCCAGTAGGCGCCAGGGAAAAAGAGCGAAGTGGCAGTCCAGCGCTTCCAGCCACTTACAGCGCCTCGAGGCGGCATGGGACCTGCAGTAGCGCGGTTCGTCTGGGCTCCACTCCCGCCGCCAAGGCCGTACAGGCTTGCCCACCACTCGACAGCACGGCGGTAGGTCTTGGGGTCCTCCTGCCACCAGCCAATCAAGGAGGCTGATCCGTGTCAGGGGCAATCAGGAACGCACCTCCCCAAAAGGGGCCAGAAGCAGCCTTCGTGCGATGGGCAATTACGGCCTGCGATGTGAGACCTCCACAAATCTACTCCATCTACGAATCTCTCCAGAACACTAGTCGCTGCCGCATGCATAGAGTACAGACATGATGAGGCGCATCTGGCCCGCGCATTGGGCGCCTACTTAAATCACTTTATTTCGCGACGCGCGGGCGGCAAGGCAGCCAACCAGTCGCCGTCCTACGTGAGGCACAGACGGTGACACCGAATGGGGAAATCCATTGGCAGGGCTCCATTGCGGCCTCTGACACCGGAGGCAGCGAGCAGGCATAATTCGACAGCCCCATGTGACGAGGAACTGCCAGCTAATGATATTCCACAGATGGCCAGTGCACAAAATGGTGGTTGGGGCTTACACGGCTCCTGACGCCAGCATACCCACCCCAGAGCGCCAGCCGGTGCTACATGGAGACGGTAATGTAAAAAAAAATTGGAGGAGAATGAGACTGTCTGCCCGAAGGAGCGCCACATAGTGTGGCATGCCACTGCGACCCAGTAGCAAATGAAGGCTCGGCTGCCATCAACCGATAGCGCCCCTGATCTAGCACTTGGAATGTGGCATATTGATAAAGCCATTAGCAAAGGCCGTATGGAAAGCCACATTGCCTGTAGCTCACTCATCTGCGCATTCCGCCCGTCCAGACGCTCCGTGGGCGGCATCCGATGGCCCGCGTGTGTGTCCATCAGCGCATCCGTCGCATCCAACTCTGTTGCCACCACTCGCACCAGTTAGGCACAGGAGGGGACTTAGGGGACCATCGCCCGAAGGATCAACACCATGCCTCCCCTCCATGGCTCCCTGATCTTCTGCCGAGCTCTCCTCATTGACCGCCGTGTGCCCTCCCCTGACCATCTCTCGCTCAATCCGGCGTAGTGCCTAGATCCCATTCCAACCTCCCTACCATTCGCAGCGTAGCGCAAACGGCGCAACGCCAAGAGCGAATAAACTAGCAAATAGTACGCGCCTCCAGCGCACGACCTTAGCCTCGCCCAGGTTGTCGAATTAGCCTGCTTCACCTTTTGATCGTCGTCGAAGCGGAGAGGTCGTCGATCTAGAGCCAAGCACTTGCGCATTATCCACCGTCAATCTTAATTGGCGCCGTGGGACAACATTAATCCAAAGACTCCAAACCGCCGCTCCAATGGCACTCCATAATTCATCTCGTCATTCACGCTTGCTCTTTGGTTTCATTGAGCATGACGTAGCCTCTTTCGGCAGGCAAATTGCTGTGCCCTCGACGATGGTCGTCTGATTTGGCAGCTGGGAATTTTCCACTTTTCGCTACCCTGTAGACACCCTCTGAGCACCAGGTTGCAAACACTACCCTGTAAACACGATGACATCTCGCCGAGAATCGGTATATTTCTTGATCTGGAATGTGTATTCCAATGTAATCAGTGTAATTGATTTCATGCGTTGAGCCTGGTGAGATATGACGAGGATGTAGGGGTGGTTCATACATAGCCTTTGATGAAGTTATCTGAATTTCCTCCTTTGGATGTAGTTAAAGTTCTGTCATTATTATAGGTAACATGAGAAGGTACCAAGACTGGACAATTACAATCACAATGGTGACTGATACACAGTTTTCCATGTTAATCAAACTTAGGAAAAGGCAACCAAGATCTTCGCTAGACTGACCTGGTCTGGCCACTCTTAGTTTGACCAAGGTTGGCCAACCTAGTGACAATTAGAAGCTTGCAGGCAAAGGCCATCAAAGTAGTTGGTGGCATCATCTCACTCACATCATGGCTCGCTTTGTGCCTGCCTACTGTGATCCCCCACCTCCACTGACCGATGCTCTCGCATCTAATTGGGATCCTCCCCGACCTACCTTAGTTTATTATCCATACCTTGCTATTGGCACTTCCGGCCCCCCCTCCCAGGCGTAGAAAAAGTTGCCTATTGTTTTACGACGGCCGGGAGGCATCAGTCTACTCTCAGCAGATCAGAACCCGGGAATGAAGAGCACGAGAGGCTGAAACCAGATCAACTATTGCCAGCCACCATTCTGACAAGTAGCACCGCCGCAGCCAGTACCTACGGCAATCAATGACCCTTGACTATGTATGGCATCACTGGGTAGAAGGAGTAGACGTAGTATACTTACAAATTCACCCTGCCTATGGCGGTAATTGGCCGCTCCCCACTTGTAAAGAAGGCCCATTGCATCTCCGTACAAATTGCCTCAGTGCACTTGAAGTAATGATGTATACAGTAGCCTTTGACTTGCCCGGCGTAGAGTCTGGTCTTAGCCTCGGGGCTGTTCTTCATGATGAGAATATCGGAATTCTGAAGCCGTTGTCGAGGCTGCGATGACTCCCGGGAGCATCGAACGGGCAGGTCACTGTAGCAATCACGGCAACAAGTCTCATGATGACAAATTCTCACAAGCTCTTGGTATAGAGAGACAGAAGAATGTGCTTTTCAACGAAGAGTGAATTTCCTCGACGGTTACAAACCGATCATCGAAAAGAAAAAGAATCACCGTTAGTGGAATGCAATGCCTCTTTATCACCTCAGAGACCAACATACTACCACGCTTCCGGATTTCTCGAATGATTGGAGGCTATTGGTTGCCTCACCGAATTCCCGAATGCCAGGCCACCATCCCAATAAAACGGCCCTATCTAGGACATGTCTCATCAACATGTCTCAGATACGCAAGCGGTAAGGCCGAGCAATGATAGTATCGGCTACGCATGCGATAACTGTACTTTTGGAAGATAACTCCCAGAAGAGACGTAGGAATTTCAGTTGCTAAAGCTACCAGTTGCCCGGAGTTCTTCCCGAGTCTCAAAGAAGATAGACACTCGATGTAATGTCGTAGATGCTCCGCACCCACAATACCAAGACATACCCAGAATAATTGTATTCATTAACGAACATGACGCACCTAGACAACATGATTCCCAAGCAGGCCCCCACGAATACTCCCACGAACATGCCCGAATTAAAAAAAAAATGAGCCGCTTGAACGTTTCCCGTGCATGATCGCCCCCTATTCCCATCCCAAAGATGTGAAAAAATTTAAATAAGTCTGCCATGCGGCAATACTGCCCAGGTCCCACTGCACAAGCACCGCCGCTGTTGACTGAATAAGAAAGTAAAACCTGGTCCTCTACCGGGGAGCTCCTCCATGACCGCCGTGCAACGTGTGCATCTCCTCCACTGCTGGGTTGGGCTCATGTGAAGTTTTGTTTTGGACAGGACGTCGATGTGTGCCCACTTCACGCCATCCACGTCGCCCTTGTCGTCAGACACATCAAGGACATCAAAGTTCTCAAAGAAGAGCTTGGCTGGATCCGTGGTCTTGCGGAACGCTGGAACGTCCTCAGTGAAGAATTTCTTCAGCACGGGTATCAAGCTGGGGTGAGGAGCCGCTGCCAACAGCATTCTAGTCTCACACTGGGAGCGAGCCACCTTGACAGCCTCGTCTTCTTGTTTGCCCTGAGGTGGATTTGGTTGGCGCTTAACCATGGCGGTTAGGACGTTGTCGTACGAGTGCATGATGCCCATCTTCAGGGAAGTTATCAGCTTCTCGAATTCTCCTACACTCACGAATCCAGAGCTCGTGGCCTGCTGGAGCCTCTGGTAAGCCTGTCTCAAGTAGGGATTCGGCGCCTTGGCTGCGTTGGCCTCGGCCGACTGTTTGCGATAAAATTCCATGGCCTTGTTGCTAAGCAATGCCAGGTGTCCAATTCTACGGCACAGTGCCATCAAAAAGCTCCGGCTGCTCGAACACAGGAGTAGTTGCAGGGAGACGTCATTTTTGGTATGTAGATAAATGGCAAGTTCATTTGTGCGTGCAGGGGTGAGTAGCTCGATGAACTCATCGTCATTCATAAGTTCGAACAGAGAGTCCGAGAGCCAGGCGATCAGATCCAATGACCAACGGACAGATGTGACAAGCACATCCACCACCTCTGCAGTCGTATTAGCCTTGTGGAATTTGTCACCCTCGAGATTGCGCATTTACGTACCGTGATCGTCAAGTGGGCTCTTCTTTCCTGTCACTGGGAAATGCGAGCTACTGGCTAGAGTGATATTCCAAGCAGTGCTTCGCACCGTCGCCGCTATGAGAGCATGTGTACTCTGGAAACTCCTGGGTTGGGTGTCCCCCTTGAAGCCGAGATTGATGAGAATGCTCAGGCATGATCGCATCTGTTCATTTTTGAGGAGAGCATCATGAGAGTGTTCCCCTGAATAGTCAACCTGTATATTAAGGATTCGGATAAGTTCGCCCACCCAATCCTGCATGAGCTCTGTCACTAGTTAGATTGTCGTCTACCTTGCTGTGTGCCTACTGTAGGAATGGGCCTTACTCTTCTTGGAGACATGGGGTCTGATCACGGCTAGCATGTCGTCAAAATTGGTTTGGGATCTGATGGATGTTGCTGCCGTGATTGTTAGGCCGGCAATAGTGGCGGCATATTGCTCTGAAAGCGGGCTGTTAGCTCTATACAATCATTCGCATACCTTCACACCTTGACGGTATGTGGGCACAGATGTAGATTGCTCACCGTCCTGCATGCTGTTCCCGAAGTCACCGTCGGAGTATTTGAGCTTGCTCCATTTGAGCTTGCCATCCTCTCCCATGAGGACCATGGAGCAGAAGGTGGGGGAGAAAGCAGTTTGTTGGCCTAAACGTGAATCATCCGAGTTAGTCACGATTGCTTTTGAAAAACCTCTCTGTAGAGCAATAGTCGTGAGGTCACATACATGGCATATCCTCTGCGAAATTCCATCCTGCTTCGCGCAGATTTGATACTTTGGCCGTTTCGCGAGTAGTGTATATCTCCTCGAAAGTGTACCTATCCCGGTACTCAACCGAGCCATCCGCAAAGGTAATGATGAGGATCTTTCCATATCGTGCTGATTGGATGTTGATTATACATTTGGGAATAACGATTGGCTCCAGAGGGCGCAAAAAGGTGCCCGTTGATGGCTCGGAGGATACACTGTTTCTTCTGTTGCCGAGTTGCTCGATAGCCGGATGCAGCCCATGGCGCTGCTCAACGGCCTCCCAGCGATCGATGATGGACTGAGCAGGCGCGAATGGACCGGCGCCGGGCGGCCGGGATCGAACAGATACGATCACGGGCGGCGCCATGTTCTTCCCGGAATTGTCCAATATCGACGGCAGGGCAAGCAAGTGAGATATCTCAGGCATCGATGCATCCTCGAGGGAATCCAACGACCAACCGGCAGTGGCACAGTGCTTCTCTACAAGAGTCGCATTGTACCGCGTATTCTGGGGCCCTGCGGCCTTACCGGGCTGGCTTCCCCAGTGAATTTCCACCTTGACGAACTTGAGCTGCTTCGATGCGGTGACCAGAGCGAGGATCAGGTATTCTGCGGACTGTTAGCATAGCGTATTTAGAAATATTGAGCGGGCTGTGAACCAACTTTTTTCAGATGCAAAAGCGGCATGCGTCACTATCTCGTCTGCAGTGCGAATGCTCTCCAGTTCCAGTGTGGTCTCCTCCATCTTGTTATTCAGCTGCATCCAAAACATCTTGAGAATACCTCCCATGGTAACACAGAGTAAGGCGGTCCTAGCTTGAAGGGGGTGATTAGGCCCCTCTGCATGCACGAAGGAGGATTCGTATTGATAATTCCCTTGGGGATTCTTGACGGCGGGGCCGAACACGACGTTGAAGCTCTGGCGGTTGCCGGCGTTTGACGAGTTGGCAGCTGCTGCCGGCTGGGTATTTGGGGCCACCGGTAGCCAATGAGCTCCGGCAACCGACTGCATCTCATCTACGATGTCTGTATCCCATTTCCTTACCAGGAAGGGGTGTGTGATTGTTGTGGAGAAGATGAGCAGGGCCACACGTCCCGAGGCATCGAAGATGGCCAGTTCCGGGTTGTTGGTGATTGCCCACTCCAGATGCACCAGAGGGATCTCCGGAGTGCCTTTGACGAGGGCACAGGTCGTAGGCTCAGTGAGCTCCCACTCGCCATTGTCAGGCCTGCATCGGAGATATCGAAGCTCCAGCTCTTGGCCATCGGCAGTGATGCTGGCAATGGTCCCAACCCTTGACCATGCAACAGTCCTGTACAAGCACGTTAGTGATAGGCAAGGAAGAGGGGTCACGGCCGAGTAACGAGTGATGCATACTGGTAGCAGCCGCGGTTTCTCAGCCTATCTATCCGTTGTTCGAGCTGCATGCCTGTGGGCCGGAGCGGTAAGGCTGAGGCATCGCCGAAAAGGTCATCGACATCACCGACATCGCCAACGTCGCCAAGATGCATTGAGAGGTCATTTCCAAGAATGAGGGGGATCTCCTTGTCCGCCATTGGGCAGGAATACGCACGGCGCTCAGGCGCCTCTTAGTCGTTGAGAGCTGTAGCAGGCAGCGCAGGTGGACGTAGACGACAGATGCTCAGATGGAAGAAAAGAAAACAAATTCCCCCAGAATGACACCGAGATCCGCGTAAATACTATGCCAAGGGAATGTGTTTCCTTAAATACTACACATGTCCCGCATCTCTATCCCCTACGACACGCTGCGTTGAACCATAAATTGAAGGCAGGCATACACGAGGCTGGCCAACATAAAGCTTGTATGTAGTAGGTACAAGGTGGGTCTTTGTTTCGGCTGAATCACGGTATATTCTCCAATGATTTGCAGACAAAACCTCCGAGTCCGCCTAACTGGGTGACATAAGAGATGAGACACCAAATTCTTGTGCCTTCTTTGTCGCCATCAAATGCTGCAATAAAGATACAATAACCCCTAAAAAGGTATATCAATCCTTTTATTAGCTTCTAAATAATATTAAAGTCCTTTCTTAGTCTTAATTAAGGAACTTTAGAATTAAGTTGTAGTGAATACAATACAGAGCCTCTCCAAATATGGACGCTTGAAGTACCGGTTTGGTGTCTCATCTCTTATGTCACCCGCTTGCCGCCTAACCTAGACCAGCCTCATCCCAGGACCACCAAAATCAACGTCGTTTGAGAGCCTTTTGTCTAAGTCAATAAGAACGTACTTGGGCGCTGAATTCAAGGCTTCGAGGCTCCCAAAGTATATTGTCGCTTGGGGTGACTGCAAAGGCCTGTATATTGGCTTGTCTACGATGGTGATGGAGTCCGTTTCGTTTGGCCAGCAGGTTGCTGGGACCAGTAATTACATGCCTATGAAAGCGCGCAATAGAATCGCCGATGTGTTTGCCTAAGACAGTACTTCTTGTCTCGGACTATCAGCCAGCGAAGGGCCGCGAGCTTGTAGAAGATAAAACGGCAACTTGACTCGACAGAAGCTGAACCGAGGTTGCACTTCGGAAAGCCATGACGATGTGTGTTATCGAACTGTCCGACAGCCACCGCGTTTCACTTATAGGATCACGGGTGGTTGGATATTTGGGTTATCCAGCTGAATTTTTACGAATTCGCCGAGATCATGTAGAATCGCGTTTCCCAATACAAAGATGTTTGGCTGCAGAGCCGAGTTTGCACTTGGAAAGCCACTGTCCTTCACTGTGTACATCGTGGATGTAGGATGTGCCCATCTGCTAAAGCGCACTCTAAAATTGGTCTGGGAAAACCTCTCTAACCGGACTGGTCTCAAATTTCCAGTGGTGTTGAAATGAGGTTGTGCCCGCAGAATATGCAACTTAGCACTTCCTAGCAGTAGCTAGAGCTGCCGACGAGTGTGTAGATCTGCTTCCTCGCCTTGAGTAATTTGTAGAGAAACAATATGTTTGGTGACCGAGTAGTATTATTAGGTTACAGGGTGTCTCATGGCTGTGGTACAGCCATTAATTCTGACATTGATCCCCATCAGCGCCGACTTCATCAATTTGGAGCATCGAATGTGGCATAATAGGTGTAACCAATAAAGGTGTCTGTGAGAGATCGGGCGCTCGCAATGTTACTTCTCTGATATGCAAGAGGGAGAGTGATGATGATAAGAAAAGGAACTTATTATCCGCGCCTGTACACATAGCTGGCAAGAAAATGAGTGGAGTTACTCCGTGTTCAATTTATTCTAGTTTCATAGTTGCCGATTGAGACCGAAGTTGATTCCAGGTTGTACAAAGTATCAACTAACGAACTACTGCTATTAAGTTCATAGTCCCACCGGTCCTGTACTGTTCAAGTGTGAGAAGCCTACTAACTCTGGAATAGAATACAACTTATTCTTGGTTCTCCTATGTCTACCTCGTCTGCAAATGTCTCGTACTAGGCTGGGTTAGGTGCTATATGGCAACATTGAGTTTCAAAGGGTGTATGACTTGGGAAGATATCATAGAGAATTTTTTCTAAGAGAGCACCCGCTCTCTGTATATGAAAATGCTGCCCATGGAATGTTTGCTTCCTGGCTCCGCATCCTCGGTCTTCAACATCTGACCAGCTTATCTGATAGCTACATGGTATCTAGACTTCGCACAGATCTTACGAACTCTTCACGGGGCTTGGACCTCGAATCGTATTGGATGATTCCTTGCGCCTAAGTCGGGGTTCTTAGGCAAGGACCTTGAATGGACAGGCCGCGAAAATTAGAAGTTAGTGTCCGAATACCGCTCGCATACTAGGATTACCTTGTATTTCGCCTTTTCCTCACTGTCCTCATGCGGGTTTGAATAATTTGGCAAAGACTTGGCTTTCATCAATTGACATCGTGGCTTGTCAAGGGACAAGTTTGCCTGAGCAACTAGCAAAAGGCAAACCACATGGTGGCCCATGCCACGAAATACCTACAGGGGGAGCACACGAGGCGTCTCTCGGCCGAAGGCGCTGTAAAATGGTCAGACCAGACGAAAAAACCACATGGCAAGCTAACATGGACCGGGCCTTGACAAATCTTACTGGACCGGCATCCGAATCCCACAGGAAGTTGCTCTGGCTACACTCAGCTAAGGTCGTCTGGATCCCAAGGCACTGCACCATTTACGTATTTGTGAACTAAACCACATTGAAATGGAAGGGATATAAATGAACACTCGTCGCTGGACGGAAACGTGCTGCGTCGACCGCATCAGTCTATTGATCCAGGATCAATGTGCAACATCATCCATAATCTATCCTAAACAGTCGATACTGCCACGGGGTGGCTTCGGGTGCACACGTCGCCCCTTTGCCGATCGGGGCCCAAGGTATGTAAGCCCTTGACCCTGGCCCCCAACAGAGTCACGTTGTTGGATGGTTCATGTAGATAGCTTGGACGGTTGCAATGGAGAAGGCTTCGAGAAGGCTAATTGTGACGGTTTTCCTGTTCTGGGGTGCCTGATAAAAAAAGGAAACCACGTTTCATCCCACGTTCTTCGGGACAACCGGAGCTTTTTATTGCTTTTGCTGGCGTGAGGCCCACGAAGCAGCACATGGCTCGTTTCCCAAGCAATCAGGCCAGGCGAGTAAGGGAAGACTAGCTGATTAGGCAGAGACATGACATGCATGCCAGCTAGGGCCAAGAGGTGTGCTTGGTCTGACTTGGATGCCTGTTATCAATGGCTGAATAGGCATACTAATGCAGGCACATCTTGAATCAGAGCCAGCCAGTTTCCTCTTCTGCCTGTTGGTCAATGCCTCACCACCAACCGTAGTACAGGACGGGGTTACTTCTTTTGTCTGCAATTGTGTTGTGAGTTCCATTGAACATGCTAATTTGGGAACTGATCCTACAATATGGCAACCAAGTCCTGGGGTGATCGCCAGGAACGGGCAGCCCGGATGCATGAAATTTAGAGGCCTAAACCCCTACCACGATCTAGGGACAGAGATAGGCAGGTAGGAACTACCCTTGTGTGTTATTTTGCTGGCAGTCAAGAAGAGTTGATTACTGCAACCTGGACGTCAGCAGTAGCCTGGAGGAGATATGCCCAGAAGCCGTGCCTTGGGATATTAGTACATGGTTCTTCGTGGATCCCAATCAGGCAGAGCCTCGTCCCGATGCGTCTACTCGAGAATCCTCTGTTGGCGAGTGCGGCTGAGCGAGTATAGGGCTATCCGTGTATGTGGACGAGGTCGCCTGGAAACGGACTGGCTGCTGCGTAATACCAGACACGATTTCACGCCTCCATCGAGATGCGACAGGGAGAAATGGGTTGATCGGGTCATTTGCGACGAAATCTTCGCATCCAAGGGTCGACAAATTGGGTTAAAAATGGGGGTGGATGCTATTAAAAACGACTTTGCTCTGCCTGAATGTTGCATATGGGCCAACGATCCTTCTTCTCGGGACCAATCCCTGTCGGTCTACCTCCATCCTCATGAGCAGAAAAAAAAAGAAAAGAGAACACCACCAACATTGGACTGGCTAGCGCACATATGGATTCAATCTATACTATTCTCCACTTGCCAACGGAGAGAACGCCTGTAGGGCTTCGTCGGGTTGGGGGCCCATTCGCGGTGGGCTGATGTTGGTGGTGATGCTTTTTTAGCGTTGAGCTATGCTTCTCGCGCTGCATTCTGTCTGCATGTTGGTTGACGGCCTGGGAACGGTCAGCCATCGACTGCCTGCTATCGTTTTAGGGATTATTTCTCGGCTATCTTTAGGCGTGCTGCCATGCCGTAGAGCCTAGGTCTGGTGCGGTGGGTGTTCACCAATGTCCCCTTGCTTATGACTGTACTGCACTAGCCACGGGCTTGGGGCCAGATCCGTCACCAAACGCAATTGCACAGGTGAATGTACGTGTCTGGTTGCACCGCCATACCGTTCAACCCGAGCGGTCGGAATGAACGGATGAGTGAAGGGGTCACTGAGTGATTTATCCGATACACTCCCTCGAATCCTCATCGCAGCGAAGCTATTCGGTTGCTGCAGTGTACTAGTCCCTAATATTGGCTGTCTGGGAGACACCAAGCTGTTGGAGGCGACTGGATTGGTGATCACTCAGTTTGGCTGTCCCTAGAATTGGGTCCAAGCCGCCTCCACCAACCAACAATCTGCGTCATCACCAATTCGGAATGCCGCTAGACACAAGCGTTGGTAGATCTTACTTTTAGCTCCTCGCCACCGTAGGCGAAGCTCCTTCGAGTGACCGGGGGGCCAGGTGAAGGAGCCGGCTACCACGAGAAGAATCGACTTGAGATGGACCAGGGGTAGCGAAACGGAGAACCGGGGATTGGGGCCAAGAAACAATTACTAGGCCATCACCAGTTGCTCACGGGAGCTTACTATACCAAGGTACGCTTCTATTAGTGGTGACAGGACCAACTGTTCGGGAGCAGAAGAGGACTATTAATATAACCATCGATTCCACGCGTGTGTCAGTGAATAGAAGAAGGGCTCCCAATCCAACGTGAAACACCCTTCATTATCAAAGACCAGATGATCTTCGCCTTCACCAACCAAGCCAAACCTTTTTTGCAAGTTTAAAAGCTCGAGCTAGACTAGACCGACCTAGAAGCGGAATTGCGATGGCACGCAAACCAACTACCGCCAGGCACACGAGTGTTAGTGGCCGTCCTGTGGGGATGACAATGACACCCTCCGTCAACGAACCAATGCCGCCAGCAGCAGGAAGCCAACCTCAGCAGCACGAGCATAATTACGACCGTGCCGCCATCAACGACGATCACCAGCTGAATACGGACGGAGGAGACGGCAATAAATTGGGGTTGCAGCGCGTCAAGACCTGGAGACCACTGGACAAAGTCAGCGCCTCAACTCGCCGATATAGAGACCCGGCCGCCTTGTTCTCTCAGAGCCGTCCCAAAACTCCAGTTGCATACTCTGATCCATCAACTGCGCTCGCAAGCCGGATTACAAGACAACAGTTCGAGGCCCTGCCGCCAGCTATCCAGCGAAAGGTGAGTACCGATTCTTCTTTCATGTTCACTCCCAGTCGCCCTTTCACGAGAGTTCGTGAATGTCTCAGACACTTGGTACCCAACCGTTCTTCCCCACACCCTCACCCTCGTCTACCGGTTGGTCAAAGACAAGACATGTGCGATGTCTTACAGTTCGCACATGTCTTGCTCTGATACTTGCCAGCCCCGACGCGCCGCGCCGCCCTGATATGAGCTGGCAGAGTGCCATTCGATGGCTCGATTCGGAAAATTTGTTGCTGTGGATGCCAACTCGCGGCCTGTCCACGTTCAGACGCACGTACATACGATAGCGTCCACGAATTTCACATTGCTTTTTTCTCCCTGTTCCGGCCTCGATCGCCTCATAGCTCTGCCCCGCTCTTTCATATGAATGAACCCTTGTGGCTCTGCCGCGGTCTAGCCAAGTGGCAAATGGGAGAGCTGTCCGCTCTTTCACGATGCTGCCGCGGCGCTTGTCCTCCCGCCCCAGCCGAGAAAAGAAAGCAAGACAAGACACAGGGACGTCATTGTCACATTGCAGCACCTGCGTTATCGGGACCGCGTGATGGAGTTTTTTTCCCGGTCCCTCAGAGCACCCGAATGTGTGATTCGTTGTGCATCGGAGGGCTCATGTGGCAGCAACAGACCAGTCAGGGAGCTCTGTGGTGCCGCCGCCAAGATGTCCCAGGGCCCATCTGTTAGCGCGTCCACCTCCCCTGGGGACCAGCTAGGTTCAATTGAGTGATCCAGAAAGCTATCCCTAGTCGAATTAGGATTGAGCTGGACTCCCTGGGCTGGCTCCAGAGCATGGCCATCTGGCTGACACATGGGGGAGGGCGACGGCGGCGCGTGAGCTGCATCAATCCAGTGTGATGAGCTGCTCGTTTTCGATGGGCAGTTCATTCCCGAGAAATAATCTGTCATGCTCCCCTGGCTGTCGTACAAGACCCAGCCCGGCCCCGGCCAGCAGGTCCCACACGGTGCTAATGTGCGCCACTTGTTTTTGCTTGCCGTCTCTGGTTGAGAACGGGATGACTTTGACAGGCGGAGGGAAGGGGGAACTGGGACACGGTTTGGCGTCACAACCCGTTCGTTGGCGCGGAATGGGGGGTTCCCTCGCGCCTCGCTTGCACCACCAGCTCCAAGCACAGCGCACTAGCTGCTAGCAGGCCGCCCAAGGAACCCCTGTCGAGCCCTCTGTGGTTCATGAGGTGGGCGGAATGGGGGCGTTGACCCGCTCTCCGGTGCCGCACCGGGAAAGGGCTGAAGCGTCGAGCTACGAGACGGCAGCGGTCCTCACATCACTGCTGTAGTGAGCGCGTCCCCCTACCCTCTCGCCCTCTGACCCCGGGACTTGCCTTGGGCCTCCATGCTCCTCTCCCCCTTACTGGCTGTCAGGTAGCGCCTGCTCGTCCATTCCCCGTTGGGTTGTTGAGGCTCGGAAGGGCGCCAGCCCATAATAATTCCCAATTCCTAGACCTCCGCTGGCTCGTCGTACCACTTTGAAGCTCGGTGGACTCTGCTGGGTGGCTAACCATGAACCATCAGTCCACGGACATCCATTCCTCAATCATCCTGTCCCCTTGCTTCTGGACACGAGCTGCTGCCAGTGTCTCCCTGTCCCGCTACAGTGCTTACCTCCCTGTCAAAGAGAGGTGCCAGGCCTGTTACCCCCAGCGCTACCCAGGCACCTTCCATGATCTCCCTATCTAGAACACACCTTCCTCTACCTTGACTTCTTTATTTATCCACCACCACCACCTTCTCCACACCTTCCCTCTGCTTCTACTTCTACCTTCTCTACCCTCGCTCAACCTCCCTCGATCCTAACCTCCGTTCATATAGCACTTTTCTCCTTTTGAACGTCTTCGTCTTGCCACGACTAAAGACGACCACGACGACCTCGCCAACTTCCCCTTGCCTCCACGATCGGCGAGCGCCCCTCCCGGGTACGAAGGGGAATTTCCAGGTCTGCATCGCCTGGGTCACAGAGCTTCAAGCTCAATTGACAGTCAGACACGACATCGCCCACGTCTGAGCTCATTGGACCAGAGGTTTCTTATTGGGTTGCCTGACAAGGTCAAACGAAGCCTCCTCACCGAAGAGGAGCGTTTCCTTGCTCTTCAACCTCCACACGCCCCAGCGCCTAGTACCCTCAAGAAACAGTCTAGCCTGCCCGACTGCTCAGGTCAGAGAATCACAAAAATGCCTCCTCGCCAAGAGAAGATGCGACCAGCAACGGCCCAGCCCCGGCCATCTCGAGAATCGGGTCGATATGGGGATTCTCTCGCTTGGCTTGAACAGAATGATGGCCTTGATCTCACGTTATATATCGGTGGTCAGGATGATGAGCCAGCAGTCCAGTCCAAGCCACCAACCTCTCGACGGCCCTCATTCCGCCGACATCTCTCAATGAACAAACTGCCCTTTAAACGACCTTCCATTTCGCAAAGCCGCCCGGACACACGAGACACAATGACCGCTCCCTCACTCCGATCTCAGGGCACATCTATTGGATCTCTTGGACACTCGAGAAGGAAATCTTTGGGTTTGTCTTTTATGCTCAACAAGCAGACCGGTCCTGTTGAACCTACCGCAGTGGTTGACCCAGCAGCTGCCCACTACCAAGATCCCGAAGCCCGAATGAAGCTCCGTGCCTATCTGGCTTCTCCACAGAAGTTTGACGAGGCCTTGGAGTTCGGATTTCCTTCTAGAGATGACGACGACAGGGACGACAGGGACGACCGGAAGGCCAAACACGACGACGATGAAATTGATCCCATGGATCAGCTGCGATCTTTCTTGGACGATGATAAGTCGTCGACCTACAGTGATAATAGTACCGTGGATGATCTTGAATCACCCAAGACGCCGCCCATGCTGGACAAGCCCCTTCCATTGCTGCCTGCTGGCGGGAAATGTGGCGATGCCTTTATGGTGAAGCCGCAAAATTACCAGAACGGAACCCACCGAGAGATGACACTTCGCATGACGCTGACGAGACCCGATCTACGAGCGAATGAAGATGATATTTATCGGTGGCAGCAGAGCGTGGAGGTGCGAAAGGCTCACATGCGAGGCGAAATCCTGGCACCTGTCTCGCTCAACAAGAATCTCGATGCGAAGGCTCGAATTGATAAAGAGCTCGCTGCTATCGACCAAGAAAATGATAACCAAACAGAAGGCGGCATGGTGAAACGCCTCTGGAAGCGCGTACGACGGACATAAAGAGCATATGTCACGTCACCGATTCCAACTTGCTACGACCATAGCCTTTACGCCAACCTGATAATGACCTTTTTACAAATTGAACTTCTCTTTTATTATGGGGGATGGAAGTCCTCTACTACCTGCTTTCTTTTATTCTATTATTTTCATTATTCATTTTATTTCCATTTGTTGCTTTTTCTTTTCTTTACGATGTGGCCCTTGCGATGTCATTCATATGGAGTTGGCATGAGTTACTGTGGGTTTCTTTGAACATTAAATACCCTTGGTGAGGCTACACTGATCAATATGCGCGGAGTTGATGGCGAAGTAAAGAATTGAGTTGAGCGCCCAAGGCGCCTTGTGCTTTTCAAGTTCATTTTTTAGAATCAATATACTCTATCTTGATGTCTACTCAGTCTGAACCTCATCGAAGCTGTGAATAGAACCCTGGTCCAACGAGTTGACTGCCTACGCCGCATAGGATGAGCTCATTTGCCATCTGATCTATGTAAAAGGCGGTATGTCCGTGGAGACCAGGAGATGATCAAAAAAGAAATTTAGGGGCGAGTCCGTGCACCTGTGCTCTGCTCTGTTGGCGCTGGCATTAATTTGGCATGGCTCAACAGGCCCTGTTATTCCTAGGGGATCGCCATCATCGCACGCTACTCCTGGATGACAGCTCATGGCGTCCCTCGTCCGGCGGTGGGCATCTCAAATGACGAAATGAGACTGGGGGCCAGGGTCCAAAGAGAATCCGAGCTTGTGTATATCCTCGGGTTTCTCGCTCGTCGAACCCCTCACGCCGGCCCTGGTCGAAATCAGGCAGGTGGACGGGAACCCATGCCGCGCCACGGAAGCCTGCTGGGTGGGCAGGGTCTTTGATGACGAGTTCGGTGTTTTGGCATGGTTATTACGCTCCAGGTGAGAAGGGTAGTCTTCTAGAACGATGTGGTTCTCTCTGGCGGGGAGGTAAAAGCAAATGTCATCTCGTTTGGTGATTGCTTCCCCTGTTTAGTAGCATGGTGTATTCCAAATCACCCTCCCACGTGGTGGTTGCCTCGGTGAGCGCAATCTCGCCTACCGCCCACCGAGATTGGGGTTGTAGATAGGAGGTGGTTTCTTTGTCGCCGGGTTGGTTACTTCAAATTCGTGCCTAGTTGGGTGCTACGATGAATGCATTTCTGAGGTTTAGAAAAAAGGTAATTTGATTTTCTCCGCTGCTTTTTCTCTAATCGACAAGTAGATAGATAGTATATATCCAACAAACAACCCCATCCATGGAGTCCCTTGATATAGCCCGGGTCATATTTATCAATGTCCCCGGCCAATGAAATGATTGACAATGCTTCCAGAATAGAGATACACCTAACGAAAACACGGAAAAGAAAAACAGAGTAATGCATTGAGAGGGAGCGTGTTTACTTCAGTAGGCAGGGGATGACAAGGTTCTCCGCCTCCGTGCACGGTTAGACATCCTCGTCGCTTTCCTCACCTAGCAGCTCCCCTTCGTCGTCAGCAATGGATGAGTAGTCTCCACGACCCCGGGCAAAGCTATCCCTGGTCGTGAATCTGCGCTCACTAGCCCAGCCACGGCGAGATCGACCGCCCAGTCTCTCGTATACGCCCGAGGCGCTGCGCCATAGGCTGGCGAAAACGAGGGGTAGGGATGCCACAACTGCCGCGACGGCCGAGATAGCGATGACAGGATATTTGACCCATGGCTGATCGCTATCAAAAGTGGACGTCTGGTTGTCACCGAGCCGGATCTGTCCAAACTTGCCGGTCCAGTTGCGATAGACATAGAAGCCAATTGCGCCGGCCAGGCAAATGGGGATCACCACGGCAAAGA